CAGCATGGGCAAAGGCCCGGGGGTGGGTGGGAATTAAGGGAACTGGGAGCAGCTCAGATTGGCTGTGCTGAGGTGGGCAGAGACTGGCGAGCCCCTTTGGGGAGGGCCTTCCTGAGAGGCCACAGTGAGGGCATCACCCTGTGGTCAAGGGGAGATGTGGGTGGCTTTCGAACAGGTCAGATATGGGTTCAGAAAGGTCGCTCTGGGAGCCTCTGGAATGTAGGAAGAGGCAGTGGCTGGAGGTCCTGGCTGCCCAAGGTCACCGAGCCAGAGCCCCAGCGCAGGACTTGGGCAGGAGGCATGACAGTCCTTTCCCAGGGGAGATGTGGGTTCTGGGGTCGGCCTAGAACCCCGCCGTGACCCCAGCATGGCCAACTGGAACTGTGTGGATTTGGGAGTCAGACTGTGGGTTGGGATCCCAGCTCTGCCAGCGGTGACTTAGCCTCTGTGAGTCTCACAGGATGGAAGGTTGTTAAACACGAGGTCATAGAACAAGGTGGCACGCAGCCCTCCTGGCACAAGTAGGGTGCTCAGTCAATGGGAGCTGTGCCCATTCTAATTCCTTCAAGTGAAGGAGAATGACTGGGCCTCTGGGAGGCCAAGGGCAGGGGCAGGCCCCTTCCCACCAAAGTCTTCCCTTCTGGCTAGTCTGGGGTTCAGACAGCTGAGCCTGTGCAGTAAATGTAGAGAGAAAGGGCTGGGCCGGAGCTGCACTGCCTGGTCACCCTTCCCGAAGGGCGTGGGTCCACCAGGGGCCAGGCCTCTCATCCCCGTCACAAAGCAGCTGGGCTAAGAGGAGACTGATCTCACAGACCAACTGCCTTTCCTTCCCTTGTCCATTCCTTCTTTCCTCCTTCTGAGAAGGATGTGAGATGACTTAAGCCCATAGCGAAGACACCATCAGATGAAAAACTAACACAGGGGAAAGGCAGAACCGTGTAGTTAGTGGGAGAGAAGAAATCAGGTGAAGGAACTCTGTCCAAAACGTCCATCAAAATTTTACATGCTTTTTTCTTCAGATGCAGTAAACCCACTTCTAGAAATCTATCCTTTGGAAAGCCTAAGGGCTAAAACCCGGAAATCATCTGAGTGTCTTTCAATGGGGAAGTGGTTGTGATATGTACATTATGATATGAAATTATGATGTGGCCAACGGAACTGTATCAACACAGCCACACACACACACACACACACACACACACACACACACACACAATGAGAGAGATACATTAATGTCACGGAAGTTAAAAATGGATGATTTGGCTAATGGCTGTCTGAATGTAGGAGCCAACATTTAAAAATCAGATAATCACACATAAACACCCAGATTTCAGGTAGCCCTCGGTTTCCTTTCCTCCTGGGCACCAAATCCTAGAGCCAAGGAGCAGCCACCCCTTTAGATGAAGCGTGTGCTCCCCCCACCCCACAGTCCCCACCACTCCATGTTGCCTCCCTGACACTGAGGCTGGGATCGGGGCAGTGATCACTACCCTTGTGTTGCAGCTTTCCTTAGTAAAACGTTGCACTATTCTCTGTCTTTATCAAAAAACAGAGAAACAAAAGGTGGACTACAAGGGCCACGTGTCTCAAGGAAAATGAGAGGGAGCCTATTTCTTTGTGAAAATGAAGACTGTGCCTCTGTGTTTCACATGCAAATTCTGGGGCACTTCATTCATTTATTGTTTACTCTTATATATTATTTATTATGAAGCTGGCACATTACCTACCTATCCCCTATGGGCATTTTGGGTTTGCTACCCTTGATTAATATAATAGTAACATGATTCTTTTTTTTTCCCTTTGGATAAAAAAACAACAGCAACAGAATTAAAAAGAATTCCTTGTATGTATATCTGTATAAGCATGACATACACCAAATGTGAACAGTGGTTACTTAGACAGGCAACATTAAGAAAGCCCTATCCCATCTTATATCATGTACTTCTAAATTGTTTTCTATTTCTTAGAACACATATGTATTGTTTTGTGATTTTTTAAAAAGGTTATAACTTAAAAGATGATAAGTTAAAGTTAAAACTTTTGGCTGAGGGAAGCTTTCACAGCAGATCGTAAGCCTTACCTGTGATGATCTTGGCAAGCCTGGGGGAACAGGTAAATGGAGTGCAGCATGAGCATCTAGCAGTGCCCACAGGAGAAATTTGCTTTTTATGGTCTAAGCACGAAGAGGAATCTGTACCAGGGAAAGGAAGAGAGCTACCAGCTACTGGGAAGTGACTCTGCCAGGCTCTGGGCAAGCAGGCCGGGCTACCTCACGGAACTCTTGTCCCAATTTGGGTGAGGAGGTTGTGTGTCAGCGTTCCATCCTTCCTCCCTTTTTTCTTTTTTTGGCTGTGCCACGCACCTTGTGGGATCTTAATTCCCCAAACAGGGACCAAACCCAGGCCCTCAGCAGCGAAAGTGCAGAGTCCTAACCACTGCACCACCAGGGAATTCCCCTTCCTCCCATTTCTAAAAGCAGTTTTATTGAAGTGTACTTTATACGCCATCGAATTTGCCCATTTTAAGTGTAACGATTTGTCACTTTTTCATTGAAAAAAGTCACTTTTTCTATGATTTTTAGCAAATTTTCAGTTGTACAAACATCACAGCAATCCAATTTTAGAACTTTTCCATCACCCCAAAAAGATCCTTGGTGTCCACTTGTAGTCACTCCCCATTCCCACCCCAAGCCTCAGGCAACCACTCATCTGCTTTCTATCATTTCTGCCTTTTCTGGACGTTCCATGTAAATGGAATCAGACGATACACGGTCCTTTGCTTTTGGCTTCTTTCACCGAACATGTTTTTGAGTTTCATCCATGGTGTTGCCTGTATCAGTACTTTGTTCCTTTTTAGTGCTAAATAGTATTCCGCTGTGTGGAGAGACCACATTTAGTTTTCACTTACCAGTTGATGGACATTTGGTTGTTCCCGCTTTTTGACTACTATAAATAATGCTGCTATGAACATTCATGTACAAGTCTTTGTGGGGATGTGTGTTTTCGTTTCTCTTGGGTAGATACCTAAGAGTGGAATTGCTGGGTTGTATAGTAGATTTATGTTCAATTTTTTTAAGAAACTGCTAAACTGGCTTCCAATATGGCTGCACCATTTTACATTCCCGCCACCTGTATGAGGGCTACAGTCTCTCCATAACCTCTCCAACCCTTTGCGCTTGACGATGATTAAAATGGAGCTAGGAGGAGAAAGACTTTTCTAGGTCACACAGCAGGGAGTGGCAGAACGGAATTGGAACCCAGGTCGACCTGACTCCACAGCCTGTGTCTTTGCCCTGGTCTGCTCATGTGAATGGACTTTCACCTTGTGCAGGGGCTGGAGACCCTAAAGAGGTTGATCACTGGGACCTGCCAGGCTGGGGTCCCAGGATATGGGAAAGGGGCTTAGAGATGTCTGAGAGGTGATTGGAGAGGGGTCCTCTGCGGCCCTGGCTCACGCCTCCACCTGGGGATGTGGGTCTCAGTCTGGGGAGGTAGTGGATGCCAGCCAGCATGGTTCTGACTTCTGTCAGTACACAAGGCCTGGCACTGGGTGACCTTCTCTCTGCCCCAGCCCACATTCCCAGGCTGACATTCCCCTGCCTCAGACACTCCCTTCTTCTGCTTGGGCCGGAATATGTCCCCTTGTCCCCCATCCTTGGCCTCCATGGGAGGAAGGATGGGCTCTCCTGTCCCAGCCCCAGGACATTTACCTCTTTCTGCCAACTTCAGGGTCCACATGAAACCTTAGAGTGTTGAACAGGAGAGACAAGGTCATCAGTCCATCTGCTGCCTCGGGGAAGGGCTGGTCACAGGACCCCTGTTGGTCCCACCTCAAAATGGACATCCAAGGAGGTGGGACCTCTCCATCTCAGCATGGGTCTGGCTAGCAGGTGGCAGGGTAGCCTCTGTGGTCCTAGTCAGCCCTCACTCCCCCACCCTTGGGTCACCTTTTTAGAATGACCGCCATGGCCCCAAAAAGTGGCCTCGTGGACGAAAGGATCTAGACCACCCATCCAAGCCTCCTTTGCAAATGATCTGGAGAACTTAGAAAAAGGAGGAAGAACAAAAGTGTGCATTTATTGAGCCCCAACCATATGCCAAGGCTTTTTCATTTTTTTGACCCTCATATCATCCATGAGAACTAAACCCTTACCTTTCCCCTGAGAAAACAGACTCAGAGGTTCAACGGCTCACCTCACATCTCACATACTAAATGTTAAAGCTCTGTTCCCACCTACCGCACACAGTAAAAAAGGCTAAGTTGTGCCTGGGACACTGTCCCAAGTGTGAGCATTGGACTCAGGCATACCTTTCCCACTGTGTGACCTTGGGGAAATGACTGAACCTCTCTGAGCTGCAGCTGCCCCATCTGTAAAATGGGGCTACCAGACCCATGTTGTGCAGACTAGAGGAGATCCCCATGTGAGGGATTCGCATGGGGCCTGGCACTAGGCAAGAATGAGCAGAGATGGTTAGATTATTTCCTGGGACTGGGAAATTTTCCAGGCTAGTGATCAGAGCCTGCTGGCTTTCAGTCTCCTCTAACCCCTTGGAAGGGGCTATTTTTGATGCTTTGACCTTCTGTCAATTGGGTCTGTCCCCAACCCATTCTCAGGAGGCAGAGGAAGGGTAGAAACCCCAAAGGATCTGACAGTCTCACTCTTCTGGGGCAGCCACAAATCCACCGCAGACTGCCCACCCTCAGGGGGCAAATCCCAGCTGGCAGGAAAATGTCTCTAGGGTCCCCAAGGCCTCCTCCTCCCCTCCAGCTATTCTCTCTCCTCTTCCTTGCTGCATCCCTAGAGGCTTGCCCATCCTTCAAGGCTGTCAGACCTCCCCCCACAGGGAGCCTCCTGGTGTGTCTGCCAGCCCCCTTGGCCCAGTGCCCAAGGCATTGGTGGGACCAGAGGCCTGGGAGTTCTGCTTAAGGTAGGACCAAGGGTCCCCTGGGGACAACCCTGGGCTGGCACGATCCAAGCTGTGGTCTCCTGGACCCTGCAGAGGAGGCGCTGTGGACAACTCGGGCCGATGGGCGCGTCCACCTGCGCATAGACCCCAGCTGCCCACAGACTCCCTACACTGTGCATCGGATGTTCTGCGAGGCTCTGGACAAGTACGGGGACCTCAGCGCTCTGGGCTTCAAGCGACAGGGCATGTGGGAGCACATCTCCTACAACCAATACTACCTGCTGGCCCGCAAAGCCGCCAAGGGCTTCCTAAAGGTGAGGGAGCCCCTCAAGGCACAGCCTCTCCCCTCCCCAGCCCTGCCTTCCAGCTCTGGCCCTCACAGGCCTCTTTCCGACGCCCCACTGGGCAAGCCCTTAGAAAGGATAACAGTAAAAACCAGCCCATTTATTGAGCTAATTGTCCGCTCTGGCCTGGTGCTGAGGGTTTACGTTCACTGGGCCCTTGCCATGTGCCAGGACGTGACACGAGCTTCTCGTTTTTTGTCCCATTCAAGGGGCCTGAGAAGCCTGGTGCACTGGGTTGAGGTCTGGGCTCCCCGGGAAGGCCCTGGGAGGGGCAGCAAGGGCTGTTGAGTGACTCATCCCCCAGGGCACTCTCTAATGAGGGAGCCTGGGAGGGTGGTCCCTCAGGTGGGCGGCAGGGTCCCTGCAGTTTGGAAGGGGGGCTTGGTGAGAATGAGAGGCTGACCCGGCCTGTCTGCCTTTGGCCTGGAGCTCGGCCTGGAGCGGGCCCACAGCGTGGCCATCCTCGGCTTCAACTCCCCGGAGTGGTTCTTCTCGGCAGTGGGCACAGTATTCGCAGGGTGAGTGGCTGAGGGAGGGGCTGGGTCTCCAGTGGGTTGGAGGTGGGCAGAGAGCAGAGAGAGGGTCGTTATCTCTTTTTAGGGGCCCCCAACCCTGTCCCCAACATCCCATCTCTTCCCCGGGGCCCTCCTTTGTCCCTGCTCTGCCTAGGGCAACTGTGCTGAGCTGCCTGTCTGGGCCACGGGAGCTCTCTGGGCCTGGGGGCTGTGGGTGTGTCAGGCAGGGGGCTGGGCCAAGGGGGTGGCCCACTGCACCTGCCCAGACACGCATCCTCCTGGGTCTCCTGCAGTGGCATCGTCACTGGCATCTACACAACCAGCTCCCCTGAAGCCTGCCGGTATATCGCCCATGACTGCCGTGCCAACATCATCGTGGTCGACACGCAGAAGCAGCTGGAAAAGATCCTGAAGGTTTGGGGGAAAGGGACCAGGGCCATGGGGGTCAGGCTGGGCATCCTCACAGACCTCCAGCTTACAAAGGGCTTTTCCACCCTCCCTGCCAGAATCCTCCGTCATTCTCAACAGCAACCCGCCCCACCACACGCACACAGGCAGGGCAATGGCCGCCGACCCATTTGCCAGGTCTGAAAATTGAGGCCCAGAATGTCCAAGGGACATACCCCACATTCCCCAGCCAGCCTGCTGTTCCCCATGGCTTTCCCTTCAGGGAAGGGTTGTGTGCCCTGAGGGTGGCTCAGGGCTCTGACACGTGAGCACCCAAGTCTGAGTCTCAATGGGGAGTGGGGGTGTGGGCTGCCACAGGGTGGGGCTTGGGCTAAGCCACAGCAAGTGCCGCAGGGTCTTCTGAAGACAGCAGGGCACTGGAGGGGCTCAACAGTGCCTCTTGGGGCAGCTGGGTCTTTTCTGGAGCATTGATGCCTCCTGATTCATTTAAGGTCCCTCCCTGATTGGCTGTGTCCCCATGGGCACCACGCTGGCATGCAGTGGCCTGAGGGCACCTCTGTGCCCCAGCTACACCCAGTAGCCTGCAAGATCCTCCAAGGCTCCCTGCATCTCAAAGGAGGCTCCCGGGTTGACTTGTTGGCTTGGCCCTAGTTCTGGAGATATCACCTGGACCTCAGCTCCCCACCTGTACCTGAGGGCAGGAGAAGTGGTCTCCAACCTCCTAGGACTGCGGGATCTGGATCGCAGGACGGGCCTTCCCTCAGCTTGCGTGAAGTCCTTTTCTGTCTCCACTCCTTTTGAACGCTGTCGTCAGGGTTCCTTCATTCTGAGGGCCTCCATTCTGTCTGATTTGGATAAATGCTTGAGATTGGGGGAGGAGATGTGGGTGCAGATAAAGTGGCCCAAAGTGAACAGCTCTGAGAGACTGAGGTGAACCCGAGCTGTCCTCAGCACCCCCTTTCGCCCTCCCCCTCCCCAAGCACTTGGGCCCTTCACTTCATAGAAAGGGGACAAATATTTAGAGAAGAGTGCACAGCAGGGGTGTCCCAGGCCCCGTAGGACTCATCGGGGCCCTGATTTCCTCAGGTTTGGAGCCTTCATAGATGCCAGAGCCCTCTGACCCAGGTGCCCCCAGGCCAGCTTTGCTTGAAGCCCCACCGGTTTAAGATTCCTTGAGAGCCTCAGCTACCAAGTAGCAATGGTGTTAGCTTTCATTCTCAGCCTTACCCGAGGGGGTCACCCTCCTCAGCGTGGGCGCTCATGTCAGAACCCCAGAGTGGGGAGGGCAGTGGAGCTTTAAAAAGCCCCCCAATAGTTTTGCCCCATCCCTCAGGGAACCAACCGCTCTGCATAGATGGTTGATCTGATCCCAATGCCCTCCCCCTGCCCCATTTTACCACTGAAGAAACCGAGGCCCAGACCTACTGAATCAGAAATGTCCACCCTAGGTAATTATTTAAAATTCGTATTATGAAACTTTCCAGATAAACAAAAATAGAGAGAAGAGTGTAGTGGACCCACATAGAGTGCTCATCCAGATTTAATCACCATCACTGTTTTTTGGTCACACTCATTTCATCAGTTTACCTATTTTGCTGAAGTATTTGAAGGCAAATCTCTGACATCACAGCATTTCACCCCCCGAATATTTCAATACCTCTAACATATATGACATTTTTCTTAATCACAAGTAACTTTATCACCTTTATTTACACAAGTCAAAGAATTCTTTCATATCATCTAATACCAGCAATGTCTTTTTACAGTTGGTTCATTTGAATCAAGATCTAAACCAGGCCCATGTGTTGCATTTGGTGGTGTCTCTTAAGAGTCTTTTAATTCAAAACAAAGGCCCCACCTTTTGTTTCCCGTACCATACACCAGTGTGGTCCAGGACCAACAGCATCCCCCGGGAGCTTAGTTTCAGAACCCCCCCCAGACCTACTGATTCCAAAACTCGGGGTATGGGGCCCACGCCTCCTGGTGATTCTGACACAGGCTCAAGTGTGAGAACCTCTGTCATTGACATGCTGCAGAAACTAGGTTAGCCGTCCTGAGCTGTTGTTCAGCTTGTCCCTCTAACCTCTGCACTTCTTGTTAGATGGCAAGTGTTGATGCATTTCAGATTAGACAGTGATTGGCAGGAACAACCCATAGGTGGCGCTGTGTACTTCCCATGGCACAGCCTCAAGAGGCACGTGATGTCAGGTGGTACCTCATAGTGAACTCTGAGTTTCATCCCTGGATTCCTGTGGTGGCTACCTGCTCATCCACTGTGACATTCCCCATCAGCCTTTCTCCACCGATGATCTTTGCCTGAATTAATTATTTCATGAGCCATGGGAAAATATTTGTTTTCTAATTGATCAGCTGGGATTCTTCTCCAAAGGAAGAACTTTCTCTCATCACCTGGGACTCTTTGCTACCTGAAGCACCCCATTTGTACACAGCAGGTGTGGTAGACAGAATAATGATCTATGTTGGTGACTGTTCCACGCATATTTTAAAGAATGTGCATTCTGCAGTTGTTGGGTAGAATGTTCTATAAATGTTAATAATGTCAACTTGATTGATAGTGTTCTAATGTTGTTTAAGTCATCTATATCCCTGTTGATCTTCTGTCTACTTGTGCTAACAAATACTGAGAAAGGGAACGTTGAAATCTCCAGTTATTGTTGAGGATTATCTATTTATCCTTTTGGTTCTGTCTTTGCTTCGTATATTTTGAAGCTCTGTTATGTATACACATATTTAGGTTGTTATGCCCTCTGGATGAATTAATCCCCTTATCATTAAGAAATGTCCCTCTTTATCTCTGGCAACTGTTCCTCCAAAGTTACTTTGTCTTAAATTAATATAGCCACTCCAGATTTCTTATGATCGATGTTTGCATGGTATATATGTTTGCATTGTTTCACTTTTAACCTACCTGTGTCCTTATATTTAAAGCAAGACTCTTACAGATAGCGTATAGCTGGGCCATGCCTTTTAATCCAGTCTGACAAAATTGTCTATAAAACTACCAGTTGGCTGTTTTGCATTTGTCCGATCCATTCTCTGATCCTTTTCTCCCCTTTCATGACTTCTTTTGGATGGAGTTTTCTGTTTTTATTTTGGTTTGTTTTTGAGTATTCCATTCTATCCATTGGTTTACTAGCTCTCCCTCTAGTGTTTGCTCTAGGGCTTACACTATGCAACTTTAACTCATCACAGTCTACTTTCAAATAATATTATAATATAATATTGTACTACTTTACATATAATGTAGGAATCTTACAGCAGTGTACTTCCTTCTCTCTCCCATACTTTGTGCTATTGTCATTTATACTTAAATTCTATGTGAGTTATAACTCCTGCAATGCAGTATTTTAAACCGTCAAGTATCATTCAAAGAAATTTTAAAGGAAGGAAAAAATGTCTTTTTATTTACCCACGTATTTGCCATTTCTGGCACTCTTCATCCCTTTATGTCGAACCCAAGTTTTCATCTGGTTCATCTTCCTTCCTCCTTAAGAATTTTCTTTCTTTTTTTTTAATTTTACTTTTTTTATTGGAGTATAGTTGTTTTACAATGTTATGTTAGTTTCTACTGTACAGTGAAGTGGAGTTCCCTGTGCTATACAGCATGTTCTTATTAGTTATCTATTTTATACACATTAGCATATATATGTTAATCTTCAACATTTCTTGCAATACAAGTCTGAAGACAATGCATTCTGTCAGCTTCTCTTTGTCTGAAAACTTGTTCATTTTTGCTTTCATTTTCTGAAAGATATTTTCATTTAGTTTATAGTCCTAGGTTGACAGGGTTTCCTTTTTTTTTCTTTCAGCTCTTTAAAGACTTCATCCCAGTGTTTTCTACTTTGCATAGCTTCTGATAAGAAGTCTATAATTTCTTATCTTTGTTCCTTTCCACATGGTGTATCTTGCTTTTCTGGCCGCTTTTAAGATTTTTTCCTTTGTCACTGGTTTTCAACAGTTGGATTATGTTGTGTCTTGGTGTGGTTTTTCTTTGTGATTATCCTGCTTGGGGTTCACCGGGAGTCTTGAATTGATGGATTTATAGTTTTAATCAAATTTGGAAATTTCTCAGACTTTTTTCAATTAAAAAAAATATTTCCTGGGACTCCAGTTACACATATGTTAGGCTCTTAGTTTTCTCCTGCAGGTTAATTTTTTCCATTATTTTTTTCTCTCTTTCAATTTCATTTTGAGACTTGTGTTTAATTAAGCCTTTCAGAGCAGGTTTAGATAGCCTTTTCTCTAAGGCTAATTTAGCCCCAGACCTATGACCTGACCCTTCTGGGGTCTCTATTTCCAGAGGTCCCTCCACTCTGGCTGATGGAGACGCAAACAGTTCTGGCCCCGTACATGCTTTTGTTTGTCTTCTAGCCCCAGTCCTTGATCTTCCTCCAGCATTTATTCTTCATCTAGTTTCACGGAGTTTCACCTATGCCTGTGCAGGTTGATAATCTGCCAAAGAATCAAGATGACCCCTAAAGAAATTTCTAGAACTCTTTCTCTGCATAGTTCTCTCCTGTCTGGTATTCTGTCCCACAAATTCTAGGCACCCCGGCTTTCCTGAACTCTGACCTCTGACACCTCAACTCAGTGAGATAACTGAGTTCTGGTTTCCCTCTACCCTTTCCTCTCTTCTCTCTTCTGCAGTCACACAGTCCCCTGTTGCACTCAGCCAGGCCCCAGGTTGTCTGGTTTTCCTTTAATAGAAGTCATTCCTTGCCCCCTGCTTATCCCACCTTTGCTGCTCCAAAGTTCTCATGATGGGGAACCATGCATGAAGGGTGGCAAGTGTCCTGCTGAGTGAAAGGTCAGAGCTGGGGACCAACAACCTTTGCCACAAGGTGCCTGCCAGGCTGACTAACACCTGGAGATGGGGCTCTTCTCAAGAGGTGACTTTTTAAAATGAAACCCCATTTATTTTTCCTGTCAATACAGATCTGGAAAAACCTGCCACACCTGAAGGCAGTAGTGATATTTCAAGAATCTCCTCCGACAAAGATGGCCAATGTGTACACGGTATGGGTAGAGGGCTCGTGTGGGGCAGGTGGGGTCTGTGTGAGCCTGCCCAGCTCACCTGGCCTGTCTGCACTCTCCCACCTGGCCGCAGATGGAGGAGTTCATGGATCTGGGGAATGAGGTGACTGAGGAGGCCCTGGACACCGTCATCAATGCCCAGCAGCCTAACCAGTGCTGCGTGTTGGTCTACACGTCAGGCACCACTGGGAACCCCAAGGGCGTGATGCTGAGTCAAGACAATGTAGGACAGATGCCCAGATGGGTGGGGGTGGGCTATGGGTGGATCTGGGCAGTGGCCCTGCCCTAACAACTCCCAGGGAGTTTCCTTCAACCCCTCAGCTCAGGGAGCTGGGATAAGTAGGACAACCCTTAAGTCTGTGGTACAGACTGAGCCCAGAAAAATGGTGGGGATTGGGAGTGGGAGGCCTGTCCCAGGGTGTTTCCTGCAGAGGTGCCCAGGAGGGTGAACAACCTCTAGGGTGTTCAAAGAACACTCCAAAGAAATAGCCCAAGCCCACAGGGTGGCCACAGATGTGAACACTTCCAGGGCTGGCTTTGTAGACACTGCCAGGACCCATCTGCCTGTCCGCCAGATCACATGGACAGCACACTACGGCAGCCAGGCCGGTGACATCCAACCCGCAGAAGTCCAACAGGAGGTGGTGGTCAGCTACCTGCCCCTCAGCCACATTGCTGCCCAGATCTATGACCTGTGGACAGGCATCCAGTGGGGGGCCCAGGTCTGCTTTGCTGAGACTGATGCCCTGAAGGTCAGTCTGCCTCTCTGCCTAAGTGGGTGTCCAAGTGTGTGTGCAAGGGCCTGCCCGAGTGTGTGCTTGTGTCTGTGCGCCCTGTGTGTGCATCATAAGCATGCCGGTTCCCCATGTGTTTATCGGTCAGAATTCTTTCAACTGCAATTAGCACAGCCTGACTCAGATGATCAAACAAGGGAAACTGATGATATTCCATAAAGGAAAGTTGAGTCAGAGTGGTGTGTGGGTCCACAGCGCCGTCTAGGACAGGCCACCCTCAGAGTAAGATCACAGGATGGTCACAGATGGCCACGGCCCTGCCCTGCATCCCAGCCTCATAAACTGCACCTGTGCTTGGGATCCTTCTTGTAACCATGAGGAGAACGTCCCCAGAGCCCCCTAGCAGACTTCCCCCTCCCCTGCATTGGCCCAAATGTTGTCCCATGTCCATTCATCAACCAGTCACTGCTTAAGGGAATGGGATTACCATGTTGGAGTTAGAATAATAAAAAGTCACTGCCCCCAGGCCTGGGAGGGGACTGAGGTACTTCTGAAGCATCCGGCCACCCTGGTACCTGAGCTACATCAAGGTTCTTTTAGCAAAGAAGAGCAGCGAGTAGATGGCTGTTGAGTGGTAGCCGACAGTATGTGACATGAGTTGCACGCGGTGTGTGCGTACACCTGTGTGAGCTACTGTATACAGGATGCCTGCATGTGTGCACGCTGGCTCTGGTGACAGGGGCCTCCTGGCTCCCGGCCGGCTCTGAACCGCAGCCCTGTCTCTCGCTGGCTGCGAACAGGGGAGCCTGGTGAACACGCTGAGGGAAGTGGAGCCCACGTCCCACATGGGGGTGCCGCGGGTGTGGGAGAAGATCATGGAGCGGATCCAGGAGGTGGCGGCTCAGTCTGGCTTCATCCGGCGCAAGATGCTGCTGTGGGCCATGTCGGTGACCTTGGAGCAGAACCTCACCTGCCCGAGCAGGTAGAGAGGGCCAGGGGGCAGGAGGCCTGGGGAGGCAGCAGGGCTGGGTCATAACCCCAGGACACAACCTAGGATCTGATAGGCCAGGTTTGTCCACGCCCCATTGGCCAGGCTTGTCCAGACCCCTGCACAGAGGCCCCATCAGTGGCTGGGCTTGAGCCCCTGTTCTCGAGCCCCTGTTCTCTTGCCAGATCCCACAGGAGACCATCACCCCATCTTTGGGTCTGACTGCAAGGACTGACTTGCTCCCTCTGGGGTGGCATTTACCTCCCTGGGAGCAGCTCCTGGCAGCCTCCTGAGGGGTCTCCTCCTGACTTCCGTAGGTGGCTATAGAGAAGGGTCCACAGTGATGGGGGTTTTCCAGCCTTCCCATAATCCAAAGTGACCACTCATCTCTCGCCCACAGCCTTTCGATTGCTTTAAAATTCCCAACCAGTGCTGTGGGAGGATCAATGGCATAAATCTGGCCTGTTCCAATTTAGAAATATTTTCCATTACTAGTGTGTCTGTGAAACAGTATCATGTCTCATGAGACATGTACACGTGTCTATGCACTTAGGGCTTCATTTGCACAGACATGAAAAGTGAATACGCATGAATGACCCATTCAAGAGCTTCAAACGGGATCAGACACATGTTTGTGTCTGTGCATATATACTTCAAGTCTCTGCAAGTGTGTATTACTGTGTGTGTGAACTTGCGTGCATCTGTGTTGTCTGTGCAAGCATACACAGCTGAATCTGGTTTTCTAACTTCCCAGCTCAAGATGTGTTTGCACATAACTACATGTACACACGTAGGCACGCATGCATGTTCACAGGCAGGGCCAATATTAAAAATATTTAGCAGTGGATTCAGCGTCGCCACTAACCAATCAGAATAGATCATTGGAACGGCCATTCCGGGTACCCACTGAACACCCACCCTTTTAATGCAAGTGTGTGTGTGTGTGTTGTCTTCTGTGAGCCATTCTCCCTCTCCCACCAGCGATCTGAAGCCCTTCACAACCCGACTGGCAGATTACCTGGTGCTAGCCAAAGTCCGCCAGGCACTGGGCTTTGCCAAGTGTCAGAAAAACTTCTATGGAGGAGCCCCCATGACCGCGGAGACACAGCACTTCTTCCTGGGCCTCAACATCCGCTTGTATGCAGGCTATGGTCTCAGCGAGACCTCGGGCCCTCACTTCATGTCCAGCCCCTACAACTACCGGCTCTACAGGTGTGGCCCAGGTTTCAGCACATATGCCAGCCTGCACGTCCTGGCTGGCACCCTTCAGTGCCGCCCCCTGCTGATTAGGTCCCTGAGCCCAGTCCACTGGACTATGGGTCCCTGAGTGCCAACAGCTCTATCTTGGGCCAAGTCCCTTGGCCAGGCCCGAGTCTCGTGGGGATGGTCTCTGTGACAGTGTCACTTGGGTCTGTGGTTGCAAACAGCCTTGCAGCCCAGGGGCTCCCTGAGCAGGGCTCTGATGGAGGAATTTCCCTTTGGCCTCTCCCTCCAGTAGGGTGGGGTGTGTTAGAGGGTGTCCCAGCATTGCTGGTAGCCCTGGTTTCATCTGGGATGGGAGCTGGGGGGACTGGGCCGGTCCTCTGGTGTGGGGTAGGGGGCATTCAGCTCTAGGGAGTGAGTTGAAGGATTCTCTGTTGTGCTTAAATACCTCCCCTCCCTGCTTGCCCATCACAGTGCTTAAAGTTGTCCCATTAGGATTTCCCCCACTGATTCATTCACACACCTAAAAACCTTTAACTGGCCCTACGTCTCAGCTCTGAGGACCCTATTAAATTACAAAAATCCTGGGAAAGGACATTCTAGCCATCGGTGAAGACTAGATGGATCAGACTAGGGGCTGACCCAGGGCTTGGAGGAAACTGCTCCCTCTGACCATGCCTCCCGGCCCCTCCATCCCCCCAGCTCTGGCAAGGTGGTGCCGGGCTGCCGGGTGAAGCTGGTGAATGAGGATGCAGAGGGCATCGGAGAGATCTGCCTGTGGGGCCGCACGATATTCATGGGCTACCTGAACATGGAGGACAAGACGTGTGAGGCCATTGATGCCGACGGCTGGCTGCACACGGGTGACTCAGGCCACCTGGACGCCGACGGCTTCCTCTACATCACTGGGCGTCTCAAAGGTGAGCGCCTCTGGCTGGGTTCGAGGCTGTCTGGGACGTCGGAGGAATTATACTGCCACCACAATTTATACCCACTACAAGTGTTGAGCCCTTATTAAGTGCCACACACCTTGAATGACATCATTTTACTTACTATTGTCTCCCATGGGAAAGATGCTATCATTACCTCGACTTATTAATGAGGACAACCAGAGAGGTTAAGTAACTTGCCCAAGGTCACCCAGCTAGTAAATGACAGAGCTGAGATTCAAAGTCCCTAGATAAACAAGGCAAGTCTTTCCAGAAAAGTTGAGGACATAAATATGTATTTTTATATGCAAACATGGATATGAGGCGGAGCAGAACACAAATTGGATATAAAATTTAAAATAGAGCATGAGATTTCAAAGAAATTTCCCATGAACAGCTTGGCTCTCCCAGGGAAGTAAGTTGGGGACACCTCCGTGGAAGAGGTGCTTTGCTTACTTTGCCCAAGTGGATACAGTGCCCTCAGCATCCCTGTGGGAATCCCATGCCCCAATTTCCCAGGGGAGACTGAAGCTCGGTGAATGGGTAAACACCTTTCTGGAAATCACGCAGGCAGATGTGTGATCGAGCCTGGGTCCTGCTTAGGCAGAGTCTGGGTGTGCTTGGTCTGAGCACCTGGACTGAAGCCTGTGCCGGGGGCCTGGCCTTGCCTCCCCAGAATTGATCATCACGGCTGGCGGGGAGAATGTGCCCCCTGTGCCCATTGAGGAGGCCGTGAAGACAGAGCTACCCATCATCAGCAATGCCGTGCTGATCGGGGACCAGAGGAAGTTCCTGTCCATGCTGCTCACCTTGAAGGTGTGTCGGGGGTGGGGGGGGTTGGGGTCTGGCTCTGGAGGAGCAGCCAGTGGGTGGTCTGTGGGTCTGGCCCCAGCAGAAGCCATGTTCAGCCAGGACATGTCTGGATCTCATGACTGTATTCTGGAATAACTAGTCAGTGCTGCCTGCCCTAAGGGGCAGCCGTAGCGCATGGAAATCCCTTCTGCCCCTGGTAATACTGTTAATAGCATGCTGCCCCGATGATCTTCTGTGTTCCAGTACAGTCCAGTTTACACAGCGCTGCTGCCCTCAGTCCCCTCAGCAGATAACCAATCTGGTATCTGATACCAGGGTACTGGATGGGGCCAGAATTATGGTCCCTGTTTTAAAAGATGATCTCACTGGCTGAGGTCATCTCAATCTCAGGCCTCCCTTCCTTCCACCCCACCACGGGGCTCAACGCAGTCCGAGTAGCATGCTACTCATTCTAGAACCGTCTCTTTGAAACAGAGCTCACGGTGATCCACGTCCTTGACGATCAGCAGTGCGACCTCCTCCAAGACCAGGGCACACGTCTTGTGGAGTGAGGCTTGGTTTTGATCTATCTCTGGCTTTTCAGTGCACTCTGGATCCTGATACCTCTGACCCAACTGATAATCTGACCGAGCAAGCTGTGGAGTTCTGCCAGAGGGTGGGCAGCAAAGCCGCCACGGTATCGGAGGTCGTGGGGAAGAAGGATGAGGCCGTGTATCAGGCTATTGAAGAGGGGATCCAGAGAGTCAACATGAATGCAGCTGCCCGACCCTACCACATCCAGAAGTGGGCCGTTCTTGAGAGGGACTTCTCCATTTCGGGTGGAGAGTTGGGTAGGTGTTTTCCTTACACTATTGCAGGGGCTGTGCAGGAGGGCAGAGGCCATGGCAGAGCCTGGGAGGTGCCCACTAGGAAGCAGCCGTGGCAAACAGAAGGTCCCTGACGGCACTTTGGATGACACCCACCTCCTTCCTGTGGGAGGACATTGATTGCTCAGTGCCTGGGCTTGTGGTTAGGTAGGGCCTATTCAGTGTATAAGATATGTGCTGGAATTCATTGATTTGAACCTATAACATTTAACTTTGTTTTGACTAAGGAACCATTTTCCCCTGAAATCACAATGGGACCACCAAGCAGACACCAAGTTCCTGTTAGTGTTTGGGCTGGAGTCATCTGGCTCTAGGGAGTGAGACCACCGTAATCTTTTGTAAAGTCAGCTCATGCAACAGGTAAAGGGTGGAAGCCCTTCTGGGCCATGGTCCACAGAACCAGAAAAGGCCTCTGGTGTGGCCTCAGTTGGATGATGAAGTCGCTCTTGGTTATAGCATCTTGGGGTGTTCATGGCATGGCGGGGTAGGTATGCAAATGGCCCCTTCAATGAGATTCCCTCTGACCCATCAAGGCTGAACCCAGATGCAACTATCCACAGTAATGCTGAGCTGCTATCAGAGACCCTGAGCTTATCTGGTTGTCTTGTGCCAGCAAATTGAATGCAAGGTCAACCAGATAGGTGTCCTCTCTAAGCAGTTTATATAAATGGCTTTGATTTTGAAGTCTCCAGTTACGCAGCCAAGTATGAGTTAGCACAAAATGGAGTTGAAGCTACCCAAATCAGAGCCCTTTTGACCTTGCATTAGAGGAGAGAACCAAGGCCAAGAAAAGTGATATGACGAAGACGTCTCATAAAGACCATGCCAGAGGCCCTCCCTGGCCAGGGCTTTCCCCTACCCCATCACAAGCAATCAAAGCATTACATCCAACATCGTATGAACTTTCACTGAAATGCAGAGATGATTTGCCTATCAGTTATTGTCATGTAAATTACCCCACTTCCTCTGTATTCTACCGGCCACTTAGACCAACCCTGGTACAGTGTGGGAAGGAGCCACACAACGGTGTGACCACGGAGCAGGGATCACCATGGGCCATCTTGGAGGATGGCTACTTGTTGGTCTGGCTTAATTCCAGAGTTCTGGGACTCACTGAGTCTAGATGTTTACCACACACCTTCTCAGACATCTCAGAGCCCAGCCTGCACTCATTTCTTCCAATTTCTCTTTTAGGTCCCACAATGAAGCTGAAACGGCTCACAGTCCTAGAGAAGTACAAAGATATCATCGATTCCTTTTACCAAGAGCAAAAAAAGTAATCAGGGGTCGTCCTTCCCGGGTTTCTCCTGAAGGTGGCAGGCTGAGTATTTTCCTGACACCCCCCCCCCCCCCCCAGGTCCTCTTCAGTCTGGGCACATGGACTTCTGGCAAGTCTGTTAGGTTCTCTGGGTCAGTTTCGGTCCTGGCATCTACATTTGCCAGGTCTTATGCCGAGAGGCTTCATGTGTGCATAGTTTTAAAAGTATTGCTTTTTGTTTGGGTGACCAGTGAGATCAACTGTCTTTCCAGAACTAAAGGGCTGACTTTTTGGCCTTCTCTCCAGGTAGATTTAACAGGCTGCTAGCTCACTTACCAGGAGGCTGGGTGTTGGGGGAGGGAGGAGGGGGAGGATGGCTCAGCTAACCAGTGTGCCGCAGGGAAAGCGCTCAGTTGCAACTCACCTAACACCTGACTTACTCTGGAATCTTGTTGGACATTGCCGACCCCATCATCCCATTACCCGGCACTCCACCATACACACACCCACTGACTTTGATGCTTAATAAAACTGCTGCTGCCTATTTGGTTGTATTTAATGTGTAATTTGAAATTAAACTTTTTAACAGAACTGTCAACAAGTACCTGATTTTTTTGTCAATAGAGCAGCAGACCAGTCCAGAGTAGTGGTTATTGAACCCATAGGACACTGTGCAATAGGTATACCAATGACCTCTAGTGCCCTGGAATAAGCAAAGGTGTGGGAGGAGGTCAAGTGGAGCATTCTAGTGAAAGCAGTCAATTAGGGGCTAGTCTGTCACCACCCTGCCACCCTGCCACCCTGCCCACTCTGTTGTTTGTTTTGGCTGAGCCATACAGCTTGTGGAATCTTAGTTCCCCAACCAGAGATCGAACCCGTGTCCCCTCACCCTGCCTACTCTGAATACTTGAAGCAGCCATTCTCAGTAGCAAACTGAGCCAAAATGACCTAAGGCATCTAAATGGGGAATCGGTAGAGAAAGCATACACCTCAATTCGTTTGGGAATTCTTTATTAGTGTAAACCCAAGGATCACTGATAATTAGCACAATTCAATAAAACAGAAGCAGCAGTTTAAACAAAGTAAAATACATATAAGGTTGTAAGTCTGGTTACCAGCCTAAAAAAGGACGCAGACAGGGTTATTTATTGTTGTTAAGAAATCCCCTTGTGGGTTCCCCTGGTGGCGCAGTGGTTGAGAGTCCGCCTGCCGATGCAGGGGACACAGGTTCGTGACCCGGACCGGGAAGATCCCACATGCCGCGGAGCGGCTGGGCCCGTGAGCCACGGCCGCTGAGCCTGCACGTCCGGAGCCTGTGCTCCGCAACAGGAGAGGCCACAACAGTGAGAGGCCCGCGTATCGCAAAAAAAAAAAAAACAAAGAAATCCCCTTGTGACCAGGGTACACAATGCAAAGCCACAGGTTTGCAATGTTACACAAGGGCCAAGAAGGACATGAGTTGCCTTTGGTGTGGGACCAAAGGGTTCATGAAAATAGTGAGTGTCTGAAGATTAAAGAAAAATCATGCTAAGGATGGGGAATGGAGGAGGGATGGGGAAGTGCCTGAAGGTCAAAAGCTAAGGCAAGCCCCAGGGTGGCACGATTTTGTGACTCATCTCAGGCTGAGTCTGCAACTGGTGTGTTTTGGGGAAGGGGTAGCCACTGAAATATAAAGTTAGTAGCCAGCACCCCAGGGTCCTCAACTGCAGTCGGATTTTATACGGTCAGGCCTTTTAGCAGTATCAGTGGGAGTGTGGTCCACTTCCAGACAGAGACAGACATGCTGGGGAAGAGTGACCGCACACAATGGTCGGCTCCCATGTCTGACTCAGGGTCTGCAGAGGGGATCAAGGGTTGCGTTACACACGATGCTTGATGTATGTCCAATGAAAAGGAAGGATCACTCCTTCATTAAAAGCTCTCGCCAGGAATAGTCCATCATCTCAAGATAAAAATAACTGAACACACAATGCATTTGTGTCTTTGTACCCGATATATTACCCATATCTTATTAACAAAAACTACATCTCTCATTATATATTTCTCGGATCTGAAGTCTTTATTCATACTCAGTAATTCATGTAAAGCACAAATCAGTCTTTACTTTCCATATCACTAAGAAATATACCATATTCACTGTTTTTGATGTAAACTTTCCCAGGAAATTTCTCTTGTGCCCATTTAGTTTTATAAGAATATCATCTTGTGCTAATATGTCAACATTCTATTTTATTTTCATTATATTTTTCATAAACCAAGGAAATCGTTGTTTTTCTTGAAAAAGTTATATGTTTTCTCGTATTAATTCTGTATCACGATATTTACAGTTAAAGAAAAACTGTTGTAACTGAAGCGTAAAATGGTTAACAATGGCAAATGATACAGTACAGTCCACTTAGAGTTTTCAAAAAATGTGTACCAGATAGACATTTAATAAATAAAACAAGCACTTGGATAAAGTCCTTTGAAAGCAGGCCCAGGGACATCACCTGCATCCTCTGTACAGACTTTGTTAAGAAAAGGCCAGGTCTAAAAATGTACTCTGTCAAGAAACAAGCAACAAATGCATAAATGCATACATAATGGGAGGTATTCTAATACAGGCTGACATGGAGTCCGTTAGGAGTGACTGAGGCAAAAGCATTTGTAGAAGCCTTAATCTAAATCTTTTACTCGGCGACAGATTTCTTCTGTGAAGTCTGAGCATTTTGCATTGCCTCCCAAATCTTTTGTTAAGCTCTGAGAAAAGGAAAAAGCAAAGATAAAAAATGTATCCACACATTAAACCAAAGCAAGGATGTTTTCATTTAAAGCTCTCAGTGAGATACCAGATGAGTGAGTTACCTGACTACTCTTTCATTTAGTTCCTCATTTCAAAGTGAGACCCACTCCACCGCCATCCACCTACCCCAGGACTTAGAAAAGCTAATTCGATAGTGTACACAGAAACACTCTGGAAGAACAAGATGCTCACACTACAAAGGGAAGCAGGGAGGCTTTCCAAAAATTTTCCCTTTGTCCATACAATAGACCCTAAGGAAGCATTTGATTATGGACACTTAAATGACAGCAAATCTGAAACAAGAGGTTGCATAAATTCCTTGAGGATTTTTAAATTTTTTTTTTTAAAGACACATTTTGACCTATTTTTGGAGGCTAAGAAACAAATACTAAGGAAATATTTAAATCACTTAACTCTTAAATTCCCCTCTTTAGGAAAGAAATCCTCCCATATTCTCTGTTTTCTACCAGCTTATACTCTCTTTACTCCCAGACGGAACTCAATATATTTAATTCTCTTGTCCCATCGCATCCTAAACAATTTAAAGGGCCTACTGTGTAATTTAGGCATCTCTCTGCTGGGCTCTATGAGTAGCTTCTCAAATACAGCGTCAGAATAAAAAATATATATAATCACATGCCCTTCAATATGACTATATCAGGCTGTTAAAAACAAGCTTGGGTTTCTTATATTTTGGCCGTAAGAATTTCAAATTATAGAATTTTTTAAAAAGAAGAAGCAAACCTTGAAGATATTATGCTAAGTGAAATAAGCCGGTCACAATGTTACAAACAGTGTATGATTCCACTTACATGAGGCACCTAGAGTAGTCAAATTCACAGAGACAGAAAGTAGATGGTGGTTGCCAGGGGCTGGGGGAATGGCAGAAACTAGGTAAATTACTGTTTAATTGGGACAGTTTCAGTTTAGGAAAATGAAGAAGTCTGGAGATGGATGGTGGTGAAGGTCGCACAATATGAAAAAGTATTAATATTTAATACCAATAGACTCTGTGCCTCAAAAATTATTAAAATGGTCGATTTTATACTATGTATATTTTATCCTTTTTTAAAATGTTAGTTTTTTAAAAAAAGGAAGAGACCTCAGACTAGGGTTCAGCCTTTCAGGCCCAGCCTTGTAAAGCCATGACCTCCTCTGTTCTCCTCCCACTTTCAGAATAATTGATCACAACCCTCCTATGAGTCACAACTGGTTATGGAAACAGTGAGGCTTGTTGGGTAAGAGCCAGACTGGGTGTGAACCCCAACTTTGCCAGTTAGGAGCTGTGAGACCTTGGACAAACTTACTTAATCTCTCTGTGCCTCGGTTTCCTCATCTAAAAAATGGGCTTAATTACAGTATCTATGTCACATAGGAGTAGAGATTTGCTGAGATATATATAATGAATATAAAATCACGGAAGTATTCAATTAATATCAGCCATTATTACTTCTATAAAACTTCTACATTACTTTTATATCACAGATGCACATAGTATAACATATAGCTCCACTGTATTACAGACACATCTGCATCTGTACTACTGCTAGATTCCAAGCTCCTTGAGGCCTGAGACCATACCTTATTCCTCATTTTATTATATTCTCCATACCTTATCATGTACGCAATACATGTTTGCTGGGAAGAGGAAAAAGCTGCCAAGAAAAATTAATGGACTTGGCCAAGATCCCACAGGTGACAACCGGGTAGCTGGGCCTGCACTGCTCTGACGCCCACACCACTGCTCTTTCCATTGCACCCTGGTGCCCCTACCACAGTGCTTCTCAGCCCTTCCCTGATGAAATATGTTAATCCTCTCTTCAGAAAATGCACACAAGTGTGCCAGACTGCCCGAGTTCACTCAGGGAGCCCACATTAAGAATGCCTGTTCGACATCCAATCCTTTGGCCCTCTTGAGAAGAACCATCATCGGTCCTTCACGCACATAAAACCCAAGGAGGGGGTTTCCCTGGTGGTGCAGTGGTTGGGAGTCCTCCTGCCGATGCAGGGGACACGGGTTCGTGCCCCGGTCCGGGAAGATCCCACATGCTGTGGGGCAGCTGGGCCCGTGAGCCATGGCCGCTGAGCCTGCGCGTCCGGAGCCTGTGCTCCGCGACGGGAGAGGCCGCAATAGTGAGAGGCCTGCATACCACAAAAAAAAAAAACCCAAAGAGGAAATGCATTTTACCCAGCAGAAGTGTGGCAAGATTACCAATACCTTCCCATCCTTAATTGTAGCAAAACATGCTGTCTCAATCTTTGCAGCGTGGTCAAAAAGCCCCATGTGGCGCAGCATCATCACGGCACTGAGCAGGAGGGCTGTGGGGTTGGCCATGTCCTTGCCTGCGATGTCTGGGGCGGTCCCGTGAACCTGCCCGGGTAGGGGGGGAAAAGAGTGCAGTCAGGAGGGAGACAGGAGCAAACGGCCCTCTTCCAGGGAAGCTGGGCTCTTAATCAGCTCTCCTCACCGATGAAAAATAGCTGCTCAGACATATGTCTTAAAAAATAAAACCTCAGAAAAATAAAGAGCTAAAGAAATTCTTTTTTAAGTGCAAAAATATGGACTAACAATCTTATCCAGTCCAACTTTCAGTAAAATATTTTAACTGAGGAAGGATACATAATAAATACTAAGGATGAAAAAGAAATAAGAGGAAAACGAATGAAGAAACCAAGCTTCATTTTCTTCTGACAATTGGAAAAACTCAAGAGTTAAAATATATTTATGCAGATAAGCCCTCCTGGGTTCTCATGTCATTCTGACTTGAATTCTGCTTCAGGTGTCACCAGGGTCCTTACCGACTCGAAGATTGCAACTCCATTGGCTCCAATGTTGCCACTTGGTGTCACACCAAGACCTCCAATCAGTCCTGCACACAGGTCACTGGGGGCAGAAAAGCATTTCAAAGGATATTTTGAAAAATAAAACGTCTCACCTAGCACCCAGGCTTTCATCTTTAAATACCATTCTCCACTGAAAGGAACCTGGGCTACTTAGAGAAATGACTGATTCCAGGACTACAGTTAGGAAAATATAGGATGAGCCTGAAGCACCTTATTGTGCCAGAAAGCAAATGATGGGCTGTGTCAAAAGGACACAGAGACAGTTCAAAGGGACTCCCACTGGCCAAGTCTGCACAACATATGCATCAATATAAAAGATGATAGTGATGGATATAACCACTAAATAAAATAGAAACCAGGAGTCCAAATTGATATAGGTAAATAAGTAAACAAATACATAAGAGAGAAGGAAAAGCTTATCCTTACAGTAGAATGCCAACTGATACATGTAGAAGGAATGATGGACTTACAAAAGCACCATTTGACCACCATCACGTGTATGTGTGTAGAGACAAAGAGAGAAAAAAGAAGAAGGAGGAGGAGGATGAAGGGAGGGAAAAGGAGAGAAGAGAGAGAGAGGGAGTAATAAAGTAAGTCTGGTAAAATGTTAACATTTGGTGAATGTGGGTGCTGAGTGCACAGGAATTCTTTGTACCATTCTTGCAACTTTTCTGTAAGTCTGAAATTATGCCAAAAGTTACAAAAACTTTATAAAAATGAACACCCACCTACCTAGCTATACATGATAAAACACTGAAATCAATCAATCAACCAACCAATAAAATATCTGTAAAATGGGAAGCGGGAACTAATGGTCAGGGAGCAAGAGCCCAGAGCTGATTTGGCAAATGAATGAATAACCCATCCAGCATATCACCATTGATATCACCACCTGAATTGTCAGAATTCAACTCGCAGCTTGTAACAAATGCTGTATTTTATGATATTTGATTAAAATTTGTAAGCCACAATTTATTTTATGACATTTATAAATAAACTGTAGGCTAAAAGGTATAGCCAGACTCACCTAAGGATGTCTCCATACAAATTTGGCATAACAAGGACATCAAACTGGGACGGATCCTGGACCATCTACAAAAAATGCATTGGTGCGTTTAGCAATCAAAAACTGTGCACCACACGGACACACTATACACCACAAAAAGTGGCAGGTAAGTGTGAATATATACTTACATTCAAACATACTGTATCAAGGTACATCTCATTAAATTTAATATCTTTACAGTTTTCTGCAACTTCCCTGCATTTTTTCAGAAAAAGCCCATCTGACATTCGCCTGTATTTAATCAAATAAAAATTGTTGAAAGCAAAGACTTGCAGAGAGAAAAAGATCAAATCAGAGAAGTAAAGTAAGTTCAAGAAATTTAAGTTGCAGATATCTGATTTCAATTACAGTAAAATTATTTTTTTTGGCCATCAGTAAAATGCAAATTTCAATGTTTTAGGATACTTCTGGAAGCACAAAAGGGTAAAAAATGTAATATAGTTTAATCATAATAAAGAAGACTATATTTTTATAGTGTTATCCAGCAATATCTATTAGTAAGAAAACATTAAAATTGCCTTAAAAGGTTACCTTCTTCAATTATTTAAATGGTTTTACTATTTTACATGCTCAACACTTTCCTTAGGTCAGGAAACCTGCTTCCTCATACACTGAGTTGGCCTTTAATACACGAGGGCTGAGAAGAATTCAAACTGCTAGAGTCATACATCAGATAGTATTAGCACTATGAGAAATATTTTAAGCCCCTGAGCGGGGGGGGGGGGCCATCTCAGAAACATTCCTGCTATTCCCTCCTAACACAGAAACGATTGCCCTTTTGCAGACGTGGCCTTAGCAAACTGCCCACCGCACCTGGGGATCCAGACTCTCCGGCTTCCTTCCCCGATGGTTCTCAGGCCCTCCTTAAACTTCCGGGACCTGAATTCTTGCTCCCTCCAAACCTGCTCCAGTCATCCACCCAAAGAAGCACATTAAATAGGATACTCTGACACAAGAGAAATGCCTGACCCTCTGACTGGCTACAAGGCCATTTTCCAGAGCTATCAGGAGTCAATGAGCAAGCTGGAGAGAGGAAAGGAAAGCCCTGTCACTGCTCCTCGCCCACAAAGCCAGACGGAGCGCCACCCACAGGGACTCACATGATGTTGGCTTTGTGCACGGCCGTGACGTTGCTCCGGAGATTGTTCCGCGCATACTCAAAGGCAAACTCCGCGATGCGCTTGCTCGCCCCCTCAGTAATGAGCTTTATACTCTGCACAACTCCATCCACAATCTGAAACAGAGGAAGTCCTGCCTCGCTGAAAGGGTATGGCAACAACCCGGTCCCGGACTGCTGGCAGTGTGCAGACAACACCATCTGTGGCAGGCTTGCATGGCACCAGCTGCCAAGGCAAGCATCATGCATATGGTATGTCAGTGAGGTTAATCATGTTCACTCCAGTCCTAGGAGCCAGGTATTATAAGCCTCACGGCACAGATGAGGAAAACCAAGGTGCAGAGATGGTTACGTATGAAGTTGAGGATTCAAAATTCAAACAGAGGACAAGTTCCCAAGCCCATACCCTGAAGCACCACAACCCCTCACCCAGGCATCCATTTGAGTACCGTCAGCCAGAGACCCAGGACAAGACAAACACCCACAACTCCTCACAGAATGCAAGAGAACTGTCTTTGGGAAATATTTTCAACTGGGAATTTGAACAAAGGTCCCAAGTGCACAGAAAGCAACCCAACTAAGAATGAAAAAGTATCCAAATGAACATACCACATGCTCAATTCCACTGTATTCTCCTTCCGTGTTCTCTCGAATGGTGACAATATTTACATCACTGTAAGGGGTTTTATAGCCTTCGATTGAGACACATGGTCGGACATTTGCATAAAGGTCAAATGTTTTACGCAGCAATAAATTCATGGATGGGTGACCCGCGGCTATGGGGGTTTTTAAAGGGCCTGTAATAAAGAAGAATACCCAGATGACAAGAGGATACAGTCTGGTCTTTTCTTTTCCTTTATAAACACAAGTACATAGTGTTGACACTTGTCCCTCGGCATGGGGGTTTGGGGGGAGGGATTGATCCAGGACCCAGCAACCCAGCAGATACCAAAATCCATGGATGTTCAAGCCCCTTATTATAAAATGACATAGTATTTGCATATAACCTACACACATCCTCCTGTAAACTAAATCATCTCTAGACTACTTATGATACCTAATATAATATAAACACTATGTAAATAGTTGCCAGTGAAAAAATTCAAGTTTTGCTTTTTGGAGCTTTGTGGATTTTTTTTTTTTTTTTTTTGCTGGTAACACCAGTTTTATTCGTTGGGGTGTCAACTATAGCCTGGCTGGGGGCAGGGCCAGCCCTCACAGGTGGTTGAGCTCCAGCAGGGTCTGGTCGAGGGCCTGGTGAATCTCCATGTTCTCCTCCTTGGCGCTGGCCAAGGTCTCTTCCAGGTCATCAATGGTTTTCTCCGACTTTGCCACCGACCTTTTGGCAAACTCTGCTCGGGTCTCAGCCTCCTTTAGCTTCTCCTCCAGCAGTTTGATCTCCTCTTCATATATATTTATCTTCTTTGGTGGAATACTCCTCCTCTGAGGCCATCAGGGACCTGAGGGCCTGGTCCCCGGTCCGAAGATCCTCCTCCCGGCTCTCAGCCACCTCAGCTGTCTCTTCTGAGTGCTCCAGCTCTCCTTCCAGGATCACTAGCTTCCTGGCCACCTCCTCACATTTGTGGTCTGAATCCTCAGCGATGTGCTTGGCCTCCTTCAGCTGCATCTCCGTCTTTTCCTCGTCCTTCATAGCTCGGCTTTCCATGACTTCATTTCTCTCTCACTCTCACCTGCTGCCTCGTCAGCCTCCTCCGGCTCTTGCAGGGCTGTAGCCAGGCGCTCCTGCGCCTGGTCCACCTCCTCCTCTACCAGCTGAATGCAGCGGTTCAGGGAGGCCACATCTGCCCTGGCATTGGTGGCTCTCTTCTCAGCCTGCTCCAGTTTCTCCTGGGCATCCTTCACTGATTCAGAATACTTTTCCACCTCGTCCTCCGTCCCTTTCAGCTTCTTCTTCTGCTGCACCTCCTCCAGCTGCTTGCTGCGGTCCTCAGCTCAGCGCAGTCGATGGCATTCTCCTTGTCCAGCTTTAGCATCTGCAACTTCTTGATGGCATCCATGGTTGTGGTGGGAGACCAGCTGGCCGGTGGGCAGTGCAGACCAGGCTAACTGGGCTGGCTGCACGGACTGGTGGCACCGGTGGTGGGCAAGGAGGACCAACCGGGACTGGGATGTCCCAGCCCAGAATTTTTTTTTTATATTTTCCATACATGATTGCAAATCCACGGATACACATGTGGATATGGAGGGCCAACAGTATTTGAAATTCCAATTTTTATTTTTTCCAGTATTCCATCAGAGATGTATTTAGGATCCTTTCTTTGGACATGAAGTAGCTTTGTGACACATCTAACATGCACGCTTCATGAATCAAGGGACACTTTTACAACAAAGTAAGCGTCATTTTTTTTTTTTTTTTTGCGGTACGCGGGCCTCTCACTGCCGTGGCCTCTCCCGTTGCAGAGCACAGGCTCTGGACGCGTAGGCCCAGCGGCCACGGCTCGTGGGCCCAGCCGCTCCGCGGCACGCGGGATCCTCCCAGACCGGGGCACGAACCTGCGTCCTCCGCATTGGCAGGCGTACCCCCAACCACTGCGCCACCAGGGAAGCCTCTACAAGCGTCATTTAAAAGGGCAGACAGGTGCTCTGTTTCTGAGTCTGATGTTCTCTTCATCGTAAATGAGTCCATCCATGGCTGGTCACTCTCAGGGAACATTCAGTGCCTACTCCCTGTGTCATCTACAGACCCACCTGGGCTACCTTGTAAAATATGTTCTGCCTCTAACTTTACCCTCTCCCTCAGATTCAGATGAAGGAAGAAATTTCCTCAATGAAGCTTTCTGGAATATCAACTGCGCTGAGCATCTACTGACTGAGGACCAAGCACGGTATCAGGTCCTGGACATTAGCTAATCCTATGACACCACCTCCCTATGAGGTATCAACTCTATTGCTGTCATTTTTTTTTTTTTTTTTGGCTGCACTGTGCTGGTCTTCGGGATCTTAGTTCCCCGATCAGGGATCGAGTCCAGGCCCTAGGCAGTGAAAGCACTGAGTCCTAACCACTGGACTGCCAGGGAATTCCTTATTGCTGTCATTTAAAGGTAAAGGGGAAAAGAAGAGTAAGAAATTTGCCCAAGCCTCCCAGCCAGTAAGCAGCAGGGATGAGATTCATAGTGGATCTGTCTGGATTTAAAGCCTATGCTGAATTCCAATCTGTCACATGCTAATATTTTGAATCATGACCTTAAGCATGTATGAATTAAAATAAAAATGTAAAAATTATACAAAAGATAAATCTAGGTAAAGATAAATATAACACCTGTAGCAGAAATCAATAATAAGCATCATATTCACTTCAGTGCTACCTTTCAAGCCCATCTTGTTCTTATCCATGGACTCTTTGGCTTCTGGAGGGATCATCCACTTTCCTCCCGGTCCTTGAATGGCGGTGACATTCCGCTCCTCCCACTGAATAGGTGCCTAGATGCCACACCACAGAGCACAGTGAACTGGAAAGACCTACATGTGACTGACATTCACACTACATTTATAAACAAACTTCCTCACTTTGGATGCAACTGGTGAAAACACATACAATAAAGGCCCGGAAAGTTCCTGGCATGCAAGAAGAGATGTCATTCTCTAGCATGTCCAGATGGATTCTCCACATTACCCTTGTCCAGTCATCACTCCTAGCAGCCACTTGCCTACCTCTTTTTTTCACAATCACTGTTAACGTGGCTATAATTATAATATCGTAAGGAGCAGAGAAACATGATTCACAGAAATATCACATAGTACTGATACATGGATGAATCTTGAAAATATTATGCTAAGAGCCAATCACAAAAACCATGGAATTTTTTTTGAAGTTCTGAATTTTATTTGTTTTTTATATAGCAGGTTCTTATTAGTTATCTATTTTATACATATTAGTATATATATGTCAATCCCAATCTCCCAATTCATCACACAAAAACCATGTAATTTTAAGACTCTGCTTATATGAAATGTCCAGAATAGGCAAAGCTACAGAGAGAGAAAGTAGATTAGCGGTCGCCTGGGGCTGGTGATGGGAGGGGGCAGGGTGGGAGAGATAAGGGTGATGGGGAGTGACTGCTGATGGGTATGGGGTTTCTTCCTGGGTGATGAAAATGTTCTAAAATTAGACTATGGTGATGGTTGCACAACTCCATGAATGAACTGTATACTTTACACGATGAGTTGAACAATATATGGATTAAATCTCAAAAAAGCTGTTAAGAAAAAAAAAGACATATTATATAATCTATGAAAGAAGTTTTAAGGAATAAACCAGCATTAGCCTTTCTCTTCACCCACACCCTTCAATGTGTACACACACATCTGACAGCCAACTGGGCACGCACTAGGAATAGGAACACAGAGCAAGACTTGTGCTCCTTGTTCACACGGAGCTTACAGCTGAGAGCCATCCTATTTCAGTTCCCTTGGGGAATGCTATTGTATAAGCATCATTTCCTCTGTAGGAGTTTTAATTAAAAACTCATATAGAAAAACAATGTATGTTTAGTATAAATAAATTGAATTCCTTGACGTATAGCTGTTGGTATCATAACAACCCTGATTTAATCTTACACGTTATTTCGCCTAGCAGCTATAAATAGCAAGAATAAAGCATCAGGTCAAACAAAGTCCAAGTTTCCTAAATTCTCTAGATTTTTAAATATCTACCTGCATTGAAGGTTAGGCTGTTGGATAATAATACCTCATACTTGATATTTCCACACCAGGAAAAAAAAAAAAAAGAATCTTTCAAAATGCCCTATATAGTTTTCTGAAATATCAATTCTATTCTCTTTTTTTTGGCAGGAAGGAAAAATGAGGTAGACAGGTGACTTGGAGGGGCTTAAAGGCTTTAAACACAGGCAGTGTTCAAAAGTCCACAAAAATTACAGTGCTACTTGGATTACTTTATATATAACTGATGCCAATACAATAGCTTAAACTATTGACAATGACGGCAGCAAACAACACTCTTAAAGTCAGAATCTGTGAAATTTAACAGACCTCGCCAACTTCATACACACGTGAACAGTTCATCCTAAGAGTTCACGGTCTCCAACTGGCTAAGAAAACTTTTCTACAAATTATTATCAAAAGTATTTTTTAAGACCACTTACTTTGGCAGCATCAAAAATCTTCATAACTGAGGCTGAAATTTCTGGGCCAATTCCATCTCCTGGAATTAAAGTTACCGTCTTAACCTGAATATAAGAAATCATCAAAGAAGACAGTCAGAATTGATTTTTGAAGGTTTAAAAAGGAACATCATTGACAAATAAATCCAGTTTATGGGTTTTCTTAACTCATAAGAAATGCCTTTAAGAAAACAGACCTACCTTCCAACGGCTTATCAAAGTGGAGTCAAGAATCAAGAGGCTCCACAACTCTACTCCCTATAGCTGAGCCCAGAGGTTTTAAAAAGAACTTAAGTGATGCTCTCCAGATAAAACAAAAATAAACTACCTGGTAAACTTCCCAATTGATGTTTCGTTTCAGACAAACTACAAAGAGACCAATTAATTCAAGTCTGTAAAACCAAGGAGAGCAAAACATTTCAACAATGTTCTCTTAGTAAAATTTAGAGGGCTTCCCAAGAAGGCAAGGGCTTTCCTCTCCACCGGGAGCCTAGAAAGTTTGGTTTCTCATGCAACTCGTTCAGTCTTACAAAACACTCTCAGACACTTCCAGAGTACCACTGAGGCCTGTTTTGGCACTCGGAAAATCAGACTTCACATCAAGAGAGGGTCTCCATTTTCCTAATTTCCTTTATAAAGTTGGCTCCTAATGACAAAAGTAATCCAAATGAGCTCAGCAAAGTTTACTTGGAACCAACAAGAATAGGGTATGTGATCATACCTGCAATGTCTGAATTACACTTAGAATGACAAGTGTATTTGTAATGTAACAGCAACGATTTAGTTCAAAGGCTTCAAACAAAATATAGCCAGCATTTCAAACACAGAAAAAAAATGTGTAAAGGGAAATGATGAGAGGATTTAAATGAGGATTACCATTTGGAAACTATATATGTCATTATTTGGGTATTTCCCCTACCTAGAAGTTTGGTTCAGACAACGGTCCCTGGCCTTTTTCAGTGCCAGCTGCCTGTGCTACATTTTTTAAAAATCACTGATTTACATTTCCCTGGTCTTTTACCTTCCAGTGATGCTCCCAAAGCAGGTGGACTAATTATTTCTGAATTTTTCTGTACAACTGAAGAAATCTTTTTTAAAAATTAGTTTCTTTTATTTCTTTCAAATATAACCCCCTCCCCACCAGGCCAATATATATTTTTTAATGGACAGCCTGGAAATTAAATAATAGCAGAGAGCAATGATCATCTCATCAGCTTTCAGAATGCGTTTGAAATGCTAGCTAGCTGAATGCTAGCTTAGCTAAAGCGCAAGCCTCATTCTGCATCTTTTGCAGCAAAAGCAGAGCCAAAAGAACCCCTTTGGCTTCTTCTTCCTGTTCTCCCAACATGTGATAACAAACGTCATCAGGCCACCAGAAAAAACTACTTTACTTCCACAGTTCAGAAAGTAAATGAAAAAAGATATACTACGGTCTTATAAATCCCTCACAGGGTAAGATGTTATACGGGAGTATAGGAATTATGAAATCCAAATCAGATTCTGTAAGAAGGAGGCAAAATAAAAACATACAGGAAGTCACTGACCCACAGTCTTAGAATGCTCTAAAAATGTGGTATCAGCTTTTAAAGCACAGAACTCTAATGCTGGGAATTCTAAAAGCAGCAGGTTTAATGAGAAATAGATGATCCGCTAACACAAGAGCCTATGAAGACTACGTAAGCAAAGTATTGATACATATAAGCCTACAGGGCTTATAGATGTTTGAGGCATTCCTGATTGGCAATCAAGTTACTGTTTTCAGGGAAGCTCACAAAATAAAAATGCAAAGCAGGTGTTGAAGCTTCTCAACAATTTTGTCTCAACCTGTACTAGTTTGGAAAAAAACTGTCTTATCCAAATGAGATTGTGAAATAAAGTAACAGGCTCAAGGGTAGTTGCTATCTTTAGATAATATCTGTTTTTTTATAATCTATTTTATAACTATTTTTAACAAGCCTCCTTCAAGATATTAATGTGATAGGCTTACAGCACCAGCTATAATACTATTTTTTTTAATGTGCAAGTGACCTAATAGATTTATGCATGTTCACCAATAATTTAAATATACAGTATGAGTACGGCCAATTTTCCCTAATTTTAAATAAGGGAAGATTAAATGCTACATAACGTGTCTAAGCATCTTTCTTGAGAAACTTCTAAAAGGAAAAAATAAAAGACGTAATTATACTCACACCACCAGCAAAACCTCTGGTCACCTGTTTTTGGTTGTGGAATGCCCCCAGCAGCCGAGAGACCTACATTTAATATCAACAAAGAAATGTTACATACAGAATTAAACCACATATAGTTAAAAGGTAGAGATGGAACCATCTCTGACAGCTGATAATGCTGCAACTTTGCACAGATATATTCAGGAATTTCCGAGGATTATTTTTCTCACGTATTAGCTCAATGTAGCAAGCTCTTTTGGATTTGAAAACTGAAATATTCAGTTTACCTTTGCTTTGAGAATGTAAGTACGATATATGTACTTTTAAAGTCAATTTTATGAAAAGTTGTCAAAAGACACTGAAGCTGAATGAAACTCTACTTTCTTAGCTCAAACACTGGATTTTTCTCAGATGATCTGGATGGTTTAATGTCAACATTCTTGACCACTGGGTCAATTTGGGGGTAACACACACTCTAAGAAAACTATCACTAATTTTAAGAGCCAACAGGGTCCTTATAAATCCCGGAGCCCAACTCACTCATTATACAGTGGAGACAGTGGGTCCAAAGAGTAGGGATTTGCCTAAGGTCACAGAGTGACCACAAAGAGACCACAATCTGGGTCTCCTGACTCTTAGTTCAGGGCTCCTCCAATTATACATTATGCCTATTCTTCTCCCATGAATATTAAGAAATTACACTGTATAATAAAAATCTAACAAAGTTTATCTAATACTATTTTGATAACTGTGTCATACAGAGTGAATATTTTAAATAAATTATCTACTTCTTCTGGTAATATAAGTGACATGGTCATTATTGTTAATTGCTGGGAGAGGGGAAAGATACAAAAAAAGAAAAGAAATGTGACCTACTAATCCCACTACCCCAAGACGTTACCACCGGTACATTTTTTTTCCACTTAACACTATGACACACCAGAAATATAAATTTTGAAAGGTTATTTTGAACTTTAATAATTCAGTCCTTGAAAACTGGTACAAAGTCATATTACATTATAATAAACAGAATATAATCAAAGAAATTGGGTACAAAAACCAAAGGTATTAAAATTCATTAAAAGTTTTAGTGACTTCCCTGGTGGTGCAGTGGATAAGAATCCACCTGCCAATGCAGGGGACACAGGTTCGATCCCTGGTCCGGAAAGATCCCACATGCTGCGGAGCAACTAAGCCCATGCACCACAACTATTGAGCCTGCGCTCTAGAGCCTGCGTGCCACAACTACTGAAGCCCGCACGCCTAGAGCCCGTGCTCCTCAACGGGAAGCCCACCGTAATGAGAAGCCCACGCACTGCAAGTAAGAGTAGCCCCCACTCGCCACAACTAGAGAAAGCCCGCACGCAGCAATGAAGACCCAACACAACCAAAAATAAATAAAATTATTTAATAAATAATAATTCATTAAAAATTTTAAATGTTAACTTTTATTCATGCTAGATACATGAGCAAAGATACATCTGTTATATCCTTAGTCTTCCTTTTGGGGGATAGTTCTTGTAAGTCCGGAACATTTGCTGTAATATCAGCATCCACTAAAGAGACACCAACCAAGAGCCAAGGAGCTGTGAACGAATTGTATCCTCTAACCTGGCATCTACAGTCATCTCTCCGGACTGACAATAAAAGACAGGGTGAGACCCAAAAGAATGTGCTATGCCAAAACCACTGGCCAAAAACTTAATCCTAGGACATGATTCATCCACCAGCAAATGGGCTATTGGGAGACCATTTAAAGGCTAGGTTATAAAATTTGCATGAGTCCTTCTCCCCACCCCCCCAGAAAGAGAGAAAAAACATTCACTCAGAACAGGCCCATGGGCTTCCCTGGTGGCACAGTGATTGAGAGTCCGCCTGCCGCTGCAGGGGACATGGGTTTGTGCCCCGGTCTGGGAAGATCCCACATGCTGTGGAGCGGCTGGGCCCGTGAGCCATGGCCACTGGGCCTGCGCCTCCGGAGCCTGTGCTCCGCAACGGGAGAGGCCACAACAGCGAGAGGCCCACATACCGCAAAAAAAAAAAAAAAAATAACAGGCCCATGTCAGGACTTCCCTCATGGTCCAGTAAGACTCCGCGCTCCCAATGCAAGGGGCCTGGGTTCAATCCCTGGTCAGGAACTAGATAACGCATGCATGCCACAACTAAGAGTCTGCATGCCACAACTAAGAAGTCCGCGTGCCCCAACGAAGATCCCGTGTGCTGCAACTAAGACCTGGTGCAGCCAAAATAAATTAATTAATTAAAAAAAAAAAACAGGCCCATGTCGAGATTGGGACTGACATATATACACTACTATATATAAAACAGATAACTAATAAGAACCTGCTGTATAGCACAGGGAACCCTACTCAATACTCTGTAATGGCCTACATGGGAAAAGAATCTACAACAAAAAGGGGGGGGTTATATATATATATGTATAACTGATTCACTTTGCTGTACACCTGAAACTAACACAACACTGTAAATCAACTACATTCCAATAAAAATTAAAAAAAAAAAAACGGCCCATGTCTTTGTGATAAAAGACCCAACCCAAATAACTGATTTAAAATGTAAATCCACGAGGCAAAGATTTTCATGTTGTGTTCACTGTTCTATCTCTAGTACCTAGAACAGTGCCTAGCTCACAGTAGGTGCTCAGAATACTTTTGGAAATACTGAGTCCAGCCTTAAGCATCTCTCTATTTGATGAGTTCCCACTCCAGCAAATAGCTTTAATACTTGCAATGATTTTCTCTAACAACCAGTCTTCTTCACCTTTGTCATCTCTCCTTCGTGATCTTAGAATAAGGTAGTATTGCATCTAAATCATTAGAATGACCCGGAACTTTTAAGACAAGATTTTTTAAAGCACAGGCTGACTTCTACTTTATAGTATACTTGTACATATACTACATCATTTTATTTTAATAAAACCTGGAGAGATTGTATTAGTAGCCCTTTTCAGATAAGGAGACTAAGACCAGGCTCACAGAATATGGACTGAACTTCTGACTTCCTGGGCCATCTTCATCCATAGCACCTCATTTCCTTTTTTACCTTCATCCTCCAACTTAAAAACATATAAATACAGTGTAGAATGTATGGCAGGTACTCACTCAATAAAAGCTTCCTGATGGGGGAACTGCCTCGTTATAATTATAGTATTTTAGAGCCAGAAAGGTCTTTAGAAACTCACTATTTTTTCTAAATAAAGCTTTTTTAGAAAAAAATAATTTAAGCTGCAGATCCCTTTTTTTCAAATAAAACCTTAAATGGAACGCTAATATAGGACTTGTTCTGATTGAAACTCACATCCAGCTCAGCTTTCTCATAATTCTGGGACATCAGCTTCCGAGACACTGTATATTCCAGTCCCTAAAGGAAGAAACTGGCCCACAGAGGTCAAATGACTGCCAAAGGTCACACAGGAAGTCCATTCCATGTCAGAGGAGAACCTCATCCTCTGACACTTTCTGAATTCCTACTATGTGGCTTTTTTCTTGTATACCACGCTAAAGGCAAAACAAATTTACTAGCTGTTTTATTTAGTCCCTCATTCTGAAGCTTAATGTACCTACCAAAGATGACTGGATGTTAAGTGTAAGCTCAGTGATTAAAGGACTGACTTCTGTTTAGACAATGACACAGAAGTTGCTTTACCTTCAGGAGCCAATGTGAAATAAATTACCATCATACACAAATCCAGGTCTGAAGAGGGTAAGAAAGCAGAACCCAGTTACTAAATAAAACCTAGCTACTGATGCCCAATTGTCTGCTTGAAGACTGTAAGATAAGTATATTGACAGCTAGGAAAGCTTCAGGTTTTTGTGTTCCTTCTGCATGTATCAGGTGCTCTCACATTATTTTTTTCAATCCTCAAACAACTCTGTGAAGCAAGTACAAATATTTTACAGATGGCTTATTAAGGCTCAGAGATGTTAAGTAATTTGCTCAGGGTCACGCAGCCAATCAATGGTACTAACAATACTTAAACCTAAGATTCCTAAACTCCAGTGTAGACTGCTTTTCACTAAATAACAGTGCATGCGGACCTCGCTTTAAACTTAAAACAAAGGAGAAATGCAGTATCAAATTTTTTAGAAAAAAATTAAATTGCTTATGGTAGGTTTCTAGGGGATCATTCTTAAGAGCAACAGGAGACCTGCGGGCCCATTTTTCCCTCTGCCTATAATTCGTTGTGTGACCTTGGCCACAGAGTAGGCAGAATGGGACTTAGAACTGGGAATCCCGAGACATCTGGGTTCCTCTTCCAGTTCTGACACGGACTTTCTGTGTGATCTTGCGCAATTACGTTTACAGGCACAGTTAGTTCCACTGAGGAACCAAAGAATTGGAGAGATGGTCGGAAACCCTATCCAGCTGCGGCAGGCATCTGAGCTGTCAGGTGAGAACGCAGGATGCTCACAAATAAAAGGTGAAAGAAAGGTGTTGCTGGTCTCCCTCTCTCAGTCTCCCAGTGTTCAGATAGCAATTCCAAGGTGCAAGGTACCCTGTGTCCTTTGAAGGGGAAATAGCTATACGATCAGATTGGTAAGAGCTCTAAAGGAGAAAAAGTCTGGCAGGAAAATGACTTCGGGATTCCCTCACCTGGGAGGTTACCCGGCCCGGGCCGGAGCAGACACCTGGGGGAGGCCTGGGCCGTGCTGGAGGGGACTCTCCGCGCGATCAGCAGGCTGCAGGGCCACAGCCTCGGAAACCGCCGGAATGGCGGAGCCGGGGCGGCGGCTCCGGTGACCTTCCCGGGCTCCGCGCGCGGCCTGGGCTCCGGACGGGGCAGATGCCGGAGGTGGAACCGGGATGCTGCCCGGGGCAGGAACTGCGCCCCCTGCCTTGACCTTGATGCCGTCCCCGCCCCAGACGCTACCTTCCGAGAGCGAGGCTGCCTACACACCGCACGCGGGCCACGGGGCGAGGCGCACAGGCGGCCAGGACAGGCTTCCTAACTGTCCCCAGCCGGCCGCGCGCCGCCGCCTCCCCATCGGGGTCCGCGCGCCTGCCCCCGCCCAGCACGCGGCCCGCCCGCCAGTCACAAGCCGGCCTGCCAGGCGCTCACCTTGGATATCCACGCGGGCCCGGCCATCGTTTCCACTCTCACCACGGCGACAGCGGCGGCAGTACTGCGCAGCCGCGCAGCCCAGCAGCCCGCGCCGGGAGCCCGCCCTGGAAGCCCCGCCCCCTGGAAGCCCCGCCCCCACGGACCCGCCTAGGGGATTCTCCGAGCACGCTCCTGGTCCCGGTCCTGGACAACCCGGCTCCGCTGGCCAATCGCCGGGCTAGTCTCGCGGTGACGTGCGGAGCAGCGACCCGGAAGCTGCAGTCAGTGATCTCCGGTAAGAGTCCTTCCTCTCCTCATTCATTCATAGATTCACTGTTCAGATGGGATGTTTGTTCCGCGCCTGCTAGATGCCAGTCACCCTTCTAGATTTGGGGGATTTAGTTTCTCTTACGGAGTTTACAGCCTCAGAGAGGGAGAAAGATCATTTACTCGTTCCACAAATTTTTATTTTTTAATAGCTTTATTGAGGTGTAACTTATATACCTTAAAATTCACTCACTGTGGTGCTTCCCTGGTGGCGCAGTGGTTGAGAGTCCGCCTGCCGATGCAGGGGACACGGGTTCGTGCCCCAGTCCGGGAAGATCCCATGTGCCGCGATGCCGATCAAACACATGAAAAGATGCGCTGAGCCTGCAATTATTAGGGCAATGAAAATCAAAACTACAATGAAGAATCGCGAGAGGCCCGCGTATGAAAAAAAAAAAAAGAATACAAACAGGGCTTCCCTGGTGGCGCAGTGGTTGAGAGTCCGCCTGCCGATGCAGGGGACACGGGTTCGTGCCCCAGTCCGGGAAGATCCCACATACCGCGGAGCGGCTAGGCCCGTGAGCCATGGCCGCTGAGCCTGCACGTCTGGAGCCTGTGCTCCGCAACAGGAGAGGCCACAACAGTGAGAGGCCCGCGTAGCGCAAAAAAAAAAAAAAAAAATTCACTCACTGTAATTTCGCGATGATTTTCATTAAATATAAACAGTTTGCACAGCCATCACCACAATCCAGTTTTCGAATCTACGGAAATACTCCTTGTGCCCATTTGCAGTCAATCCCAGCTCCAATCCCAGGTCCCAGCAACTACTGATCTGCTTTCTGTCTTTAAAGCTCTACAAATATTTCTGAGTGCCAACTAGATACCAGACACTGTTCTAAGTGCTGGGTTTTACAATCCAGTAGAAAAGACAGGCACCAATCAAGTATCACACAAATATGTAAATTAAAACTGTGATAAGTGTCAGGAAGGGAAAGTGCAAGGAGCAATGAGAAGGTAAAATCAGGGGACCTGATTCAAATCTAACAGAGAGGCCAGAAGAAGGCCTTTCTGAGGAAATAACACCCATACTCCCCTTCCTCCTCATCCTCTCCTCAGCAACCAGAGTCCTGAAGCTCTACTGATCACAGGTCCCCTAGTTGGGTGCCGGGGTGATTTAGACTAAGTCTCCCCCCACCCCACCCTGGAAGAGGTTGTTTCCAGAGAACAGCTACCCATCTACCCAGAAAGGTGGTGAATTAGGTGCAGAAGTGATGCCAGTGACTTTCATGAGATAATAAAGTACAGCTAAGTCTGTGGCCTCATCAGGATACAGGGATCTCATCAATCTCTTCTCCTTGGCCTTTCCTCTCATCAGGCCCTGGCAGTCCCACCCAGGGGTGTTCTCCCCAGTCCCCCTCCACTCCATCCCCACTGCCACCCCTGCCCACCTGCAGGACTGACCATCTGATGCCCAGACAACCCAGTCCTTTCTCCACACAATCCTCTCCTTCACTCACAGCTCTGACCAGGGCCCATCCAGGCCCTAAAACCTCCTGGCTCTCTCTTGCATTCATCTCTCACCACTGTCTTTTTCAGCCATATTTCCTGTCACTCCTTCCAGCCCCAAAGTCCTGGAGTGCCAGCCAAGCAGGGCTCCTGGCCAGCCCCCAAATGCTTCCCATATTTTACCCACCCTATGCTCATGCCATTCCCTCTGCCAGAATGCCCTTTTGCACCATTTCCACCTGTTGAAATTCCAGCCACTTGTCAAGACTCAGCTCAGATGTTGGTTCCTTTGGGAAGCCCCCCCAGACTCACCCACGTGTTCCTTCTCCCTACTCAGAGCCCCCTAGCACTTGGTTCCCACCTCTCCCATGAACCTCATCACATTCTACCCTGCTGTGTACCACTGAGATCCTCCTCAAGCCCAGAGACCATCTGTTATGTCTTTGTGTCTGGAATATAGACTCTGAGAGTACTTGCTGTTCAGTGATTACAAAACAAATGCGAAATGACTTTCTCCAAGAGGTCCATTTAATTCACAACAGCTCTATGGGGAAACTGAGGTACAGCTAGTAAGTGATGATGCCGACATTGTACTAGGATGCCTCCTAATTACTATGGCAGTTCTCCTAACTGCTAAGCTTCCCCTGGGGAGGGGGGTCATTCAACTCAACAAAGGCTTCCTAAGCGGAGTCCCTCTCAGGTGCACTGTGAGGACAAGGAAATGAATAAGCCCCAGCCCTGCCCTCGGAGCCTAGTGAGGGAGAAACACAGAAGAAATTCAGACAGTGACAGGTGCTCTAACAGTTTGGGGGTGGGGGGGCTGGGCAGGAGAGGGGTGTTGATTAGGGAAGATTCCACTATGGAGATGGCATTTGAATCAGTCCTTGAAGAAGTCAAAGAGGTCAGCAGCCTAAGATGGGGTGATAAGGAGGGACCAAGGCCAGCAAAGATTTTGAGGCAGAAAAGTGTCAAATTCTCAGAAGCTCGGGTTCTCAGGACTGAAAGGACCTCAGAGGTTTCCCAGTCTAACTCCCATAACAAGGTGCTTCCTGACTCTGGAGCAGCTGGAGGGATGCCGGGAAGACAGAAGCTACCTCCCCCTCAGCTGGGACCTGTTCCCTGAGTCCAGAACTGCCAGCCGCTACTCCTCATACATGTTCCAGAGTTCCTCCAACATGCAGGTCACTCTCCTCTGGACAAGCCCCTTTGTCCTGTCCCTTGCACTTTGTAGTGCCAGAGATCCCATCAGCGAGGTATGTTTGAACTAGACGGTAGGAAAACTTTGCCACTCAAGAGAAGGATCTAGAAGGTGTGCCCTTATTTGTGACTACAGCACTACACAATCCAGGTGTGCTTCACTCTAAGAAATGTTTTTGTAATCAACATGGCAATTTTTAAATCAATCAGTCAGCAAAATAGGAATATAATTATTCACATACCAAAGGCTTTTAAAAAATTTTTTACAAAAGGAACACAAATTTATTTACACAGAATTTCCCTAGTTTATTTTCCTAACTATTAAGACTTTAGTAAATAAATGGGCAAAGGACCTGAATAATCAGTTCACAGTCAAAGAAACACAAATAAACTTTTTAAATGTCCAACCTTAACCATAATCAAGTACATGCAAAAATATTTTAAATTTGAAGCTTTTACCCCTTTTATTAGAAAGTGTAAATAAAATGCTAATGTCCTCTACTGTCTAATTTATGGTGAAACTTCCACACTCTAAGTTTTGGCTGGCCTTATAAACTGCCACAGTCTCTGTGGAAAACAGTTTAGCAATGTGCCTCAAGAGCTATTAAGTGTTTTTACTCTTTCACTTAGTAAATCCATTCCTGAGAATCAATCCCTTGAGAAATCTCCTAAGAAAGATCCACAAAGACAAAGCCATCAGCACAAAGATATTCATTATAGGATTATCTATAATTTTTAAAATTAAAACAGAAACAGTCTAGATAATTACAAGGAAATGGTTATGTAATTTAGGGTAAATGAATTGAATGGAACACCACACAGCCCTCAAAAGTGATCATTATGAACACTCTTTAGGGTCTCGGTGTCTATGGTTTAGTGTTCAGGAAAAAAAATATCAAATTTAAAATGTTTGCTCTGCTATAACTTCTTGCTATACGTGAGCAGAGACTAGCAGGGAAACTACTTCCTCCCACAGTCTTCCCTCGCTCGATAAAATCCAGCTGCGATCTCCCAGTTGCTCAGACCACAAGACTTGAAGGTGAGCTCTATTTTCCAGATAGATCCAGAATTGGACACTTCTTCCCACCTCTACTGCTCCCATACTGGTCCAAGCCAAAATCATCTCTTGCCTGAATCAACGCAGTAGCCTCCAAACCCATCTCCCTGCTTCCACCCTTGCCTTCTTACAGTCCATCTCCTGCCTTAGGGATTCTGTTAAAACATAAGACAAATACATCCTCCACTGGCTCAAAATAGCCAGTGTTGTCTCGTCTCCATCCACGTAAAAGCCGACACTCTGACAGTGGCCCACAAGGCCCTACACAGTCTGGTCTTACTACTGATGCCAACAGCTCAGCCTCTGTTCACTGGTGCCAAATCGAATCTCAGAGACAGAGTTTTGGGTGAAGTAGAAAAGAATATCTGTATTGGTTTGCCAGGCAAAGGGCAACACAGCATGTTCCTGCCCTTGAAAACTGTGTCCCAACCTGGGAAGATTTGGTGAGGAGTTTTATAAGCAATGGTTCAAGGGTGGGGTTGCTGATAAGATTAGGGTGTGTGCAGGGCCTGCATTCCTTTAATCTGGTCTCAGGTAATTTTTTTTTTTTTTGGCCATGCAGCATGCGGGATCTTAGTTCCCCAACCAGGGATCAACCCCACGCCCCCCGCAGTAGAAGCCTGGAGTCTTAACCACTGGACCACCGGAGAAGTCCCTCGGGTGATCTTTTGATGAGTTTCTCTGGTTCCTTTACTCTGGGCTCAGGTGGTCTTCTCTGGTGTGAAGAATGCTGACATCTTCCATTTGTTGTGTTTTAGTCCTATGAAGAGCTCAAACATGTTGTTGTGTGTATCCCTTGAGGCAGAACCAGGACCTGCCCCAAGGCTGCACTATTGTTTCTTGGCTCCTCCTCCCTTGTCACTGCATCCCCTTCCTTCCCTGATTAGCAACTGTCTGAATCTGCCCTTTGGAACTCAGGGAAGGTCATGGAGGCTGGAGTCTGTTCCCTACAAACAAGCAACGGGGGACGCAGAAAGTCTTCCGTGCCCAGGAGCCCCACAGGGTCCTGCTCAGTTTCACTGCCCCCTCTCTTTTCTCATCTCCCACCACTTTCCCCTTCATCACTCTCTTTTAGATACGTGCCTCCTTGCTGTTCTTTGATCAGACCACACTTTGTCCCAGCTCAGGGCCTTTGCACTTGCTGTTCCCGGTGCCTGGAATGCTCTTCCTCATGGCTTGCTCCCTTGGCTACTCCTCATCCCCCTACCACCCCAGACCCTGGCAACCACCAATCTACTTTATGTCTCTATGTCTTTGCCTACACTGGGCATTTCATATAAATGGAATCATACAATTTGTGCTCTCTTGTGATTGGCTTCTTTCACTTAGAAATTAAATAATGTTTTCAAGATTTATCCATGTGTATTGGAAAAACCTTGGTTCTTTTCCTCCTGTGTCTTCCCTAACTCTTACACTACTGCCACACTCACAACACTTCTGACACTTCCAGTCACCAAATGTGTGTGGGAGGGTGTTCCCCACCAAGCAATTCTCTGTGACACCAGCTGGGTGTCCTACAATTTAACTCAATTCTGACACTATATACCTCGAGACAGTGTCAGATCCCACAAGTTAAGGGCTCAGTCCTACAAGATTGCTCCCACCCCACTTCAGATGACAGTCGAAAGTCCAGGTTGTCACCTGTGCTTCTGACCCATGGGCTTTAAATGTGAAGCTGCTATGACCTTCTCCTCAGGTTTGATTAATTTGCTGGAGTGGCTTCACAGAACTCTGGAATATATTTACATGCATCTACTAGTTTATTAAAGGATATGATAAAGGGTACAGATGAACAGCCAGATGAAGAGACACATAGGGTGAGGTCTGGGAGGGTCCCGAGCACAGGAGCTTCTGTCCCTGTGGATTTGGAGTGCATTATCCTCCCAGTACACAGATGTGTTCACCAACCTGGAAACTCTGTGAACCCCACACTTTCAGGATTTGTATGGAGGCGTCATCACATAGGCATGATGGATCATTAATTCCATTTCCAGCCCTTCTCTCTTCCCGAGAGAATGGGGAGCAGGGCTGAAAATTCCAATCTCTAATCATGGTGCCAAAATACAAAATTCAACTGGGGAAATTTGAAAATCTATTTGACTCTATTCAATGAATCAGGCAGCATCCCATCTAGGAAATAGAAAGTACAGGTGTGTGTCTCCTCCACAAGAGGAGACACACACCTGTACTGTGAGCCTCTCAGCCCCTGCTGATCTGTCCATCCCACACAGAGCCACTCACAATGCTTACTGACCAAACAGATGAACTGACTGACACGTTGACTGTACTTCCCACTCTTCAGTGGCATTTGGAGAGCAATTCTGCACAGCCACTGCCCCTCGAAGTTCCAGGGCTTGCCAAGCTTGTACATTGAAAACTGAACTCATCACCCTCCCCACTAAACTTCCCTCCCTCCTCTGTTCCCCATCTCAGCCAAGGGGTCACCCTCAACCCCTTCATCATTCAGAAAAGGTTCTCTGTGCAGCTACTGTATTCCAGGCCTGTGCTAGGCACAAGGGAGGAAGCGGTGACACAGGGGAGGTGAAGTCCCTGCCCTCTAAGGCTTCAGCGTGGCTCTCAACACTGTCAGCTAGGATCCCCCCACGCCCTTTAATAAATATTTTGAATATCCTCCGCTTTAAATTCATGGATATTATAACCTACTTATACATGTAATGAAAAGACAAAATCAATATAATATAATGAATATAAAAGGGAAATAAAAGGAGCATTAGAATAAAATGTGTTTCAATCTGTAAATGCTTAGGCCTAATTCACCAGAGACGTAATAAAGCAGTCACGTGCTTGCACCTACTTAGGACAAAGAAATCTGGATTTAAGGGATGTAAGACGATATTCAGGCAATACTTTATTTTTGGCATTTGAAAGTAAGAGCTTCAAAAGTAGAGTTTTGGGCTTCCCTGGTGGCGCAGTGGTTGAGAGTCCGCCTGCCGATGCAGGGGACACGGGTTCGTGCCCCGGTCCGGGAAGCGGCTAGGCCCGTGAGCCATGGCCGCTGAGCCTGCGCGTCCGGAGCCTGTGCTCCGCAACGGGAGAGGCCACAGCAGTGAGAGGCCCGCGTACCGGAAAAAAAAAAAAAAAAGTAGAGTTTTATATACCATGAAACACAGCGACCGCGACATCAGCAAATGCAGATGGATCCAGGTGTGTCGTATGGGGACTCATCCCATGGTCAAGCAAAATCCTCAAACAATTAGATTTGCCAGCAGGTATCTGGGTGAATTTCTTCTTTCTCTATCATGAGTCATGTTGCCATCACAGGTGTGATTTTCCAAAATGGTGATAAGTCCTTGCTAAAGCTCTTGAGCAAAGCAAAACTTGTTCTTCCCTTGATTTACACAGTAGTTGCGTTCCTGGAAAAGTCAGCATATGTTAAAACCATGCCAAAAAAAATTGAGTTTATTTGTAAAATTACTAGTTTCCAAGCTCGCTTAATTACAGGGTGTGTTACCTACAGGAGCATTTGGTTGGACTTCTTAAAGTCCTGTGGGACAAGAAACATTCTCCGCTGGGCAGGACTGTCGCTACATTGCAGGAGAGCCAGCATCCCCAGCCCCCTGTCCGCCACATGGAAATAGCACCCTCCTGTCACTGCATCCACTGAAATATCCCATACAGTTCAAAGCATTCCTTGAGAAGCATTATCCCTTCCATGAAGAACATTGGTCTAGAGGGTCAATATTCAAACTGTTGATCCCAACCCAGTGTAACATGTGCGGCAATACAGATTCCAGAGTCTGTGGGTGCTCCAAACCTGGGGTATCTCAGGAACAGGGGGTTCAAAGTGGACAGATCACTATAAACAGACAAGACCTAAGGGAGGCCAATTTTGCAGACAGAAAGAAGGGAAGGCAAAGGGGTGCCAGGCAGAAGGGACACCATAAGCCAAGGCCTGGAGATGAATGACAATCCATGAGGTATGTGGGAAATGCAAGGGTTAGAGCCCAAAGGGCCAGGTGGTGAGAGGCTGGAGGAAGAGGCAGGGTCCAGACCCTCCCACGCCTATCACAGGAAGCAGCATGGACACTGTCCTGGGAGGTAATGGGGAGCCATCTCACATACGATGCATTTACTCGTAAGTGCATTATTTTTTTAAGGGACTCTGCTCAAAAGATTTGTACCCCTGAGGCCTGTTTTGGGAATAGTATCTTACTTCTCCAGAAGTAAAGCCTGGAAATGCAAACCAGGGATGTTGATTGAATCAAATTGACCTGATCTATTCCTATTTGCTTACACGGTGGGGCCTGGCTTTGCTCGATCTGCCCAAGTCTATAGGTTAAGTTCAGAGAAGCTACATAAACAGTGACAAGCCTTCCCTGAAAGCAGATCATGACTCCCAGCACAGCCCTTCCCCTAGAGAAATCCAGCCTGTGGGCTGCACAGTTAATGGCATGGGCTTTTGAAAGCCAATTCCCACAGTCCCCACGGTGGACAGAGGAGCTGAAAGGAACGATCCCCAGGCAAACCTGGTCCCCAGTCTCACCCCACAGAGGGTTCTGAAGATTTTATGATTAATATGACACCTTATAACATCTTAAAAAATGCTGGAGCAAGCAGAAGCTAACATATTGGCAAAACACCTGTTGAATCCCCCATTTTTCTGGATTAATCAAAAAGATGCAGGGAAATGAACTAAATCAGAATCCTCCCTACACAGACTTCAAAATAATCCTCCAAACACAGAAATGAATATTCAATAATTCAGGGCCTGCCTTTGAGGAATGCACACGCAGCTGGGGAGCTATACAGATAGTTCTAGGAGACAGTTTGTGTTAGGGTGATGGGGCTTGGCGGGGGGTGAGGTGTTCCCAGACAGATTCCTTTGTTCTTTTTGTGTAAATCATGATCCCAGGGCCTCTTTATGGTCACAAAACCCCCCAGCTCACCAGGGCTCTCCAAGAGGTCTTCCAGAACCATCTTTCTGTGTGATTTAGCCCTCCTCCCAGTGACGGTGAAAGCCACCTGACTTCAAAAAGTATGGAATCTAAGGCATTTGAGCATCATTTTTACCCCACAGGCAACACCCTCGCCTCCCTCTCTGATGCTGAAAGCTTGGAAGGGACCATAAGGTTTATTTCACAGCTGAAGAAATTGATGCTCGGAGAGGGACAATGACTTGCCCAAGGTCACAGTGAGCAAGCAGGGATTGGAAACCCAAGCCCAGGCTTACCACTTACATGCAAGACCTCACGTAAATATGTTTATGAAAGTCCTCCTCCCCAGGGCAGTGACTAATCAAACCGTCTCTAAGAGGGAGTTGTTCATACACTCACAAAATGAATGTTCTAGGCCCACGTTCAGTGCTGAAGCCACTGACCATGTGTGGCTATTAAGCACTTGAAATGTGGCAAGTTCAAACTGAGAAGGGTGTGAAATGCACACCTGATTCCAAAGGCTTAGACTGAACAAAAGAATGTAAAGTATCTCCTTAGTAATTTGTTATATTGATTACTTGTTGAAATAACAATGTCTTAGATATATCTGGTTAAATAAAAATATTATTAAAATGAACTTCATCTGTTTCCTCCTTCTTTTTTCACCTTTTTTGGCTACTAGAAAGTTTAACATTACGTACATGGATCGCACTCTATTTCCATTGGACAGAGCTTCTACAGGCATTGAGGATATAGCAGAGCACAGAACAGACAAAAATCATGCCCTCCTGGAGTTTATCCCCTGAGGGAGGAGAGAGACAACAAATAAATAAGTGAAATAAGTGCTATAGAAAAATAAAACAGGGAAGTGGGGGAGGGGGTAGAGAAGGGAGGAGGGGTTGACATTTAAAATAGGATGATCAAGAAAGGCTTTATTTACATTAGCCTTCAGGAAAATGCAAATCAAAACCATGAGATACCACTTCATCACCCCCCTCTAGGATGTCTGTAATCACAAAGACTGGTAACAACAAGTGTTGGAGAAGATGTGGGAAATTGGAATCCTGATAACACTGCTGGTGGGAATGTAAAATGGTGCAGCCACTTTGGAAAACAGTCTGGCATTTTCTCAGAAGGTTCAACAGAGTTACCATATGACCCAGCAATTCCCTCCTAGGTATCTACCCAAGAGAAATGAAAACATATGTCCACACAAAAACTTGTACATGCATGTTCATAGGAGCATTATTCCTAATAACCAAAAAGTGAAACAGCCCAAATGTCCACTAATTGATGAGTGGATAAATAAATTGTAGTATCTCCATACAATGGAATATTATTCAACCCTAAAAAGGAATGAGGTACAGAAACATGCTACAACATGGATGAATCTTGAAAACATTAAGCTTAGTGAAGGAATTCAATCACAATAGAGCATATGTCTGATTCCACTTAATGGAATTCTAATTCCTTGAAATGTCCATAATAAGCAAATACATGGAGACAGAAAGTAGATTGGTGGGAGGGTTGAGCAAACTGGGGAGAAATGGGGAGTGCCTGCTAATAGGTCTGGGGTTTCTGCTTGGAGTGAAGAAAAATGTTCTGTAACTGATCATGGTGAAGGTTGCACAACTCTGTAAATACGCTAAAACCCACTGAATTGTACACTGAATTGTAATGGGTGAATTGCATGGCATATGAATTATATTAATAAAACTGTTATTAAAAAAAAGAAAACAAAGACTTCACTGAGAAGTGATATTTGAGCAGACATTTGAGTGAATTAATTGGCTATTTGCGGGAAGGACATTCCAGGCAGAGGAAACAGCAAGTGCAAAGGCCCTGAGGAAAGAGCAGGCTTTTTCAAGGAACAGGCTAGAGCAGAATGAGAGGGAGAGAAGAAGGAGTTGAGTCAGAGGGATGGGGCAGCAGATCATGTAGGGTCTTCCAAGCCATGGGAAGGACTTTGGCTTCTCTGCTGAATAAGATAAGCCACTGGTGGCTTTAGAGCAAAGAGGGATCAGTGTGGCTGCTGTGTTGAGAATAGCCTTCAGGGGTCATTTGCAGAAACAATGAGAAAGCTGTTATATTGTCTGAACATTTCAGTTGAACTAACATGATGTATATGTGTGTGTTATTGGTTTGAACCCCCTAGAACAGGGAGGGGTTGGCAAATTGCAACCCGGGGGTCAAATCTGGCCCACCATCTATTTTTGGACAGCCTGTGAACTAAGAATTGCTTTTACATTTTTTTAAAATCAGAAGAATAATACTTTGTGAGACATGAAAATCATATGAAATTCAAATTTCAGTGTCCATAAGTAAAGTTTTACTGGAACACTTCCAGGCCCATTTGTGTGTATGGATGCTTTCACAGCAGAGGTGAGTAGATGCAACAGGGACAAGTCCTGAAAAATGATATATTTGAAAACAAAAAATATTTAGTGAGAAGAGTGGCATTGTTTTACAGTCAGCCCTCCTCTGCGGAACCCGTGGATATGGAGGGCCGACTATAGGACTCAGATTTTGGTATGAGGGCAGGTCCTGGAAGCAATCTTCCACAATCCTGAGAAACCACTGTACATGTTTATAAATATCTTTAAAGTCTGGCTTGGACTTCCCTGGTGGTGCAGTGGTTAAGAATCCGCCTGCCAATGCAGGGGACATGGGTTTGAGCCCTGCTCCGGGAAGATCCCACATGCCACAGGGCAACTAAGCCTATGCGCCACAACTACTGAGCCTGTGCTCTAGAGCCCGTGAGTCACAACTACTGAGCCCATGTGCCACAACTACTGAAGCCCACGCGCCTAGAGCCTGTGCTCCGCAACAAGAGAAGCTGCCTCAATGAGAAGCCTGCGCACCGCAACGAAGAGTATCCCCCGCTCCCTGCAACTGGAGAGAGCCCGTGCGCAGCAACGAAGACCCAATGCAGCCAAAAAATAAATTAATTAATTTTAAAAAAAAGAAAAGTTACTTATAAGTATTTTTTTAAAAAGTCTGGCTTAATAGAAGACAGCTGCATTCTCATATCTGATTCTTCCTTCAACCTGTGGCAATACTACACATGTAACTTCTGGAAAACTCCCCTCTGTGCTTGGGAGAAAATGAGAGTGAAAAACGAAAATAATGTCCTAGTATTATTATGAAAATAATAATAGTGCTGATCTCACAGACCCTCTGAAAAGGTCCCAGGGACCACACTTTGAGAGCTGCTCCCGTGGAGGCAGCAGGGACTTTACCCGGAAGCCACACTCCAGAGGCACTTCTGCAAGTGCTTCAATTGTCTTAATGCCATTTCAGCAGAGGGTCTGTTCATTAGCAACCTGATGGCCAAGATAATTGTCCATCAGTCAAACAGGCAGTGTTCCAGATGTGCGATGTGCTGTCCATGTGCCTCTGCTCTTGCACCGCAAGGCATAAGAATCTAGTGAGCTCCAATGGGCTCTAGGTCTTAGGAATCCGTCTGGTCTGGGGTTCAAGCTGCTGAGTGAGGATGCCATCGCCTGACCCTGAATTGAAGCTTGTTCCTCAAATATTGTTGCTTCTGCCTTGGACTTAATCTTTTCAAGAAGGAAGCTTTTTGGAACACCCAGGACATATATCTGGGCCTTCATTGAGCTCACAGAGGAGGTCATATAACTCGAGGACCTGCTTGCTAATCAGTGATGGTCTGTGGCACAGAATTCAGGCTAAAACTGGCTTGCATTGCCTCAGCGCCCCCTGCTAGTAGCAAGGTACGCTCATCTACCACTCATTACTGGAGATTACTGAGATCTATGGCAACACTGAACCCAGTTGCGATGAACTGGCTTAGTCGTGTCGTGATGTAATCTACCACAGTAATCCAGGAGAGAGGTGAGGGCGGCTTGGACCACAAGGTAGTGATAGAGTGCTACAGAGTGGTTGGATTCTAGACATAACAGGCTGTGCTAATGAACCAAGTGTGGAGTGTGAGGAAAAGAGAGGAATCGAGGATGCCTCCAAGGATTTTAAAGGCACTTGAAAGGATGGATGGGGCAGCCTGCAGGAGAAACAGGTTTGTGGGGGAGACTGACCCCTCCCCCCCCTCAACAGGACAGTCACCATCAGGTTGGGGTCTCATTCTAGGCCATCTGGGAACTTCCCACATCCAGAGTAGCTTCTGGGGAAGGGTCTAGAACAGGTCAAAGGAGGTGGTTCATGAAGGGAGAAGGTGGGTTCATTCTGTTTGCTCTGTATGAAAGGGCTTGGTCAGAAATTCCCTGGTGGTCCAGTGGTTAGGACTCTGTGCTTCCACTGCAGGGGGTAACAGGTTCAATCCCTGGTCCAGGAACTAAGATCCTGCATGCCGTGCAATGCGGCCACAAAAAAAAAAAAAAAAAGAAAGGGCTTGGTCACTCAGTCCTCCAGGAGGAAAATCTATTCCAAGTCAGAACATTTGGGGAGCTACTTGAATCAATGTGTAAACAGGTCCAGAAAATGTATTCTTTTAAAGAATGTTGATTCAATATTTACTAAGACCTTGTCCTAGAGCCTGGGGATAGAACCAATTAAAACGTGGTGCCAGCTCCTGAATCTTAGTATTCAAGAGGAAATAATTTCCCTCCTTCAAATAAGATAGCCCCAGGCTATGTATTCATTCATCCACCAAATATTCATGAAGACTCTACTATATGCAAAGTGCTGGAGATACAGGAAAGTTACAAGACAAGCTGTTCAGCGCTAGAATGTAGGCCAGATTTAAAAAAGGGGTTGTGAGGTGTCTTGTGTGTATGCGATGAGGTTGACCAAGGAACAGCTCACAGAACATAAACAGCAGCTATATCAGGGGAGCGGCCAAGATAAGTGCTCTCTAAGCAAAGATAAGACTTCAGGAGGAATGAGGTTTAAATTGCCCCTAAGATAGAGAAGACTCAGATGAGCCAAGATAGCTAGCAGGTCCTACTAGGAGGTGGTGTGAAGCTGATATAAAGTTAGAGGTAGGTTAGCAAAAGATTTGAGTGTAGGACAAGAGAGTGACTCACTGGGCACATGGGGCTGCTAGAGGGAAGATTTACTGTAGATATTCCCGCCCAGGCCTTGGGCCCAGAACACCTTATGTCTGCCATCAAGATCCACTTAGATTCTAAGTCCTAGACTAACAACTTGCAGATCAATGACATTTCAACACAAAGAATAGCTAGTCAATGAGGAAGGACCTTGAAAAGAAGGAAAGAAATCAATGTTTTATTATATTTACCGACACTTTAACTCCTATCAAGTTTACTCCTTGGGCATTTTGTAGTATTTATCCCTCCTGTTTTTCTTCCAAATTTTGCAAAGTGCCAGGAATCCCCAAACTACCCCTTGTTGCTACCTTCTGATATTACATCATTTACAAAGACTGCAACTGCCTAGGAGTTGGCCCCCTTTAAACAGCGGTAACCATATGTTCCCCTGCCCCTAGACAGTGTGATCAAGACAGCCAGGACCGGCCTTCCCTGCTGGCGCAGTGGTTGAGAGTCTGCCTGCCGATGCAGAGGACACGGGTTCGTGCCCCGGTCCGGGAAGATCCCACATGCCGTGGAGCGGCTGGGCCCGTGAGCCGTGGCCGCTGAGCCTGCGCGTCTGGAGCCTGTGCTCCGCAATGGGAGAGGCCACAGCAGTGAGAGGCCTGCGTACAGCAAAAAAAAAACAAGACAGCCAGGACCCAGATTTAAATCACCAGCTGCATGCCCTTGGGCAAGTCACCTTTTCTGAGATTATTTCTTCATCTGTGAAATGTGATAATAATGCCAAACTCTACAGACTTAAGAGGTGTTCATGGAATAATCATATTCAGTAAATGTAAAGCATCCAACACAATCCTGGGCGCAGAGTAGGTAATCAACGCTTCTTTCTTTTCCCTCTGTCCACTCTCCCCTCAACAAACACATACACTGTCTTTTTCACACCCAACAGCTGGAAGCAGCAGAAGCACGATTTGGAATCAGAGAAGGAGGTGAGAGTCACGCTTTGCCCCTTCCCAGCTGGATGGCATTGGGCAGGTCACTTTGCCTCTCTGAGCTGGGGGTTTCTCATCTGTAACTTGTATGCCATGCCCTCTTCACAGCATTGTTGTAATAGCTCGAGAGAGAGAGGCCCTCACTTAGGGCAATGGCAATAGCTATCACAAAGGATTTGTTAAGGGAATACTCTAGCCAGGTTGGTTGCTTCTATTCATCACCTGTGAGAGGAGGGACTCCCAGAACTGAAAACACAGTCCTCTTTGTAGAAGTTCTGGCTTTTCTGCCAGGAATACCTGGCATACAAATGAGTAGCATGTTAGCAACTGTAAAGGAATGTAACAGAGCAGGATATGAGGACACAGAGTTCTGGCCAATTCACAGGCAATGGGGAATCTAAGATGTTTGTTAATAGTGATTGTGTGGTTTGGAGAAGGTTTCAGTTTCCCCAACTCTAATAATGGGAGAAAGAAGAATTGCAGATGGAATCTTATAAAGGCCTGTCTCTGCTCTAAAATTCCACATTCTCTGAATCTGCCTTCTTTCCCACAGCTGTCCGCTATAAATGTCCAATATAAATGAAGGATGGTGAGGCGGTCTCTGAAGGCTGGTCAGCAATCCCCTGGGCTTCTGAATTGTTTCCTGCCCGTCTGATAGCAATTGATTATGCCTCTGATGACTCTTGCAATATCATCAGGGAGGCTTGTCTGTTTAGCTGATGGCTGCTATTCTCACCAGAAGGTGGCAAAATAATGTCGGAAAACCCCAACCAGGAACCTCAGGTATAAAAGGAAAATGTAAAAACACCAGGGATCATCTGCCAAACTTGGACCCCTGCTCCTCTTGGAACCCCCAACCTTCAGCCGAAGCAACGATTCTCAAAGCATGGTCCTGGTTCCAGCAGCATCAGCATCACCTGGGAACCTGTTGGCCCCCCCACATGCTTGGCCACCCAGACTTAAACCGGAAGCTCTGGGGGTGGAGCCTACCCAGTGATTCTGATGCACTGCTCTCAGTGGTTAAAGAAACAAATCACCTATTTTAAAGCATAAAGTCTTGGTCTTCTCATCAGAGTCCAGGCGTGAGCTGAGCCAGTGCTGGAGTCCAGCTCAGGTTCTGCTACCTCCCCGCTGTGGAACTCTGGGCAAGTTAGTAAACCACCCTTAGCCTCAGTTTCTTCACCTGTAAAATGGAGGTAATACCTATAGCATCAGCGGTCCTGGGGTGATAAATAACAAATGTGTGAGCTGGACCCTTCAAAGGTAGTTAGCGGTGGCTCCATTTGCTGCAATGGATGGCATCTGTTTAAAAGCCCCGCAAAACTTCCTGGCATTTGTCACAGTAAGTCTCTAGACACAGTAAGTCTTTTAAATCCTCTCAAGTCTCACGTATCCAAGGGCTCAAAGAAAGGCAAGCAAGTCCCGTCCTCCTCCCTGAGGGACCCAGAGGGTCTGAGATACTCTGACCAGGCCGTGGTCAAAGGCCAGATCAGCCTCCCCGGGCCTGGCCCGGGAGGGGCCTTAGAGGTCATCTCGATTGACCCCCTGCTTTTCCGCGGAGGAGCGGGGCCCAAGGTCGCGCGGTGAGACGCTGGCAGAGCTGGGTCCCAGGCTGGATCCCCGCACTCACAGTTGAGGGCTCTCCCCCTGCTCCTCACTGACGCCCCGCGCCCCAGCTCAAGGGGAGCCAAGATCACCCAGTCGCCCCCACTGCACCCCTCGAATGGATCTGCCCAGGCCCCGCACCCTCAGCCCCGCGCCACCTGGGCTCCCGGCGGCCGGAAGTTCCTGGGTCCATCCAGCCGACGCGGGCGCGGGCGCCAGACGGGCCAGGCAGCGCCTCCCGCGGCCAGGCCGCCCCCTGGCGGGCCCGGGGCGCTCGGCAGCTGGGAGCCGGGTGCCCGCCCTCTCCCCGCCGTGGGGCGGAGTCGCCACGCTTGGGGTCCGTTCCCCTCCTCCCAGGCTCCCGCCCCGTCCCCGCCGGGTGGGCTGCGGGCGCGGCGCCTTGAGGCCGGGTGGCGGGTCCGGCGGCCGTCGGAAGCTGCCCGCCGAGGGGCTGACGAGGGCTGCGGGCGCGGGCTCCGGCGGCCGCTGATGGGAGGCGGCCTCCAGGAGAGCAAGCGACGGCGCCGCAGCCACCATGGGGAACAAGCAGACCATCTTCACCGAAGAGCAGCTGGACAACTACCAGGTGAGCCCGCCGCCCGGCCCCCGAAGCGGCGCCCCTCGGCTCCTCCCTTCTTTTTCCCGTCGCTTGCCGAGGCCTTCCGACAGCCGTTTCACCGGGTTCAAACCTTGCTTCTGCTTTCAGCTCGACGCTTGACCTTGGGCTGGTGACTTCTCCGAGCCTCAGTTTACCTACCCGAGGAATGAGAGCGCTTTCCACTTAAAAGATTCTCGCAGGCGTCCCTCTTTCCAGCTTCCTCCCTCCTCTCTCTCTCATTCAGACTTCTTGCTCTTGGCCCCAGGCTGGACCCAAACCCTTCCCCGACTACTCCTCCCTTCGCCCACCTTGGCGCAGAGATGGAGTCCTTAAAAGTAGGCTGGAGGGAGGACCCTCCCACCCCCACTACCCCCGAAAACCTGGGAAGCAGCCCAGGAGAGTGAGTCTTTGTAAAGTAGAAATTAGCTGTTAGCTGGGTAGGGAGTGAAGTGCATCAGCACCCCAATTCCATTCTAGGTTGGGGTCTCTCCGTATGGCCCCAGTATGGAAATAATTGGAGCAAGAAGGCAAGCCAGGTACCAGTCTTACATGGTCACCTCTCCAAGCTTCCTAAGGCCCCCAGCAGCCACCCCCTTAGACCCTCCTGAGTTCCTCTGCCTCCAGAGCCCGGGAGCTGTCCAGATCAGATCCCAATGCCCTCCCACTCATGTACAAACTTTTCTGTGGTTGCAGGATGGAGGAGCCCAGCCTCCTGGCTTGCCCAGAGCCCTGGCCAGCCTGCCCAGGCCCCTTCCCTGCCCTGCACACTGCAGCTGCCCCAGAACTATCCGCGTTCCCTTGACACGCCGGGCTCTTTCCTCCCTCTCTTTGCCCGTGCTCGGGGATGCCGCTCCCGGGTCTCCAAATGATTTCACTTACCCTCCCAGGCCCAACTCTGATGCTTCTTTCCTGACTCTGCCAGGCAGAGGGGGCTGGACTGTGTTGTGGCCTGTGTGGAGTGTGCTTGGGGGAGATGAACACCAGCAGGGTCTCCACAGCTGCCTGTTGCCTTCGTGAATATTTATTTTGGAATTGAGCTTGAAGTGTGGGTCCTCTGATGTGGGCACAAGTAAAATAAAGGCCCTTTTCCTCCTGGAAGTGCTGGTTGTCAATAACACTGCTTTCTCAGGGCCTCACGTGGAGGCGCCTTCTGTGTACCCAGCGCTATAATGGAGGCTCTCTATGCATCAACTCATTTGATCATCACAGGGAGGTGGGTTATTTAGCCCCATTTTACAGTAGAGTAAACAAAGGCTGAGGAGGCCTTCAGTGCCCTGCACAGTGAAGGTTCACACAAGAATTTGAATTGTGAATCCAAGACTCACTCCTTTCGTTGCGGCTGGGGGCTGTGTGTGCTCTATGTCCTCAAGGCCCTCACTGTCTGCGGAGACAGCCCCTCGCCTCCAGTGGGAGGCAGGCGGTGAGTGTGCTCTAGGGGAGGGCACTAGGGGGCAGTGGGAGACCTGGAGGGAAGGGGGTCTTTGCTTCGACTGGTAGGTTCAAAATAATGCAGCGCTTGCAGACCCTTGAAAGGTCAGTAGGATTTTGCCCATCAGAGTCCCGAAGGAGGCATTCCAGGCAGAGGGGACAGCTTGGGTAAAGACTTGGAGGTGGGTACAGGCAGGCAGGTAGACCACGCTCAGAAGAGTAGCCTCGTGGGCATGGGGAGCCTGGGTTCCCACTCAGTCCGGCCTGGCGTTGAGTTACCGTTCGGAGTCAGGCCCAGTGCTGGGTTCTGATCCTTTGCCAGAGGCTGGGCCTGGTGGGAGAAACGAGAGCTGTGAAACCTGAGAGCCCCACGTCTCCCTCCCTGAGACTCTCCAGCTGGCCAGGGCCAGCGAAGGCCAAGAGTAACAGCCACCCCCTCCCCCAACTGATCTCCAGGGTTTCCTGCCCTCTTCCCCAGTCCCCAGGTGCCAGTGATTCCCAAAGGTCAGATTTCTTCCCAGACCAATTCTCTGCCTTCCAGATCCAGCCCCTAGACCCCTCAAACAACCAAGAGCTCATCGCCTTCCCCAGGACCCTCCACTGCTCTTTGCTCTACTATGGCCTATGTTTTCAGTCAAGGACAAGTCCTGAAACTCTCATCCTCTTTGGGGGCTCACCTGGGGATCCCATCCTCGATCTCCATAGCCAGGGCCCTGGGCGAGGCCTCTCAGTGTCGTGTAACTGAAAATGTAACTGCTGCCTCCCCACCCCACCCGCTTCTGCACCCTCCAGCCACCCGCGTGCTGCTACCACAGTCTCAGTTTCTCACTCCATCCCCTTCTCACTCCTTCCCATTTTCTTTCGACAGACACAATGTGCATCACCAATGTAAAACAATTTTTTCTTTAAAAAGAATCTCTGGACCAAGAGTTGCATCGTATGTGTATTAACTAATCCCCCACTGTGGTGGGAGACCCTAGGGAGTTGTCCATATATAGGTCATGAACGCCTTGGAGCAGAAGTACAGGGTCAAAGATGTGAAGGATCTTTCTAAAACATGGTTGTGACCCTCTCCTCTCCCTGGAATTCCACAGTGTCTTGGGATAATAGCCTGAGCGGAGTGCAGAGCAGACCTCACCCTGGCCTGGTCTGAGCTCAGCCAGCCTCCAGCCTCGTTTTTAGTCCCTCCCCTGGCACCCCAAGTTCCAGGCACACTGAAGGGCTTCTAGCCAAGCATGGCCTCACCTCTGGCCTTGTTCTCCTGGCGCCCTCCCCTCACTTCTTCATCAGCGCCGTCTGGCCTATCTTTCTGTCCAGGCCAGGCCTCACCTCTTTTGGACAGGCTCCCTGATGCCCTCCCCCAATCCTTCTTTTGGCCACAGAATGGTTTATACCCAGTCATCACTGTCTGTTTCCCCTCCATCCCACTTCCTGTGTGTCCCCTGCTCAGGCACAGAAGAGGCAGTGGAGAATGTTGTCTGAATGAATGAATACTTGTTAAAGCACGGCTCTAAGGAGGGGAAAGAACTCCAGGGATTCTGAAATCCTGGGTTCAAGTCATGGCTGGGCCATAGATGCTGTAGGCCTTAGTAAGCCATTGGTCCTCTTCTGGGTCTCAGTGTCCCCACCTCTAAAATGGGAATGATCACTAGCCCTGCTGTGCTCATGTCACAGGGCTCTTGCAGGGATCAGCTGAGCTGTGTGATGGTCAGCTGGGCGGTGCTGAGGCTTGAGCTGGCAGAGCTGGATGGAGAGTCCACTCCAGCTGGGACTGGCTATGGCTCGGCTCAGGACCACTGGCACAGGCAGACCAGGCATGTGGGAGATGGGAGGCAGGGAGGCTACCTGGACAAAGTACCCTTGAGTTGAGCTTTGGAGCATGGAAAGGATTTGGACAAGCTGGACAAAGTAGGGAAGGCACTCCAGGTGGGAGAACAGGATGACTATAAGCTTAGAGGAGGAACTGTAGCCTTAACTGGCATAACATCTGAGCTTCTACTATAAAAGCCCAGCCTGCCCTGTCCTCTGCTGCCAGAGTCCTGAGGGCCCATCTCTCCTGGGCTAGGCCCCCTCCCTCCCTCCCACCCCTCATAACCCTAACTTGAGCTGGGACTCTTCCCTGAAGACCTATCCCTGTGAACTCTCAGGGGCCAAGCAGTGACCGGACATTTGTTCTCAGTGGAGTATAGGGAAGAGTTCCTGCAGACCTATGGCTGTAGCTCCCTGGGCAGCTGAGTAGATGGAGGGGGGCAGGGTTTTTGTTTGGTGTCTTCAGGGTGGGAACAGACACAGAGCTGCGGGCTCTGAAGGGATGCCTTTGGGACATGGGGTACTGGGTGGAGCTGTTGCACAAAACGGGGTAAGCTGTGGCCTATAGGCTTCCTGCATCTCATGTCATTTGCTCCTCTCACTGCCCCTTTCCAAGAGGCAGTATCCCCATCTTACAGATGTGGAAACTGAGGTTCCCACAGGAGACTGAATTTGCCTAAGGGTCCAAAGCAAGACGAGAATTTGCATCTGACTACTAAACCTTTTCCTCTGCCACGCTGCCAGGCTACTCAGAGCCCTGAGAAGCTTTTTTTTGTTTTGTTTTGTTTGTTTGTTTTCTGTCTTTATTTTTGCGTTATGCGGGCCTCTCACCTTGTGGCCTCTCCCGTTGCGCGGAGCACAGGCTCCGGACGCGCAGGCTCAGTGGCCATGGCGCACGGGCCGAGCCGCTCCGTGGCATGTGGGAACTTCCTGGACCGGGGCACGAACCCGTGTCCCCTGCATCGGCAGGCGGACTCTCAACCACTGCGCCACCAGGGAAGCCTCCCTGAGAAGTTTTTAATGCATCTGCCATGTTCCTCCCCTATGAGCTGCCTCCCTGGGATGAGTTCCAGGGAAGTAAGTCAGCAGAAGAACAAGCGAAACATCAGTCGACGAGGTTCATGGTAGCTTTATTGGTAATGTTGAACACGTAGAAATGGCGGTGGCTAAATGTTCAGAAAGATGAGAAAGTTTAGGTTAAGCAGGGCCAATGCCTGCAGTGAGATATTCCCCAGCCAGTGAAATAATGTTAACTGCTGTGGAAGGTTTATGTGGAAAAGTCTGGCCATTCATTCCACCAGTCTCTATTGAGCATGCACCATGTACCAGATATGGGAATACACAGTGGAAGCAGGACGTGGAGTGGTTGGCGTACGACAGTGCTGGGTGGACTGTGGCTCTGTTTCCACTCAGTGGGCAGTGGTCAAGAAGCACATAGGGGGCTTCCCTGGTGGCGCAGTGGTTAAGAATCTGCCTGCCAATGCAGGGGACACGGGTTCAAGCCCTGGCCCAGGAAGATCCCACATGCTGCGGAGCAACGAAGCCCATGCGCCACAACTACTGAGCCTGCGCCCTAGAGCTCGTGTCCCACAACTACTGAGTCCACGTGCCACAACTACTGAAGCCCACGCACCTAGAGCCCGTGCTTTGCAACAAGAGAAGCCACTGCAGTGAGAAGCCCGCACACCGCAACAAAGAGTAGCCCCCACTTGCCACAACCAGAGAAAGCCCCTGTGCAGCAACGAAGACCCAGTGCAGCCAAAAGTAAAATTAATTAATTAATTTTTAAAAAAAGAAGCCCATAGGCCTGAGTTCCAGCCCAGCCCAGATCTGCGTGTGCAGTTTAGGGGAAGCTGTTCAACTTTGTTGAACCTCGGTTTTCCCATCTATAAAATGGGGAGGTAATGCCTGCCCCACCCCCGCCCATAGGCTAGTGATGAGGATTAAACAAAATTGGATATTCAGAGCCCCCACGGACCAGCCCATGGTAATTATGGACTGGTTGTGGTGTGGTTCTCAGGCTGGGCTGCACACTGCAATCACCTGATGCTCTGAAAACTGCTGATGCCTGGATCCGCCCTCAGGGATTCTGATGTAATTGATCTGGGGTCCGTTGGTGGTGACAGGAGGGGACACAGGGAGTTTAAACAGCTCCCCAGGTGATTCTGCTCTAGAGCAGAGGCCCTCACACTTCAGCAAGCATCAGCATCTCTAGAAGGACTTTTTAAAATGCAGATTGCTGGGCCTCATCCCCAGAGTTTCTGATTGTAGTTCTGGAGAGAAGCCTAAGAATCTAAAGTTCCACTAAGTCCCCAGGTGATGGCAATGCTGCTGGTCCAGGAACCACACCTTGAGGACCATTGATGTGGACAGATGTAAGTAGTTGTGATAAGGGACTGGAGTCATGTGAGAAGCTTTCACATTTAATGCCAATAAAACCCTCAGGTCAGGACCCAGATACTTCCTTTCCAACCCAGGAGATAGGAGAGAGGAGAGAAGAGAGGGGAGGGGGAAGAGGATAGGCCAGGGGGAAAGAGAGCAGAAGCCAGGACCTCTCCCCATCCCGTTATGCCGACACCCCCACCATGCTGGTTGGAAGCGCTCTGGCCCTTCTCACTGGCAGCTTCAGGCTGTAGAACCAGCTGTGGGACTGAGAGAGGTCTGTGCCTGGAAGGCCCAGCTGGGCGGCCTTTGCTGCCTGCTCCAGGTTTCTGGGGTCTGCTGAGAAATCAGCCCACACGGTCTCCAGCCTGTCTGAGTCTTAGGCCTGTGGGGCATGGAGTTCTTTGCCCATTCTGGGTGGGGAGGGGGCACTGCTTCCCCAGCCTGAGCCTCTCCTGGCCCCTACAGAGGAGCTATCACCGAAAGCAAAGTCTAGCCCCCCAGGAGAAGCCCCTATGTTTCCAAGAAGGGCCAGACTATGCGGGTCCTTAGTCTAACTCCCACCGAGCAGCAGGTGGCTCAGGACAGACTTGTGGGGCTAACTGGGGCCTGGAAATTGCCACCAACTCTCCCCTCTTTGGCTCTCCTTCAGGTGCCCACTGGAAACCCTAGATATGCATCCTGTGGGCCTGCTTTCTTGGGTCCTCCTCAATGTGCAGTGCAATTGCCCCAGGGCCAGGGGCTCCAGGTCTCATCCAGTGTGAGCCGGGCTGTCTGCAAGCCTGTACCGTGGCCATTAGTCCCTCATCGGAGCCAGCTCTGGTCAGCATACCGCCCCAGGAGGCCCCACCAGCTCTGGGCTCCCTCATGCTTCAACAACAGGCCAAGGTGGAGGGGCCAAATGGCAGGGGAGAAGCACAAAAGCCCTTTACGGTTGGGCATTTTATGAAGTGCTGGGTCCTTTTCACCCCCAAACTTCCCACAAGGCCTGGCTTAGTAGCATCATCACCAGGCAGGCAGAGCTGTGGACAGAGGCGTGACTGTAGGAGATGGGTTATCCAGACCAAGGCAGGATCCCCAAGATGAGTTTATAATCTGGGTGTACTCAGGATCCGAGTGCTGCCCCAACCCTGAGTCATGCCTACCTGGGGGTCCCCAGCAGCCTCCACCCCGGCCTCTGTCCAGATGCTGCCAGTTCCTCCCTGCCCACCTTCCTCCTCCCCCTCTCCTCCTCGGCCCCTTCTTTCCCCACACCCCAGCCTCTTCACTGCCTTCTCTAACCTCATCTATTCCTGTGGCTTCAGATACCAGTTAGATGCTGGTGCTTCCCCAGCCTGTGTGCCTGGAACTCTCAGCCTCTGACCACGGGGCTGCTGCCTGCGACCACTCAGGACACACACCACCCATGACTCCACGAGACACCATTCTTAGGGGCTGCAGCGTGGACCGTGCCCCCTGCCGCTGGGCAATGCGGTGACCCTGTCAGTCCTCACTCCTGTTTTGTCTCCCGAGTTGTCTCCCACCCAATTCCCCCGGGTGCCCCACAGGGTATCTCCTGGCCCCTCGAATCAATGGCATCCACCTCTGAACTCTCCATCTGCCTCCCAAATGCCCTCCCCTACGCATGCCTCCCAGCCCCCCACACCACACACTCACTTCCCTGGCTCAGGTCAAAAGCCTCAGAAGGCAGCTTCTGGACCCACTAGACTGCTCCCCGCAATGGGCTGGGGCAGGGAGGGGTGGTAGTGACTCTGCTGCCCCCAGTCCAGGGCTGGCTGTTCCTGTGTGGCTCTGAAGGAGGAAGGACAACCAACTAAATGTGCGTTTTCCTTCCACAGGACTGCACCTTCTTCAATAAGAAGGACATCCTCAAGTAAGTGTGGCTCTTGTTCACCCCTCTGGAGCTGGGGCAGGGGCAGGGGCGGGGCCGGGGACCCTGGGGGCTGAGGCAGGGGGGTGGGGGGGTGCTGCACCAGCTGAGGACTAGCTTTTCCACCCCCATCAGCAGCCGAGCCCAGGCTGCTGTGGGAACTCGAGACGTCCGACCCCCCGGCTCACATCCTTCTGCCAAGAATCGAACGTCTGCTTACTGCATGCCAGGCTCCCTGGTGGGCGGTTTCAGGAACATTCTCATTTAATCCTCACTGTGCCCTTGTAACAGGAGAATCCTTTTATCCTCACTTTACAGGTGGGGCTTAGCAACTTGGCCAAAGTCGCCCAGGCAGGAACTGAAGACCTGGCCTCTGACTCCAGTGTCCTCGTTATTTCATTGCACCCTGGGACCTGTCAGACTAAGGGGGGGACCCTGTCTGTTAAACTAGGGATCCCTAAGAGCCTTCTGGCTCTGATGTCCTGCCACTCCTGGGAGGTCCTAAAGGCAGAGGCATGGCAGGCAATACCACCACCACCCCTGAGCTGTCCACCAGGGGTCTCTTCCCTTTCTTTGGGGGTGGGATGGGCCTAGACAGGAGAAATGAAGGGGTTGGCAGACTCAGAGCCCCAGGACCAGATGGTGGGCAGGACTCACAGAATGCCAGGAAACCTGGCCCCACAGGCCTTGCCAGGCCCCCCTCTCTGGGCTATCAGGTGGCACTAAAAGCCAGCAAGGTCTCGGGATCACTTTCCCTGGAGGTCGATGGGCAGGCTGGGGCTAGAGCCTGTTACACTTCCCAAGGGAGCTGTGGTCTGTCACTGCCGTGACCACTCGGCTCAGATGGTGTCCCTCGGTCCTTCCTTTCTGCCCAGGCTGCTTTTCCAGCCTGTCCCCTGGGTGGGCAGGGATGCCCACTCCTACCACCTTGGAGAAGCAGCGTGGGGGGCAAAGCCCCCAGGCCTTGGCATCAGCAGACCTGGGCTCTACTTCCCAGCTCTGACCTTGGACAAGCTTTGAGCCTCGCTGAGCCTCTGTTTCTTTTATAAAACGGGGATGATGATACCTCCCCCGTTGCTGAGAGGCAGGAATGCCAGAGTGTGGTGTTTGATAAATTGAGTTTGGTCTGTAGCTTGAGTGAGGTGTGGGGTGCGCTTCCCATTTGGACAGATGGTCCTCAGAACTGTAATAACACAGCGGTCACCCCGGCATTCCCGTGGCACTTCTTACCTTTCAGAGTTCTTGGCCCAAATCCTCATTTAAGCCTCACCACATTTGTCCTCTGTAACAGGGAGCTCCCGCCATCCTGACTTCCCACCTTTGTAGACGCCGGGCCCAGACTGCTTGTCCTGGGAGACCCACCACCATTTCTGTTCTGGCAGCAAAAGCTTGTCCCCAGGCCTTGGCACTGGCTGCCCCACCACCTTTCTCATCTTCCCGCTGCATTCCTGCATGTCCTTCAAGACCCACTCCAGCGTCATCTACTCTGTGAGCCCCCAACTCCCTGTCCCCCAGCTCTCACACAGCCTCTTTTGCAGCCTTTTAGGGGGCTCTGTGGGCTCATGGCTCAGGTGCCCAGCTCCCCCTGGACTTGCAGTCAGGCAGGACACAGGCTCCCCATGCCTGGCACTGGGCACGGCACCAGTAAGCGCTTGAAGAGTGTGTGGGTGAAGGATGGGTAGGGTTGGCCAAGGGGAGAACACTGCAGGCTAGGAGCAGCGGGGTCAAGGGCACAGACCTGCTTCACCCTGCCCCATCCCCAGTTGCCCATGGGGGAGGAGAGTGGTTCAAAGGCCAGGCCAGGAATTGGATTCAACCTGAGGGGCCTTTGAGGGTGACCCTGGTCTCTTGGCAAATGATCAGCCCCGGGCAGGTGGGTGGTCTGAGCAGGGGTATGGGGTCTCTTGGCTCCCCACAGCCCTGGCCTGCCCAGCTCTGCATCCTTCAATGCCGGCCTCTGTAGTTCAACCCAGGCCCGGAGTCCACAAAGGGGGGAAAGGACCCCTTCTGGCAGCTGGACACGCTTTCCAAGTACCCCGCTGCCTGCTCTGTCACTGGTTCCTTCAGGCCCCACCTCTGTGTTAGCACTCACTGGGGACCAGACCCAGGGTTTTTTCTGCAGAGTGGTCATGTGGGGAGGGGGAGGGGGTAAAGCCCCACTGGGAGCAGGGGCCCTGGGATCTGGTCCCCACTGTGTAGCATCTGCCATGTCTCAGTTGCCACCTCTGCAGCATGAGGATGACAGTGCCCCCTGGGGCTGTTTTTCCACAGACTCCAATGGCTGGGAGGGCAGGGGTGACAGTGTTGTTCAGCACAGGCTGCTTGGAGTTTTGTTGCCCACCCGTCCACCCTCAGGAAGGGTCGTGAGGCCAGGCAGCGTGTGGGATTACATGTCCCTGGGGGACCAGGCGTGGCCTCGGTGGCTCGATTCCAGTTTCAGCCCCCTCGATTTTCTCCAACCTTCTCTCTGGGCCCCAGCAAGAGCCAGTGTGACTGATCACCCCTGCCAGGCGAGCCCTCTCCACGCTGTTCACATCTCAGGTCCAGGCGGGACGACCGAGGCCCTGAGCCCAGAGAGGGCCAGGAGCGAGGACCCGGCCGGCAACACAGAGCAGGTCAATGGCAGAGCCAGGCCCGAGGCCCAGGGCCCTCCTCCCAGGGGCCTTCCAGCGCTGTTACCCCACCCCCACCCGGATGGTTTTCTGGGTGGGCTGCACCCTGAGAACTGACCAGATGGCGAGGAGGAAACGTGAGCAGCAGGTTCTTCTTTGCAGTTTGGGGCCCAGCTCTCTGGTAGCCTTGGGTCAATGATACTGAGTCACAGATACCCGTCTGGGCAGTTTTCCCCTCCCCTCCCCTGCCCCACTCCCCTCCTTCCTCTGTACTCACATACACACACACAAACCCGGGTGGATCCAGTTGCTCCCCAGGGCACAGCTCTTCCAGCCCAATGCTGAGCCTGAGTGGGCAGCCCCCCATTCAGCCACCTTCTTTGCTATAGGTAACTCCCCTGCCCCCAGTTAGCCTATGCTGCCAAGCACAGGCCCAGCTAGCACCCCGGGGTGTCTGCCAATTTGTTACTTTATCACCTATTTTATTTTCTCAACCATTTAAAGACTCTGTATAATCTATTTTAATTACTTTTAATTTTTTATTTCACCTGTGATACATGATGACTGTAGAAAAATTAGAAAATAAAGCCAGTCAAAAGAGAACAAAAATTGTCTGTAATCCTGCCACCCAGAAATAATGGCTATTAATCTTTCGGTATTTTTAACCTCTGGGTAAATAATGTTTAAATATTTTCCCTTTGTGTGTGTTTATCGGAAATTTGGATCAGGTTGTTCTGTAATATGCTTTAAATTGCTTTTCCTTAGGCAACTTGTAAAAATAGATAAGATAAAAAAATGATCTCACCACCTTTTCATTTGGTTGGACATTTAGATTTTCAGCTTTTCACCATTATAATTAGCACTGCAGTGCACATCCTTGGGACACCATGACATATAGCCCACACGTCTGGGATTATTTCCTTAGGACACATTTCTAACAGAGATTTCTGGACCAAAAGGCGTGGACATTTTTAAGGCTTTTGATTTTTATTGCTAAATTGCCCTCCAGCAGCCATGCATGAGTCTCCATTTCCCTGCTTCCTCAATCACACTGGCTGTTACATCTCTTTTGTCTTCTGTCCCCAAATCATTTATTGACTTTCCCAAGGGTCTCAAACTCAGCTGTCTGTGGGGGCCAACATGCATTGCAAATAAATGAAGCCGTGAAACCCGACGGCAATGTTTTAGGACAAGGATCTGCAGAAATTGCTGTTCCTGAGCCCCAACTGGTTGTGGCCTTGGGGAAATCCAGGTTTTTCATGTAAAATTGTTTAATTTGTAAATGTTGGCAGCTAAGTTTTAAATCATTATTTTACATGAAAGCTAGACATGAATGTGGACCACCAACCAGTCTGTGACTTCCAGAAGAATCCATCTTCTCCCCACTGATTTCAAATGCTGTTTGTCTTGGACTAATTCTCATTTATATTTGGGTCTGCCTCTTCTACACCAATGTCTATTCCATATGGTTTTACTTATAATAGCTTTAAACTATGTTTTAACATCTGACGGGACAAACATCTCCCCGGTGACTCTTTTTTCAGGGTTTTTCCCCAACTCTCCAATGTTTATTCTTCCAAACAAACTTTTGAGTCAGGTTGGCAAGATCTCAAATAAATCTTTTACAGATTTCAATTAAGAGTGCATTCATTTTACAGGAAAATGAAGAGAAGGTTGCCATCATTACAGTAGTAAGCCTTTCCAATCAGGGAAGTTATCTAACTCCCTAAATATTTTACATCCTTTGGTAAAGCTTCATGGTTTTCTTTGTGCACATCTCATATTTATTTTATACTTAGTCGTTTGGGGGTTTTTGGAGGGGGATTTTGTATCGTGAATTAGATCTTCTGTTATATAATATTTTTGAATAGGTGAATGCTGGTAGAAAAACTATTGTGTAGAAGAGCTACTGAGCTCTTTCTCATTCAAATATATATATATTTTTTTACTAACTTTTTTTTTTTTTTTGGCTGTGCTGCACAGCATGTGGTATCTTAGTTCCCCAACCAGGGATCGAACCTGTGCCCCCTGCAGTGGAAGCACAGAGTCCAAACCACTGGACTGCCAGGGAAGTCCTCATTCAAATAGTTTTTAAACTGATTATTTTTGGTTTTCCAGCAAATAATAATTTGCATCCTCCTTTCCAATATTTAGATATACTCTTTTATTTTTCTGACTAATTACATTGACTGGCACTCACAGGGGAAATGTTATATAATGAGGGTGACGGTAGGAATCTCACTTTTATGGGAATGTCTGTAGTACTTTTATCATTTAAGTATAATGTTAGGTGTTGATTTCAGGTAGAGAGCATCCTTTTGTTTATGTTTGAATAAGGATTTTAAGTTTTTTGTTGAAAAAAGTAATATATACCTTAAAAATACTTTTAATTTTTATTAATAAATACTCTAAAAACTCAGTTCAGAAGTAGGTAAAGTAATAAGTGAAAGTTGGCCTTCTCTTATCACTCCTCTCCACTCCTGCCTCACAGAGACCATCAGTGTAAACACGTGGTGTACACTTCTCAGGTATTTTTCTGTGTACATACAACCATATGGTCGTAAGTGCAGCTATCAAGTTGACCAAAATATTTTTTGCTGCCTATTAATGTGACTTATAGTCACAGATTCCCAAACATTGACCCACCCATGCATTCCTGGAATAAATCCTACTTGGTCCCAATGATTTACTCTTTCAAATGCTGTTGGACCTGATTTACTAATATGTTATTTTATAAGATTTTTGCATCTGTATGTGTAAGTGCCATTGGTCCATTCTGGATGCTACCTACTAGGTTCTGGTAGCAGGGTTCTTATTAACTTCCTAAAATAAACTGGGAGGCTTTCACTTTTTTGCCCCATGCTCTGGAACAGTTCAAGTAGCATAGGTATTGTTTCTGCCCCTGGAACTTATGATAGGACAAATACGTACATCTTCATGAATTCAGTAGTGCCCTTTAAGGGAGGAGGGGTACAGGAATGCAGTTCTGTGACAGTTTTTGGAGTTTTTCCCGAAGCGATTCATCTTTCCAAATTCTCCTTGAGTTTCCCTTAAAAAAACAAATTCCAGTATCACTATAGGCATAGAGTCAGAACACATCTCTGTCCCGGGCAGAAGCTGGCCTTCGTACCCCAGAAGACACCTCTTCAATTCCACTAATACCCACAGGCCTTCTCCCAAATCCTCGTCCCTTGCAGGGAGCCCCTGACATGACAGGCAAAACGCTAATAGCTACCAGTTGAGGCCAGGTGGTTTTAAATACTAACGCCATCCTTTTTAATCCTCACAAGTGTGAGGAGGGTAGGACAATCCGCATTTAACTGATAAGGAAATCTGTTCTCCAGTGGGTTAACCCACTTGCCCAAGGCCACACAGCTAGTGAGAGGTGTAGGCAGTGCTCCAACCTCAGTCTGACTCACGTCCCTGCTGCAGCCACCCCACAAAACTTTGAAGGTGTAAGCCAACCCTCAAACACCCCAACATCACATCCCAAATGTCCAGGTCAAGGGGGAAACGTAACCATTGCAAACACTATGGTCCCGTCAGAAGCGCATGAAACCAGATGCCCAAAGTGTGATATATAGTCCAGGTTCCATGTTTGGGGACAATATTAAGAAAAGGCAAATTTTCCTCAATGCCGAAAGTAAGAGCAAAGAAAGCCCTCGAATGCCCCCTCATGGAGGGTCCCAGCTTGATCCTGTCACTCTGTTATCCGTTGCCCCGCTTTGACCCAAAGGACAGGGTTTGGGTTTTCCCCTCCAGGTCTGTGTTTCCAAGCCTTGGACCTTCCTTGTGATTTCAGGCCCTTTTATAGGAGCATGTGAGTGGCCAAGTGGGCTCATGGCATTTGCTTTGCGTTTACTGTACAGGTGCTCTGAACCAGGTGCTGATGTGCTGGCCTGGGTGGCCTGACTTACAGGGAGGGCCTGGACCCACCACTGTTGGCTCTGGAAGCTGGGCAGACGCTTAACCCCTTAGCCTCAGGTTCCTCACCGGAAAAACAGGGGTGAGGGTACTAATAGCTACCTCTCGGGGTGATTAGGGATGAAATTGAGTAAAGCAGTGCACACGGGGTTAACCCAAAGCCCAGCATTTGCTAAACAGTGGCTGACACTTTGTGTGTGAGCTGGGCAAGCAGTGACCTGCTCCACTGGAGAGGGCTGGGCAGCAGGGTGACAAGAGTTGGGTGGACCCTGATGGGGGATTGGGTGGCTATGCTGAAGGGCCTACTAAGGATGGGCCTAGGAGCATGTCACTGGGCCAGGCCACTTAGAAGAAGACCAGGGTTGATCCGGCTTTGGGGGTAGCAGGGAAGGTGGGCCCCGGAGATATGGGATCACCCGTCCATCCAGGCCCCAGCAGCCCTGGGCCTCACCACAGCCCCCCGTCAATACCCCTGACACCTGTCCCCCTGTCTGGCAGCACTTCCTGGACACAATTTCATCTGAACCTAATTTGTACCTGCCTGGGGTTAGGAGGGGAGGGCTGTTCTTCGGGATATCAGGGACCTGGACAACAGGACACAGGGCCGCAGAGGAATAATGGAGGAGGGGCTTCCAACTGAGACAGGGTCAGGATGTCTCACACCCTGGAGGCTCCACGCAGCATGTAGGTGGGTTTGTGTCCCAGGGCCCCCCGAGCAAGGTGGGAGGGTGAGAGGGAGCTGGGGACCTGACGCGTCAGCGAGGAGGGCCAGGCCCAGGGCAGTGGGCTCCATCCCGACCACCCCCAGCTGGAGAGAGGTTGTGGATGGCTGTTCTCAGGGGCTTCACAGGATGTGAGGGCTTCCGGAAGCTCTTCCAGAGACCCAACCCTCAGGGCCTAGCCTGGGGGCAGGGGTAGCAAACTGGGCCAGGACTTCAGCGAGGTCAGTGGTGGGGAGCGGCAGGGGCGGCATGGGGAGGAGGGGTTAAAAGCCTCTGCTCTGGATTTCTGGTTTCGGGTTCCAGCCGTGGTTCCTGAGACTTCCTAGTTGTGTGGTGTTAGACAACTCACTCTTTTAACCTCTTCAGGCCTCAGTTTGCTGAGCTGTAAGAGGTGACATGCCTGGCGCATAGAAGACTCTTAAGAGAGTCCAAAGAGGAAAAAAATAAGATCAGATGGGCAAGCCCTTGCGGGTGGGGGGATGGGCAGTGGCAGCAGTGGCCGTGGTGTTGGTGGTCATGGGAATGGCCAGGACGCAATCTAGTCATCAGCATAGGGGTCTGGGCAGAACTTGCCTCCCTTACAAATCCCCCATCCTGTGGGCAGAGCAGATGGTCTCCCCAGGCCCCTGGCCAAAGTGGGTCTCCAGCGTGAGGGGCCAGGGTGCAGGCAGGGTGGCGCTGGGCCTCTGAGGGCCCAGGGACTGCATCCCCTCCAGCACTTTTTCTCTGCTTCCCTCGCAGGCTCCATGCGCGCTTCTATGAGCTGGCTCCCAACCTCGTCCCGATGGACTACAGGAAGAGCCCCATCGTCCACGTGCCCATGAGCCTCATCATCCAGATGCCGGAGCTCCGGGTACGTGAGAGGCTGCTGCTCGGCAGAGCCGGGGGGATCAGCTAGAGAAGGCCGGGCAGGGGGGCCGGGAGTGTGGGGAATATGCCCCTCTGGATGGGCAGGGCAGCAGGGGCACCCAGACCTGAGTTGAACCCCAGCTGTGCCTCAGTTTCCTCATCTGCACCCTGTGGATAAATGAGCTACGTGTGTAAGTAAATGAGCTTACTCGGTAAGGGTGCCGTGATTGGTGCTGCCCTGTAGTCTGCAGCGCTGTGGACCTGTGCTCACCTGCTTGCCCCTGTGTTAAGTGGCCCGTCTGCTGTCCTTGGCAGATCTTGTTTGTATCTTCTTTTTAAGGTAATTTTTTTAGCCTCGTCCTCGCATGGCTGTTGTCTCTCACAGCATGGTCATCCATAGCATCTCCTCTCAGACTTTAACGTGCGCAGGAGTCACCTAGGGATCTTGTCAAAATGCCGATTCAGGTTCAGTAGGTCTGGGGTCCAAGATCCTGTTTTTCTAACAGGCTCCCAGGTGAGGCTGATGCTGCTAGCCCTCAAACCACATATATCCTTTGACATAAGAGTTTCATTTCCCGAGTTCCTTACAGACAAAATACACTCCAACGGTAAGAAAGCATTTGGGTTTTTAGGGCACATTGCCGTGGGTCTTTGCAAAGAGCCCCTTGCCAGACCTCAAGTGTGTGACTCTGGCGTCAGGGTGTCCACTTGGGGTCCACGTGGCATCCACTTGGGGCCTGTATCCTGGTCATGACCTCAGTCCTGAGGGACAGTGAGCCAGAGGCTCAGCCCTGACAAGCGCCCAGCCTGGCCTAGAGAGGGGCTTGATTCCAGGTTCAGAGGATCACTAGAGGGTGTGAAGCACTTCGGCAGGAACCATGGGATTGTCTCTCAGCCCCCTGTGCTGGCCTGGGCTGGGCACAGAATGGAGTGGCCCAGTGCTGGCCCAACTGGGGTGGAGGGCTCCAGGAGAGGTGGGCCCTGAGTGAGTTGGGATCAGAGGAAGGAGTCATTGGTATAATTCCCCACCTACCTGTGGGCTGGTCCCGGCCCAGTTCTCCCACCTCTGGGGCCCCACTTCTGCCCCCTGTGATCTTGGTCTGAGCTGAGAGCTGCCCAGGCCCTGGGCTCTTGTAATAGGGAAGAACCTTTTGTATTCTATTCCAAGTTAATCACTAAAGGGATGTTTCCTCTAAGCTTAAATTATACATAATGGCCCATCTCTGGGAACCCTGCCTCCCAGGTAATGAGCGTTAAGCTAAAATACCTCTGTTTAGCTCACAGGAAACATCCTGACCAGGCCCACCTGTGAATGACTACAGGGAGGAAGAAATTAACACCTCCCCTCCAGAGGCTGATGGGAAACAGGAAGTGTTTGACTTTACTCCCTCCCCTTTTAGTATAAAAGAAGCCTGAATTCTAACTCAGGCAAGGTGGTTCTTTGGGGGCAGGAGCCCACTATCTTCTCGGTTAGCTGGCTTTCCAAATAACATAACTATTCCTTGCCCAAACAACTCGTTTCTCTACGTTTTGGCCTCTCGTGTGGTGAGCAGTATGAACGTGGACTCAGTAACATTGTCTTCCCTTGCATGTCAAGGCAGGAGCCTCCATGAACTCCCTGGGCAATGGGACTAATCCCTGCTCCTGCCTCAGAAGAGGTGATGCCTCCAGTGGGCACACCTTGGCTCTGCTGAGCCCTCCGTGCTGATCTGAACAATATAACAAGACATGATGCTTGCAGAGCTCTCACTGGTGCCAGGCTTTGTACCAACACCTTACATACTTTAACTTATTCAACCATCTCCCAACCCAATTAAGTAGGTGCAGTTATTATCCCCATTTTACAGATGGGGAAACTGAGGCCCAGGGGGATTTAGGTCACTCGTTCAAGGTCACATAGGCCATAGCTGTCGGGCTCTGGGTTCCTCCCAGTGAACCTTCACCTATGGTGACTGCTGTGGTTGTTTTCTTCAGGAGAATCCCTTCAAGGAAAGGATTGTGGAGTCTTTTTCTGAGGATGGCGAGGGGAACCTCACCTTCAACGACTTTGTCGACATGTTTTCTGTGCTCTGTGAGTCGGCTCCCCGCGACCTCAAGGCAAACTACGCCTTCAAGATCTATGGTAACGAGGGCCTGGAGGAGGGGCTGTGATGCTGCGTGAGGGTGGTGGCATTCCATAGGCCATCTAGTTACTGCTGGTTCCTGCCGTAGGGACGCTGGGGACACCAAGAACACTCTGAAGAGTGCATGTCCAGCACAGTGGCCAGTGGGTACAACTAGTGCATAAGGGACATCTGCAGGGTCCTGAGAGCAGAGGAGGGAGGGACCCACTCCACCTAGGGCGGGTGGTTAGCGTGAGGAGAATTCACACGTGGTGACATTTCAGCATGGCCTCGGAGGACAAGAGGAGATTTGTCAACAGGAGAATGGGGGTGGGCATACCTGGTAGAGGGAGCACCACAAAGCACAGGGCGTGCTGAGAAGGTGGGGAGACGAATGTGGTGAGATGAAAGCGGTGTGATTCTGGAGAGGTCCCTGGGGCTGGGCTGTGAGGAGCCAGCCAAGGAGTTTGGGGGCCACTGCAGGGTTTCAGGTGAGGCCAGGAAGCCCTGTGTTCTAGAAAGGTCACTCGGCATCCTGGAGGAGCTAGAGTGGCAGACGCCAGGGTTCTGGAGAGGAGGCCTCTGCCAGGTGGTGAGGCTGGGCTGAGAGGTAGGCTCCTAGGTACCCCCTCCCGCCTCTGCAATGGCTGCCAGAGGTAGGGTGGCCTCATTTCGCCCCAGCCCAGCCCAGGACCCACCGTCCCACTGGCCACCAGAGGGCGCCGAGTACCTGCGAAGCTTTTGGTTTCTCCTGTGGCGATAGGAGAGAACTTCACGCTGCAGAGCTCGTAAGCTCTGAGCCTGACAGCAGCTGGGACTGGTGTCAAACCCTCAGACAGTGCTCAGATGGAAACTTTGAGGCCCAGGGAAGGTCCGTCCTCGACCAGAGGAGCCACAGACAAACCTCCTGTGCCCAGCATCTTTCATCAGCCAGGGGATCCCAAGGCAATGGGGCCCATTGGGCTGTTTTTTCATTTTGTAGTTGTCACGTTTATTTCAGGGGACTTTGGTCTACATATATCTCTGCACCCACATTGTGTTTGCACGTCAGAGGCATGGTACCCGCCTTGTCTACCCTTAACAAACTACGTCCACAAGGTTCAAGTAAAAAGCTTCTCGAATTCCAACCATCATCCCCCTAATGTTGGACCCCATGGCGTTGCTTCTGGGAAGGCTGTAGTCTGCCAGAGAGGGGAAGTGCAGGGCACACAGCCAAGCAGGTGTGGGGACAAGTGAAGGGAGAACCAGGGCTCCCCTACCACCCTGGACTGGCGGGTAGAATGGAGAAAGGCAACTGGGACCTGGAGTTTGGTGCTGGGGGGAACTGGGGCCTGACCTCTAGCAAGGATCACCCACTTCCTTGACCTTAGTTTCCCTGAAGAATGAATGGAGTCTGCTGGACAGATAAATGGGAAGGGCGCTCCAGACAGAAGAAACAGCACTTGCAAAGATCTGATAGTTGGGCTGAAAGGCAGTCAGAAGGGTGTTCGAGTTCCCTGTGATGAGCCTGTGTGTGGCTCGGCCCTCTGAACATCTTGCTGAGCTGTGGACAGTGGTAGTGCCTTTTGCCGAGTAGAATCAAACCATGTTCCCTGCTCTTTGTGCACAAAAGGCAACCACAGGGCCTCTCTCTGGGGGGGCTTCTGAGTCTTCTGACCTCCATGTCTGGCTTGGGACCAGAGGCAACGTGGTGCAGTTTAGAAAACACGGGTCTTAGCGTCGAACAGGCCCCGGTCAGCATCCCAGCTTCCCCTCCAACAGCCATCTGAATCAACAGACCTTGATTCAGTCACTCGGCCTTGCCAGGTCCTGGTTCCCTTAGCTTTAGAGGGAACACAGGATCCACCATGGGACAAGGCCAGGAGAGCCGTTTAGCCTGGGCCCAAAGTTCCCAGGAGGCCTCAGATTTGGACGTTCGAAGTGTCTCAGGCCAGGGCTGGGCTTGCCGTCACGGTGGGGGTTTGTGCGGATTGTGAATGTGGATTTGTTGAATGTGGTGTTAGGAGGTGCCTCGTGAGTGAGACCCCTTGGTCCCTGTCGGCTGAGGGCAAGGATCCAGTGTCCCCAGAGTGTGCACAGAGGGGCCAGGGAGGTATCTGGTGTGACCAGCTCAGAGGAGAGTGGCCTGAGCGTCCCTGACCCCACCCCACAGACTTCAACACCGACAACTTCATCTGCAAGGAGGACCTGGAGCTGACGCTGGCCCGGCTCACCAAGTCGGAGCTGGACGAGGACGAGGTGGTGCTCGTGTGCGACAAGGTCATTGAGGAGGCCGATCTGGATGGCGACGGCAAGCTGGGCTTCTCCGACTTCGAGGACATGATCGCCAAGGCCCCCGACTTCCTCAGGTGCCCTCCCAAGGGGCTGACATGGGCAGGGCAGGCCTGAATGGGGGCCGCAGCCAGGAGACCCCTTGGGGCTGAGGCACTGTCACTGCTCCTGAGAGCAGTGGTCCCAGCAGGCTCTGTGTGGGCCGGGAGGCAGGTCACGTTTCAGGCCGAGCTGCCCTCAGTGTGTGACTGGGAAGTCCTCTGTCCCCAGCAGGGCCAGTCTCTGGTGAAGGATAGAGACTGGGGGCCCTTTGGTTATGTCGGGGGTTGGATGCCCTGGGCACAGCTGGTCCTCCAGGCCTTCCTTCCCTCGTGCAGGTTGTTTGCATCCTCTGCACCCTCCTGGAGGAACTGTCCAGGGTTGGGTGCAGGGCCTGGTTGGCTTTCTGCTGAGGACCTTTACCCACCCAGTCCAGAGCCTCTCAGCCCCTCTTGCTGTTTCTCTTTCCAGCACTTTCCACGTCCGGATCTGAGGACAGTGCCGAGGTTACAGGGACCAGAAGCCGACCATCCAGCTCTGCTGCCTACACAAGTGTGACCTCCAGGCTCCTCAGGAGAGGAGCTGTGGCCTCTGGGGTTTACACCCACGCACATTTCCTTGGCCCTTTCAGCAAAAAATCCTTAACCAGGGAAGGGGGGATGTGAGGGGCAGGGCCTTTCCCAGTCCCCCTGTGGTGTCTCCACAGGTCTTCCTTCTATCCCCCCAACCTTCCCCACACCCTGGTCCTCTCCCCATCAGAAATGGCCCTACTGGGAGGGGAAGACAGAACCCCTAATAGGGCAGGGGTGCTGACTTGTCCAAGTGCTGGGCAGGCACCCTGGTTGCCCAGGGCAAAGTGAAAAAAAAAAGGACAAGGTTTAACGAGCTATGCAATCTTTCTTCACAACCCACAGCTGGGCTACACCCGACCCCGCCTGTTCCTTCTCCCCTGACCCTTCCCAATGTGAAGCTGTGTGAACAAGGGCCAAGGGCTCTGTCCCTGTCTCTGTCCAGGACCTGAACACCACCCCATCTGCCCTCCCCAGTGACGTGGAATCCTCACTGATGTGTGCTGTCCACAGATTTGTGAACCCCTCGTACAGTAAAACACTCTCATGTCCCCGTGTTCTCTGTGTCTGCCAAGGTTAGGAAATATTCACGGGTCCCTTTTCTCCTTGAAATTCCACCATTAGCAATTCACGTCTCTAAGCATTGCCTTCCCACTTTAGGCACCAACTTTTATTTCAGTGCTTAGGTCCTTGAGGGGAAGACACATCTGTGCCCCAAATCTTCGAGTGAGCACCGTGAAGAGGTGTTGGGTGAAAACCGTTTCCATTTCCCTCATAGTGATAGTCATTCCGGTGAAGATTTATGGAGTACGGACCATGTATCAGGTACAGGGTGAACAGATCACATAGGGCTGGCCAGCAAGCACCCACTGGCTGGCTCCCAAAACTGCCCAGCAGCGCCCAGGCTGACCCAGGCGGCCAGCCAGGCTTGGGCCTGCCTTAGGAGGGGCGACCAACCGTACAGCCTTGAGCAGGCTGCTCATTTACTCTCAGTCCCTACAACCCCCCTGGGAGGTAGGGACTCTTAGAGCCCCGCTTCTCAGAGCGAGACGCTGCATAGCCAAGAGGCCACTGTGGGTAGGTTTTCCCCACAAATGTGAACTGAGCCAACTCTGCCCAGGGAGGGGGCCCGAGGTGGGCTGCGGTGTTCTCTCTGGGGAGGGTTAGTTGCCTGGGGGCAGTGGGCAGGGGGCAGCAGCCCAATTACTCACCCTTATGGAGGTGGGGACACATGGGTATGAGGGGGAGTGGGATCCCAAGGGAAGGGGACAGAGGAGCCAGGCTGACCTGAGGGAATGGCTGTAGTGAGAGGCCTGAGGGCCCCATGTGTAGAGCTGATGCCTGGGCAAGGCCTAAGGGCCACCAGGTGGGGTCTGGGTCTCATGGGAGGGGTCTGAGAGCCACCCCTAAAGGCCAAGGCTGGCTGGAGGCAGAGGGCAGATGAGGGTGACCTGGTCAGATAGGGACGCCAGCAAGTACCCACTGGCTGGCTCCAGAAACCGACCAGCAATGCCCAGGCTGACCGACTGGCAGGTGGCTGCTCCTCTCCGGGTCTCCGTCTCCCCGATCTGCAGCAAAAAGGGTCAGACCGGGTCTGCCCAGCTTGCATTATGAGGCTGGGATGAAGGTGGGGGCAGAGAGGGGCTGAGGGGATGGTCCCTGGGAGCCCAGGTGCCCCAGGGTCAGAACCATCACCTCCGAGGACGGGGCTTTGCTGCTACTTCCCTGGTTTCTTGCCCCAACCCCCCTGGGGCAGGAGCAGGGATGTGGCCCTGGGCCCTCCCTCCTTTCTGCTGATGGGGCCACGAGGAGGGGCACTGGTTGGTCTCAAGAGCAACTGAATGACATCACTCGGTCAGTCAGGAAAATGCCAGCGCTGCCACAGGGCCTGCCCCACGCTCAGTAAGTGTTCAGTGGTGGGAGGTCAGCACGGCCAATCCGTCCAGGCCCAGCCTGCTCACCTTGGAAATGCGGGTGGCCTTTGGCCAGTCCCCACTCTTCTCGGGCCTTGATTTCCTCTGGATGGGTGGGAGGCACTGGGGAAGCAGGGCACAGCCCTGAGCTGCAGGCAGCTGGAAGGTCCCCTCCCATCCTGTCCCCTAGGCTGTCTCGGAGCCTTGTTCCAGAGCAGGCTGGTTCGATCTGAGGGTGCAAGGGGTGCCTTCAAGCAAGCTGAGAGCTTCCCAGTAAGCCCTGGCATAGCCCAGATACCGGGGAACCCGCTGGTGAGCTTCAGAAAGCCAGGCCTCCTCAGGATTTGTGCTTCTTGTCTGTGAAGAAGAGCCTCTGGAGCTCGTCAGGCTGCAAGGAGGGAGAAGATGCTAGAGGCTGGGTCCCTGGACAGGGAGGGGAGAGCCAGGCTCAGAGCACCCCTTGGCAGCGACTGGGGGCTGGGGCTCAATGCTGGAGAAAGGCCAGGTTGGAATATTGATAGTTGTTCCGCCACCCCTCTCAGTGCCAGAAGTTCCACTCCAGTCCTCTGGTTTGGATGAAGGATTCGCCCTCTCTGGCTAAGGAGGCTAGGGGAAAGCGGAGAAGAAAGGCCAAGTCCCCCCTTCCCTCACTGGGTCCCCTGGGGTCCCCAACCCCAGTGCTGTCTGCCCCAGCCATGCCCTAGGTAGAATGGGGGTGGGGATGTACATGGCGCCACCAGGGACCGGAAGGACTTTGCAGCTAGAGGAAGAGCAGACATGGGTTGTGGCTTCTGTGGTTCTTAGAAGGGCTGTCTGCAGGCAGGATCTGTGGTCCCGGGCATCAGGACCTCAGAGGCAGCCTTGCACCAGGCGAGCTCCCTGTCCTGGGGTGCGTGGGCACAGCCCTTCCCTGCGGGAGGAGCTGCGGGAGGCCTTCTGGTGAAGGCCTTTCAGCTGGGAGCTCGGGGTTTTGCTGTTCAAGCGGAAGAGGACGTCTGCACATGCCCGAGGCCTGAGGCTGTGCCCTCGGGGAGTGGGCTCTCCCAGCTCATCGCCTCCAGGCGTAGGCAAATACGCTGGGGCTGAGGGTCCAGGAGGGTTCCTCTGCATCCCTGGGAATCCTGACCACCTCCCTCTGCCCTCCTGATCCCTGCTTCCCCTTTTCTCCTTTCTTATCAGAAATCCCCAGGAATAACAGCTGCTCACTGACAGCCATCTCTGGGCTGTGTCCTGAGCACATAAGGATGTCTAGCTTCACCTCCTGGGCAGCCGCCCCTGGACACATCCATAGGACCAGCCCATTTTACAGATGAGGAAATGGAGATCCTGGGTAGATGCTAAATGAGAATACAGGATGCCCGCTTAAATTTGAACTTCAGATAAATGAGGAATAATTGCACTATTGGGGACATAGTTATGCTTTAAAAAGTTACTCATTGTTTATCTGAAATTCAAATTAACTGGGCGTCTTGTATTTTATCTTGCTAAATCTGGCAGTCTTAGTTGTGGGGGAAACTATCTTGCCCAAAGCCACATGGCTAGGGAGTGGCTGAGCCATGAAAAGGGCCAAGGCAAGTCAGACCTGGAGCCAGGGCCCTTGTCCACCTCTCTGAGGCTCTGAGACGCTTGCAGTGGCCAAGAGGGAGGGACAGGAGTCCTAGTCTGCCACAGAGAAAGACATCAGAAGGGCCTGGAAGCCTCCATCTTACATCCAAACCTAACATCTGCCTCTCCCACCATCTCTAAGCAGAAGTTAGGGCTGGAAAGTTCTGGGCAGTGGCAGTGACCTGACCTGCCCATGCCTGAGGGCCCCGGGTCCCTCCTATCACCCCACCCATGGAGCCCACCTTATGTGTCCATCCAGTCTCCTTGCTCCTGGCTGCCGGGATTTGTTCATAGGCGTTCCTGGGCTCTGGGAGCTCCGGGGCCCCCAATATCCTCTCATAGCCACAGTCTGTGGACCCTGAAAGCTTGCTATATGGGGGACTTGCTCCAGCATAGGGGGGCCTGGCTGGGCCACCCCAGCAGACTGTGATCTGCTCGTAGGTACTGCTGCCTCCTTGGTCTGGCACGTCCCTGGCCTCCTCTAGGAGGCCTTCTGCCCGGATGAGCTCATGGATGTCTGCAGAACGGCTCCGTTTTGGAGACCCCTGACTCCAGGTAGCAGCTGAGGATCCTAGAGCCTCAGAGCCGGGGGGCAGGAGAAGGCCCCAAGAAGTGGGAGACACTCTAGGGCCCTGGTCTGGGCTCACCCCAGAGAGGGCAGGTCCCGGGCCATCAGGCTTGTTCTGGCTTCCATCTGAGAGTCTCCTCAGGGCCTCCTTGCCTGGGGAGAAGGCCTGGCTGCTGGCTGGGACTGGCCCCTGCCTGCCAGACACATCTGTGTCCCGGCCTAGCCGTGCCTGGTTCATCCTTCTCAGATCTGCACAGATGATGTTGTGGGGGCCTCCAAAAGACTCGTCCAGAAGGGAAGCACTCCTCTCCGGGAGGGGAGGCACCTTGACGGGGGCCTGGGGAGAGAACGACAGAACCTCTTAGAGGTTAGCCTGTCACTAAGTTGCCTTCTGGTAAACTGCAGGTCTCTCAGAGAAGCTGAGGCCCCTTGTCTTGGGCTCAGTTTACCTGACGGTTACGTGCAGGGTTTGGTTGACATTCGGGGTCCCTGCCAGCTTCATGCTCTAGGACTCTGAGTATGGTCCTTATGTTGGCATTCAAGGCCAGGGGTCACGAAATCTACCTCCCACCCAAGATCATCCTTCCCTGCTCCTCTCCCCCCAAGAGTGGTGGTCCCTCAGAGCCCCCTGAGCCCACCCACTCACTGCTCCCTTCCCCTTCAGAATGGTCCACCCCCAAGTCCATCAATTGTGTATTTATTCAACAAATATTTAGTAAGCACTGTGTAGACACCGTCCTAGGTGCCAAGGGCCCAGTGATGAGCAAGACCACCTCTTGGGAGTTTACATTCTAACCTGGGGATGGGCAACATACTGCTCTGTTGTATAGTTTAGTGTGGTTGATGTAATATATGATACAATAATATATCACAAGATAATATACTGTCAGCTCACGATCAGTACTATGAAGAAGAACAGAGCAGAGTAATGGGATAGGGAGAAAGGCTGGTAGGAGAGGGGATATTTTCTATAGTTTAGGTGGTCCTCTCTGAGGAAATGACATTTAAGCAGAGAATGGAATGCAGTGAGAGTAGAAGCCATGCAGATGTCTGGTGGGAAAAGCATTCCAGGCAGCGGGTACAGCAAGAGCAAGGGCCCTGAGGTGGGAACGAGGTTGATGTGTTCAAGGGAGATCCAAAGGCCAATGAGGTTAGAGAAAAGTGAAAAGGGGGACAGGGAGCAGGGCACCTGGTGAGGCTCTTGTGGACCCTGGTGAAGATTTCAGATTTTATTTTAAACATGAGGAGAAGCCCTCGCTGTGATCTGATATATATTAAGAAAAATCTCCGTGAGTCCCTCCTGTGAGTTGCTGTGGAGGAAAATAAAGTATTGATTTACAGGCATCCCACTCTACAGTTTACAAAGGGATTTTTCTGACATTTCATATCCATTCCCTCATTCAAGCCTCACAGGAACCTCAAGATTGGTAAACTGAGGCTCAGAGAGGTTATGTGACTTGTCCAAAGTCACTCAGCTAGAAAGGCCAAGCCAAGGTTTGAACCAAATCCACCGGCCAGAGGCAGGCCGCAGCATGGGTGAACCACTGGGTAATTCCAAGCTGGGCCACTCCTCTCTGGGCCTGTCACTCACCCTCTGCAGCCTGAGGGGATGGCCAGTGTGGCCTCTCTGGGCCTGATGGTGGACGTGGCACCCACATTCCTGGTCTAGCAACCCTGACTCTGGGTAGCCCAGAATCCTCCTCACCTCCATGCTTTCTTCCTTGGGGAGGTTCCAGGGACTTGCATCCAGGCTCTTCTTTTTGTAGAGGAAGGAGACCTGGGGCTTTGGAGAGGGACAGGAGCTGGCAGCCTTGTCTGGGACCACCGTGGGGGACACTGCAGCAGGCGGGTTTTCCAGGCCCAGATTGGTCTGATGGAGGCCCAGGGTGATGGCGTCATATAGATTACTGTTCTCTAGCTGGAGGCGGTGGGGACACAGCAGGTGTGTGGTCATACACCCCTGGCCAGCCTCTAGCCTCCTGCCAGAGACTGCTGGCCAGAGATTGAAACATTCCCACCAGGTCCCTGACCTCAGATAGAATGCTTCCTCCATCTCCCCTTCTCAAATAGGGACCATGACCCTGCACTGAGTGCCCCTGGGTGGCAGGAAATAGGGAAGGCAAGGAAAGACATGTGGTCGAGTGGTGGACGCCCCTGGCCCGGGCACCCTGCCCCACCCCACGACCCCCGGGGAAGAGAGGTACCTACCCGGGGGCAGGCAGCAGCCAGGGTGTCCCCGAAGGGCTCAAACTGCACCTCCTGGTAATGGCGCACGAGCTCAGCCAGGGTGCCGTGGCTCTGGGTGTCCCCTGAGATGAGGTAGCGCCGGTTTTGGAGCTGGTTGATGACAAAATGCCGGCAGCAGTCACTGCCCCTGCAACACAAACACTTGTGGCCTGGGGCTGCTGACAACTGGCAGCCCTGCCTTGGCCCAGGGCCGGAGCTGACCCGGGGCCATGCTGCCCACTTGGGCCTTGACGTGCTCCTCTATAAAGTGGAAGTTGACATCCAGCAAACACAGCCTTGCAGGTGATAGGGAGCGGTTTTTCAACGCACACCCCACCCCCACCCCCGCATGTCAGTCAGGGAGGAAAGGGCCAGGGCCGGGGTTAAGGAGGAGTGAGGCACTCAGCTTGGAGCATGGACGCAAATTTAAAGGGATGCCACAAAACTCAGTAATCAAGATAACTAATAATGCAATATTTTAGAAAATCAAAATTAATAGCAAAATATCCATGATGAGCAAAATATCTAAGGCTTAAAAGATGAGGTCCGAGCCCCCACTTGCACAACTCAGCCTTACTCATCTCACCCAAATCCCACCCAGGCCGAAAAGATGGAGTTCCAGCTCCCATCTCCACTCCAGCCTGTAAAGTCCCACCCTCTTCATTTTCCTTTTTTATGGAAGAGTAACGTAAACACAGTGAAGTGCACACATCCTAAGTGTGCAGCTTGATGAACTTCCACATATGAACATTCCCAGGTAACCACCGCTTAGAGCAGAACAAAACATTTTCCGGCTCCCCAGAAGCCTCCCTCGTGGCCCCTTCCAGTCAAACGTAGCCACCACTCTGACCCCCTTCACCGTAGATCAGTTTTGCTTGTTATGGAATTTCACCTAAATGGAATCATACAGTATTTCTTCTTTGTGTCTGGCTTCTTTCACGCAACATTATATCTTTGAGATTGATTCATGTCCATGTAGGATTAGCTTCCTTTCCCCCCCCATTGATAGGTAGTATTCCATTTAATTAAATCCACAGTTTATCCATTCTGCTGATGGGCATTTAGATTATTGCCACATCTGGGCAATTATAAATAAAGCTGCTCTGAACATTCTCGTACATGGCTTTTGCTGAATATATGTATTCATTGCTATTGAGAATATCCCAGGAAGGAGGATTGGGTGAGGGATACATGTATGTTTAGCTTTAGTAGATTATGCCGAATTGTTTTCTAAAATCATTGCCAAGCATGAGAGTTACAGCTTCTCTGCATCTTCACCGACTATTAGGTAGCCTCTGTCTTTCCACTGCAGCCATTCATTGTGGTTTTAGTTTCTACTTCCCGGATTGCTAAAGCTGCTGGACACCAGCTCACTGTCCTTTTGGACCCTCTTTTAGGAAGTGCCTTTATTTTGCCTGTGTCATCTTTGTCTTACTGATTTGCAGGAGTTCTTCATATAGTCTGGATATGAGTCTTTTATTAGGTGTATGTATTACAATACAAAACCTCTCCAGCACTGCGGCTTGTCCTTTTATTCACTGAATGGTATCTTCTGATTCACAAAAGTTCTTAATTTTAAAGAAATCCAATTTGTTAACCTTCTCTTTTATGGTCAGTACTCTTGTGTCTCGTTTAAGAAATCTTTGCCTGTCTCAAAGTCATGAAGAATATTTCCTATGTTTTCTTTTCCTATGTTTTCTTTTGCTTTTCTCACTTGGGTCTGTGAACCATCTAGAATTAATTTTTATGTATGGTGTGAGGTGGGGGTCATTTTTTTCCATTTGGATATCCAATTGCTCCTGTACCACTTATTGAAAAAACCAGCCTCCCCATACTCCTCCCCCCGCCCTCCCCCCAGCTGAATTGCAATGGCGCCTCTGTGGCAAATCAGGTAACCAAATGGGGGACTGTTTCTGGATTCCACTGGGCTATTTGTATATCTTTGTGCAGCCCCACTTTGATCTCTTTAATAAGCTGGCACTCCACCTAAGATCATGTTTGAAAAAAAAAAGCCCTGATGCTGAAAAGACATTTGAAAATTGCTGAGTTTGTATATTTCAAAGTGCTGAGGACCATACCTGGCACATAGAATAACAATAACTATTTTAATAATGACTAACAGTTATTTATTTACTATGTTCCGGACACTGTACCAAGCACTTTTAACGGTATAAACTCAAGCCCATTCAACAATCCTATGCAATACACCCATTTTACAGATGAGGAAAGGTAGGTGCGGAGAGGCAAAGTGACATGCTCAAGATCAGAATTAGAACTGGGGCAATCTGAACAGATGATAATTTTGAATCTGAATCTGAGGCCCTTGAGATTTGCCCTGGAGCCCCAGCCTCCCTCCCTCCCTAACTAGGGGTGGGGGAGGGAACTTCTTCCTTTTTCTGCCTACCCCCACCCAACCTACAGGCTCTGACGTCGCCACCTCTGACTTCATCCCGGCCATCTTGTCTCCTCTTCTCCATGCCCACTGCCTTACCCTAGCCCAAGCTTCCTCATCTAGCCCAGACCTCACCCCTCAGTAGTCCCCACTGCCCCCACACCTCCAGCACCTGTCTTGAGTCCTCCTTCCATAGGCTGCCTGAAGTATCCTTGCAAAACCTAAGTCTGACCAGATGACCCTTCATTGTCTACAGACATAGCCAGACATCCAAGGCCGTCCTGAGCTGCCCCCGACCTTCCTCTCCAGGCATTGTTCCACTGGAACCATGTGTCCTTCTGCACCTGGCAACTTGTGGCTCCCAACACCTTAGTCTGCCCTGTCTCTGTTCTTTTGCATATGCAGTTCAATCTATTGGAAAGGCCTTCCTAAACCCCAATCACACCTCCTTCTCTGCCCAGCAAGTTGCTGTTCTTCCTTCTATCCTGTGCTCAAAATCCACCTCTGTGAAGCCTTCCCCAGCCTCCCATCAGGAGGAGGTTCTCCCCTGTCCCCCACCAACTCACCCCCTTGAAGGTGGGTGCTTCATCCTAGTATACGGCTGCTGCTGTTTAGAAAATGTCTGATGGACGTGGACGGGTGACTGAGGGAGTGAGGGAGTCAGGGCCCAGGGAAAGCCCAGCAGTGTGGGCTGGTGGAGATTCCAAGCTTATCTGCAAGTCTGGCTTGTGGAGCCAGAGCCCGCCTGCCCTTTGCAGAGGGCTTCCTTTCTTACCTGTAGGACAAGATGTAGCCGGTGGCCCAGTCTCTGAGGCGGATGAGGAAGGAGCCAAGAGCTTTGTCCCTGAGCAGCTGCTCTGTCTGCCTGGGCAGAGGACATGCCATTAGCTGGGGCTGGGTCCCCACAACAGCAGGAGCAGCCTGACTTAGACCAGCCTCAGAGTCCCTGCCAGCCATGCCCCAGACCCAGTGCACAGATCTCCAACCCTTTATAGAGAACTCCCTCAGACTTTCGTCTGGTTCTGTGGAAGACTCAGTCTGGGGCTGGCTGGGTTGGAAGCCTGAGGTCACATACACACCACCCCGCCCACTACTGCCTCACCATCAGGCACAGTAGCCACTGACCCTCCCCACCTGAATGTCCCTGCAGCAAGAAGGAATCCATAGAGCGCTGGAGCCTGACCACAATGGCAACTCATAGGTTCTCATCCCCTTCCCTTGCCTGTCCCCTTCAGCCTCAGGCAGCTACGGATAGTTCTAAATGATGCCAAGGATTTTGGAGGCATGGTGGAAATTCCAGCTTTCTTCTGGTTTGGCAGTACCTAGACCAGATATTTCCTCACCCACTTATTCACCAAATACTTGTTGAGTGCCTGCTCTATGCGGGACCAGCTACAAATTTTGCAGGGGTCAGTACTAAATGAAAACCTGGAGCCCCTTACTCAAAAAGTAAGAATTTCAACAGAGCAGAGGGCCCTGTGTTACAGTACATGTCAATGCCCGTGAAGCTGTGCCTGCTTCAATGCCAGGTGCTGGGCCAGGAGGACCTAATGAGTGGCTGCATTTGTCATTCCTTTAGCTAGTGCTTTGGCAGCTTGGAGATCCAGCCCAATCAGAAAGCCAGCCTCCACATCTTGGCCCGTATTCCTAGAGTAACTGTATGTCCAGGTTCGCCTGGGAGGGTCCCCACTTAGAACGGTTCTCCTAGTTAAGTCCTCTTACTGACAGTGCTCTGGTTTGGATGATGAATGAAACAGTCCCCCTAGTAATTCATCAGGTTATCCGGAGCTGTTCTGAATGCATCCTTCTCCAGCCTGCCCCTCTCTGTTTCTCTGGCCGCCTGACAGCCCCAGCCATCCCAGCCCTACACTCAGAGCCGGGGCCAGTGCCTTTGCCCACCTTGCCCACAGAAGCGGCTGTCAGAGAACTCGGCATTCCTCAGTCTGTTCCCCCACCCACTGCTTCCTGGGGTCCCCGCCTAGCCCAGGGAAAGGGGCTAGCCCCTCGGCCCTGGGGGGCTAGGGGCCACGCTGGGTACATGGACAGTGGCAGCCTTACTTGCGGGTGATGAATCCGTGAAACCAGGGGGGCAGGGCTCCATTTTGCAAAATGAGGGGGGCCTGCGTCTCCGTGAACCACATCAGGGCCAGCTCCTGCAGCTTAGCCGGGGCCTGGCTGTCCCCGGCCCCCTCGGGCCCCCTGACCAGGCTGAACTGCCTCAGGTGGCCCCCCATTCTAGCGAGCACTGATGTGGAAGCAGAGCCCCGACCACCCGTACGCCTCTATATCTGTGGGCACCCCAGCTCATTTGCCTGAGTCCATGCCCTCTCCAACCACCCGCGGCACACAGGAGCCCTATTGTCACCTCTGACAATATGCGGCTGGTTCTCCTCTCTGATGCTCTAAGGCGGGGCACCTTGGCTGTCTGGGGACATTGGGGGAGGGTCACATTAGCAGTCAGAGAGGGGCAGGAGAGGGATCCCTGACTTGCTGGCTAACAGATGAGCTGCCCCACTGGGTTTGGCCCCTCCGCCCAACCTCCGGTCTTTGTCTCAGCTAAAGACCAGACTCTGGCTAAAGTCCAGGCACTGCCACTGTTAGCAAAGCGGTGAATTTAAATTCTACTTATCCTTCCTTCATGGAGGCCACTTGTATCTTGGTGAAGTTCTGTGCTGATTAATTCCTCTTTCCACTCAAGATTTATTGCCTACTGTGTGCCACGTACATCTGGGCCCTGGGAAAAAAGCAGCAACCAAAACGGCATTTTGCCTCATGGTACATATGCTCTAGTGGAAGGAGACAGATAATAAACAAATACATATATAGAATATGGGGTCAAGTGTAATAAACACTCCAAGAAAAAGGGAGTGGAAGGAGAGAGCACGGATTGTGTTATTTAGATAGGGGTGCAGGTAGGGAGTCAGGGTTGGGGGAAGCCTTGCTCAGGAGGTGCCACTGGAACAGTGAAAGAGAATGCCAGGCAGGTACCTGGGGGAAGAGATGCTGCTCCCAGCAGAGGGAAGAGCAAGTACAAAGACTATGAGGTGGGACTCTGCTGGAGATCCTGAAAAGCAACCCAGAAGCTCATGTGGCTGGAGGAAGAGCCCTCTGGAGTAGATGGGTCCCCTAGAAGGGCTGCCATAAGGCTTTTGAGAGGAAGCACTGCACCAGTGAGGGCCCGGGATATTTGTTCACGCAAACATCCCTGAACCTCTAATGTGTTCCCGAGTTTCACAGCAGAAATCCAGGCTCGGCTGACAGTGAGGCAGGGGATGTTGCAAACAGCCAACGCCGAGGATCTGGGTTAGAATTCCGCTTCCATCACGCTGACACAGGCCTCAAGGCAGTTTCTAAGTGGTTGCAGATAGCTCAGTTTCTCCATCTGTAGAATGGGAATAATTTTTAAAAAGCTACTTTCTAGACTCTAGGGTCATTATGACAAGTAAACGAGACAGCATAATGGTTAAGAATGAGGGAACATATACGTAAACTCCAAAACAGGCAGAACTGACCAATACCAATGGCAGTTAGGACAATGTTTACCTTGGGGAGTGTATGACGACCAGGAAAGGGTGAGGAGCTGCTAGGTGCCGATCATGTTCTATTTCCTGATCTGGGTGGTGTGTTAGATGAGTGTGTTCACTTTGTGAGAATTCACTGAGCTCTGTGCTCATGATCTATGCATTTTTCTATGTATATGTTCTACTTCAACAAAACTGCTCATTTGTAAGAAATGAGGACGCTACAGACATATTTCTCTGGTTCCAGTTCCAGCTCACCAGCGATGGGACCTTGAGCAAATGGCTTAATTTTTCTGGTCTTCAGTGTCATCATCTTTGAAACAGGGAGGAAGAACACGACCTGTTGTTTGGAAGGTAGAATGCGTTAAGTCTTCAGAACAGAGTTTGGAACGGAAGCTATCAGCATTAGCTATTACTTGATGATGCAGTGACTCTGAAATACAGTGGGTCCTCCCCTATTGGTAACTGTTTTTGTTATTACTATTATTATTATAATTTCATCATGGTCATTCTCAAATCAACATCAAAATACCAATGGCAAGTGTGTGATACATATGATTTAGAGGAAAGGTCAGGGCATGAGGCATACCTGCAACCTCAACCTGGACAGCTCATTCCCTGTCTTTGAGACTCATTTTCCACCTCTGTAAAAAGGGTTGCAGGGCATCCACTTGCCTCACCTGTCGATGGAGTGAAATACTACAGGACGGGCCCACGGGCACACAGCAAGTGTTCCCGAGGGTCAGCTACCGGGAACATCACTTTTGTAAAAATTTCCAGCCTTGACAGAGAGGAATCAACTCCAGCCAGGGGACACCGAGAGGGATTCACATACTTGCGAAATGGTCTTCCTGTCACAGATGTAAGCCAGTGATATACTGGGGTCATAATGGAAATCCCAGGGCCAAACTAGAAAGGACTGGAATTTCCTAATATGGGGTGGGGGAGGCGTAGGAGTGGATTACATCTTTATCTTCCCCAATCTCTAACTGAAATTCAGCATTTCCTTCCATGGCGAGTGCAGAGAACAAATCTCATTAGTGTTCGTAACACCTGTGACTTTGTCACCAAAGGAAATCACAGATATTTTCATATCACATTACAGCTGCTGCAGACATCCTGAGATATTGATTTTGCTCATTACCCCAAAATTATAATAATTAGACCCAAAGCTGGATCTTGATATTTAACATGCTAATAAAGAAGCACATCGTATTATTACATCACAGATATCTAGATAAACTTATTTCAGTATGATTGATGTCCACAGTAATTCTATGTATTTTATTTCGTGCATTTAAAAATATTATTCTGAGAAAAAGTTCATGAGCTTTACCAGATACCAAAGAGGTCCATGGCCCAAGCAAGGCCAAGGAAGCTGGGGTCTGACCCAGAGTCGGTTTGCTGCCAACATGAGGCCTTGGAGGTATTCAAATACAAAGAAATGTGTTTCTACAATTTTCCATGAGGTGTTCTCTCTCCACCTCCCTTTTAGGTGGGGCACTTTTATGAGCGGAACCTGGCCATTTGCATAAGAAGACAAAGGCTTTGTGTACTGGAAGGGGGAGCCCAGGATGGCTGCAGGAGAGATGTGAAGATTCCAAGGTCAGGCAAATAAAGGAGAGTCTATATTTATACTCAGAGGAAATGGGGGTGAGGAGGGGTTGAAGCCAGGTTTGCAGGCATCAAGAGAACTCTGTGAAAGACTGGGGATGGGTTTTCTCTGACAGTGTTCCACATCCCACTGTTCAGTTCATCACCTGTGCTCACCTACTAAGGGCTGGGTCTTGGGACAGAGAGAGGACCCTGGAGCAGCCCCGTCCTCCTTCTCCAACCCTGGGTGCCCAGAGGTGTCCAGAGAGGCACTAAGAGGTTTCAGGCTCTTCAGCCAGACTAAGCGACTTAAGAATCCTGGTTCCCCCTTTGCTGGCTTTGTGAGTTTGGAGGAGGTACTTCACCTTGCTGTGTCTCCAGTTTCTCATCTGTAAAAACGAAAGGGAGAAAAAGTACGCACCTGGTAGGGTTCGGGGATCCAGTGAGCTGATCCGATGCAAGGGAGTGGTGGGGAGGCATGGTGCACATGCAATAAACATCAGCCCCAGCTCCAAATCAATCCCCCTGCTGGGAAGTCCCCAGAATTCTACGTCTCTGTCTGTCTCATGGAAATTTCCTTGTCCTAGGTTCTCCATCAAGGTCATGCTTCTCCTGTAGGACCAATAGATGGTAATGGATTATCCATTAATTTACTCTCTCCCGAGGATGCTCAGTCTGGCAAGACTTCTCAGGAGGAGAGCGCTCAGATTTCTCCAGAAAGATGCTCAGGGTCAGTGTCTTTCCAGCTGTTTTGATGGAAACCCACTGAGTATGGCCAGAACCCCAGCACTAACGCTGCCACTCCTTCTTTCTTGAGCCTGTGCTGTGGGAACACAGTACATGGCCAAGTGCTGCTGGCAGCCAGCCTCCTGGGTAGAATGCCAAAGTGGGCTTTTCAGTAAATTCTAGTCATATGTTCATTTTAGTTTATGAACACTGCATTTTCGTGCCCCTTAGTTAGTTATTCCATTAGAATTTGTTCCACAATAGTAGTGAGTGGAGAATGAACGATCCTATTTCTTTTTTCTCAGATTGTCTGCCTTATTCTCCACTGTATTCTGTCCCTAGAATAGTGCTTGGCACAGTTAGATGCTCAACAGGTATATTTTATTTTATTTTATTTTTTTGATGTGGACCATTTTTTGTTAGTCTTTATTGAATTTGTTACAATATTGCTTCCGTTTTATGTTTTGGTTTTTTGGTCGTGAGGCGTGTGGGATCTTAGCTCCCCGACCAGGGATCGAACTGGTACCCCCTGCACTGGAAGGTGGAGTTCTAACCACTGGACCACCAGGGAAGTCCTGGTATATTTTAAATTATCATTCAAATTTGTGATACATCCACATGGTTTTTAAAAATAAAAAGTGTAAAAAAGGTATCAGTAAAAATGTTCTCCTTCTAGGCATTAACCCCCATCTACCCAGTTCCATCTCTTTCCCACAAGGAACCGCTGTTATTTATTCCTTGAATGTTCTTCCTGGGTTTCTTTATGCATGTTCAAGTAAATATGTATATTCTTATTTTCCTCCCTTTGTTATATAAGGGTAGAATCCTATGCAGTGTTCCGCACCTTGCTTTGTAAAACTGTTTAGTAATATATCTTAGAGTTCCTTTCATAAGAGTACATAGAGGGATGTCATTCTTTTTGTTACAGCTGCATGGCTGCACCATAATTTTCGTAACCGGTCCCCTACTGACGATCATTTGGGTTGTTTCCAGTGTTTTTATATTTCCAACAATGCAGCAGTGGATGACCTTATACAGATTTGATTAAACATAAGAGTGAGTACATCCATGGAACACATTCTCAGAAGAGAGATTGCTCAGTCAAAAGGGTATTTGCATTTGTCATTTTGATAGATGTTGCCAAATTGCCTTCTTTAGGGGTTGTAGTCATTTACGCTCAGGAAATATTGAATGAATGAATAGACAAATAAATAATATATCCAAGCTCAGACATTTGGGGGCCCCCAGCTTGCAAGAAAAACTGGGAGGGGGCTGATGCTGACTCAGAGAGGTCACCAATTTTACCGTGACTCTTTCGGCCCCTTGATGTCACTGAGCAAACTCACCTTTTCACCTATAGATCATGGCTGTTGGGGTAGGAGGGCAGTACCCAGAGATGCTCCCTACAGATGTCTTCCCACCAGCTCTGTTTCATTCACAGGACAATGGCCAGGTACTGAGAACTTTACAAGGGCTGGAAAGAGACCCTCTGGGCACTGGGAAAAACTGGCACAACAATCCTTCAGATGGCCAGATATTTTCAGAAGAAGATTTTATGAGCCCAATTCTTGCATCTCCTCGTGTCTAGAAAAGCACTAAAAACATTGATGGTGACATCTGCTCCTCGTGACCAGCAGCAAGTCTCTGCAAAAATGGGCTGCACATACCCCCGTTCACCAAAATCATGTATATACTGACCTCCCCCCCTACCCCTTTGGAGCAGTTTCTCAGAGCTCTCTAGAAATGCTGTCTCCTGGGCTACAGTCCTCATTTTGCCCCAAATAAAACTTAACTCACAACTCAAGAAAAAAGATGTCTGAGACCTGAAAAAAAACACCAACAACAAAACAACTCTACCACTATTGGCTCCAAAGTCCAAAAGGAGAAAACTGCAAAATCACAACAAATGCATAATAAATGTCTATACAATATATTGTTGCATCCGCTTCATTTAGTGTTCATAAAATTTCATCATATCTGAAAATGATTTGGAGGTCAGATTGTCTTACCTCACAAGAATCCCCAGGTGTTCAGGAAAACTGCCAACAGATTGTTACTAATTGTCAATTAAATGAATTCTCAAAGCCAAATCATTCCAAAGGAAAATCATAAAAGTAATCATTTCTAAAAAGTTCAAAGTAAAGAAAAATTATATATAGTATTATACATAAGGTATCTAGAATATTATGTCATATATAATATACATATGTAATGTTAATTAATACTATATATAATATTAATTAATATTATATTGTATATAATTTAAAAATTTCAAATGTGGATGTGTCATTAAATTTATTCATTTATTTATTTGCTACATAGGGAGATGCAGACTCCAAAAGTAAGAGTGCCTTGGACCTACCAAGGTCTTAAGAACACTGCCAGCCCCACCTACTCCACAGAATACCCCTGCTCTGGGACTGTGGGGTCCTGACAACCCCGGAGGAAAGGGAACCCACCCCTCAGATCAGAGGCGCTCCCCCGTTGGGTGTACCTCTCAGTTTTAGCAGCAAGAACAAGACGTAAATTTATTTCTCTATAGATTATCTGGCCTCACCAGTGAGTAGTTCTGAGTCCCATGCAAAAATGAAAATCTACAGAATTGCATGCTGTCTGCTCATGAGAACTAAAGAAGGGACGGCTATGTAGGGATCAGTTTAGGGCCCGTTGGGAAGATCAGGGGCCAAGGACCATATGTTGGAACTCTTGTTCTATAGTTTCTTGGAGGCCAGTTGGCCGCCACGGGTCCTGGCACACCTGACAGCTTGGACAGCTGCGGCTGCCCCTCCCTTAGTCCTGTCCCCGTCTCCGCTCCCCTCACTTCACAGCTGGGAAATGGAGGCCCACAGTAGATCTATAACGATGTTGAGCCCCTATCATGTGCCAAATACATACATATGATTGCCTTTCCTCTTTATAACAGGTAGAAGAGGTAGCATTACCGTCTCCATTTGTCCCCATTGTAAAGATGGGAAACTGAGACTCAGGACTGGAAATGGCCTGCTTGAGACAAAGAGTAAGTCAGTGGCAGGGCTGGGACCAGAACCTGGGTGTCCCACCCCGGTTCCTAGTAAATATGCTGCATCTGCCTTCCATGCCTTTGCTCTTGATGTCTCCCCTGCCTGGGGCTCCTTTCCTTGCTACTCAAATTCTGTAAGTACCTAAAAAATGCCCTGAATCAAAATTAATAAATATTTTGTCAATATATTCAAAATACAAAACAAATCTTAAAACATTCTCCTCTTCACTCCAAGATCGGCTCTTTCTGGGTGTCCTCACTGCCCATTATCACATCCTGACTGCTTTCTGGGACCTTCCCTCCAAGGTCTTGTCTCCTTATTGCTTTGCTTGCACGAGCACCTTTTAAACTCCTTTGGAAACCCCTTTACCCAACCAGGATGATGTCTAAACTTCTATCATCAGAACAGCATCTCTTCAAGACTTCAATGAAAATACCTCCACCTCCCAGGCTGGGCCTCACAGTGGAGGCTGCAGTCCCAGTGCTTGTGTGAGCAGGAAGGAAGAATCTGAGCTCAAGTTTGGCTGAGGGATGGGCATCCTGGGAAGGGGACCGCAAGAGGGCCCCTGGGAAGGGTGAGTGGGGAAGGCAGAAGCGCTTACAGTGTCCTGGGCACAGTGCCAGGCCCAGAAACAGGACAGTGACCAGAAAGGACGGGGCCTCTGCAGCTACAGCCCCATTGCCTCCCCTGGGGTCCAGTTCTCCCCTGCTTCCTGGGCAATGTGGCTTTCCCTAACTCCTATGCGGGCCTCACACGCAGCCCCTGCAAGCTTTCCACCCCCTATCAGCTCCCAGGGGCACCCAAGCCCCTACCTATCTGAGCCCTGGCTACCTGGTCCCGGGGCTGGGAGCTTGCCCAGCACCCCAGATGCCTTCCCTCCAGGAAAGAGAACCACAGGTGTGTAGATTTGCCTGCCAATTTGGTAGGGAAATGAAGCCTCCTGGAAGCTGGAGACGGCAAATCTAGGCCGAGAGGGTTCCCTTGGGGGGCTCCCCTGTCTGAAGCTCCCCCACCTGCCTAGACCAAGAGCTTCCTGCAGCAGGGGCCAGGCCCACTCCTTTTCGGAGTTTCAGCATCACTAAACACCAGGCGGAGGCAAAGAGGAGGGGCTGGGGATGTCTACTAAATGAATCAGCTACCATTCTGAGGCCTTACCACCCATGAGGGGCTGTGTCAAATGCTTGGCATTTGTTATCTCGTTTAAGCCTCACAACAGCTCTAGGAGGTAAATGCTATTATTATGCCCCATTCTATAGATGAGGAAACTGAAGCAACGGAAGGCTGGGTGATCCACCTAATGTCACACAGCCCCTCCTTTATTTGGGAAACCGTCCCCCCCAACAGCCAGAGGGCAGGCAGCGTGGTGCAGGGCTGTGTGGAAGCACGTGGACAGCCCTCTCCCTGGTGGTGGTGGGGGTTTCCCTGTGGGAGCTGTTCACCCTGGTCAGTGCAGCTTCTGCTATGAAGACGGTCTGGCTTTCCCTGTTCCCTCTGCCACCCTCCTGTGCTCCGCCCATTCACAGCTCCAGTACACCAGTCTTGCCCCATGAACTCTAGTACCCTCCCCATCCAGGCCAACTTCCTCCAGATGTGCTCCGGGTTGAGCAAGGCCCCACCAAGGTTGCACTGTGTCCCCCCCACCCCCCAAAAATGGAGCCAGCTCTGCCAGTACTCTCTGCCTCAGGCACAGAAGGCCTCCATTGGTGCCATCTGTGTGTGGCAGGATGGTTAAGGCAGCTTCTCCAGCAGGGCAGGGGAAGATGCAAAGTGGTAATGCTTGCACTGACCAGAGTGGGCTGCCAGGCCTGCAGGATGACATAGCACTCTGAAGGGAAGGGTTAGGTCGGTTGTAATGACTGGAAGAATCAAGAGACCTTTGAGCATGGAGGCTCAAAAAAACAGAGCCTCTGCTGGCCTGGGGAGCTATAGGGAGAATGACCACAGGCCCTCACAGCTGTGCCTCATGCCACTGATCCATTTCAGAGCAGGTGGGGCAGGGCTCTTGGAGATCACCTTGCCATCCATTCCCTCGTGGAATAGGTGGGAAACTGCAGCCCAGAGAGGGCACAGACACACCGAAGGACACACAGCATATCAGGTGGTAAGGTCTACGTTCCTCTCTGGGCTCCCCACGGGATCGTGGGCTCCTCCTGTGGCAGGTTGGTGTCTTAGCCAGCTCTGTCCCCTGGAATCTGAGAGATGCAAAGGCAATGTGGTTGGGTGCTTCCTCAGAGGCCTCTCACCCTGTCCATCTCTGGGGAAACTGGAGGAGGATGAGTCACTGGCTCTGTGTTCCCTGGGGTTCGCCCAGAGGCTGGCCATGTGGGACCAAGTTCACTGCTCAAGTTTCCTCTTTTTAGTAAACAGCAGCCACTTCCTCCTGGGTTGGCCATTTCCTTCTGGTTGCTGGTTCCTGAGAGGCTCGAGGGGGCAGGGGCTCACATGGGCAGGCAGGGCAGACCCTCTGGCACCAAGCCCACCCGTACTGGACACGGGGGAAGGCATGTAGGCTGTGTAAAGCTGGCATCTGACCACAGGACATTGACCTTTAATCTAAGAGACTTTGGAAACTGCAAAATGTCAATAAGCCATCAAAGAAGGGTGCCAAGGAATTAGGAACCACCAGGGGCAGGCCCAGAAGGTCCATGTAGGAGGGCCTGGATGGGGGTGATCTGGTTAGAAAAGGGTAGAAACTGAAGCTGCATTTGTTTAGCATTTTACATAAAATATAAAAATTTGTCCAAAATAAAGTTGGAGAGAGGTGTTAAGAGAGACGAGATGAAGCTTCACTGTCCAGCCCCCTTCAGCTTGTAGCTTTAGGAATGGGGGTTGACACAATGCAGGATTTGCTCATGAAATAACCGGCATCCCAGGGTGGCCAGGAGAGAACTGGCAGGGCAGGGGGGCCTGGGAGAAATCTGGAGGATCCAGAGGGTGTTGGGGTCTGTCCTGGAGCCTTGGGCCTCTTCTGCTTGGCTCTGCAGAGACGTGGGGCCCTCCAGAGGCCTCTGCTGAGATGTTGCCACCGGCTTTGAGGCCTCCACATTTTGCCTTTTCTCACTGGGGTCTCTGGGCTTGTGGCTGAGCAGCCTCCTCAGAATGCCACATTCTGGGCCTGGCCAGAGCCTGGCAAAGGGCCAGGAGAGTTTACCTATAGAGTTTTTATCAGTAGATAGTGTAGGTCCAGCACCCGGGTCTGTCAGCTTTCAAGGGGCCTAGGAAATGTTTGTAGCCTAAGAAAAGGATATTGGCTGCAAAACCCAAGAAAAAGAGGAAAATCAAAATTGATAAATATTTCATTAAATGTCTACAAAATGTAACATTATGTCAACTTCATAGTTATCATAAAAATGTCACTCCCTTTGAAAACAATTTATAGGTTGGGTTTTTTCTCACTCAGCCAGGATTCCCAATAGACATGATGACTGCCAAGATATGGTAGCCAAACGTAAATTAAAATGAATTCCTCGTAGTCAGATACTATCCAGCGCATAATTCTAGAAATTCCTTCAAACACTTTTAGAGCAAAAATTATGTTTATTATGGGATGTGGAGCATTTTAATATGTTTGATATGATATGGGGTGTGGCCTCCATAAGGAAGAGGGCAGGGCCTGCGAGCATGTTAAAATGACAGGGAGAGAGTGGAAGTTCAAGTGCAGGAGGGTGAGGCTTGAGGCCAGCTTGCCCACTGAGAAGCACAGACACCAGCTCTGGGAGGGACGGCAAAGGTCTCTTGTCTAGTACCATCTGCCCAGACCCGGCCAGCCAGGCCAAACTCTTGCCCAGGGTGGGGGGCTCACTCCTGCCACCCGTGAAGGATGCTTTCCTCCTGCCTAGCAGGTATCTGCCTCTACCAGATACCCCACAGGGTTTAGTTCTGTCCTCTCAGTCGACAGTCTCTGGTCACCCCTACTTTTGCACAACTCACTGACAGAGCTGAGGGTGGAGGTGGGCTGTACCCCACTCCCACCCTGTGGCCTCCTGTATACCTCCTGTGTGTAGCTGTGTACTGCAGTCTCAGTTCTCCCAGCTCTTCCCCTTTCCATAGGATTTCCCGGTCACCTCCCACCCTGGCTGCCTTCCCCATAAGCCAACTAATCACAGCCCCTCTTGCCCATGGCAAGGCCCAAATTAAACATGGTTCCCTCACTCCTGAGGGTGGCCCATCCCATCGCTGCAGTGCATTCTCTGGCCTCCCATGTGTTGGGGCTGCTAGAGCCCCCTCTCCGAACCTGCTGATTTCAAAGAACATCAATGCTAACTGTATAATAATAATAATTGACATACTGAGTGCTTACTATGTAAGCACTTTTACATGATCTTGTAATCCTTACAAGAACAATGGTATGAAGTAGCTACTTATACTGTCCCCATTTTATAGATGAAGAGACTGAGGCTCAGAGAGGTAAAATAAATTGCCCAAAGTCACACCTCTGGTTAGTGGCAGAGCTAGGAGACAAATTCCATCAGTCTGCATTCAAAGAGAACCAAAGGGCACTAAGGTAGAGGTGTCCTTGCTGTAGCCAGCCAGCCAGATTCTTGACGGACCCTGGGGAAAGGGGTGGTCATGTGGCAGCTAACATAGAGCCCGTAGCTGGTTGGCTGGCGGGGTAAGCTCACTCTTGCTACCTGTCTCCAAGTAAGCAGTCTAATTTGGTATCCGTGTCCATTTCAGAAAGCTCGATTTTCCACCTGCGTCTGTTAGTGTGTCTGTGTAAAAACATGCAAAACAAAGATGAGATATTGTTTTGATTTGGCCCTTTCACAAACATAGCTATGACCTTCCTTTTTTCTTCAAGTAAAGTGAACTTTTGTATTTGCTTCTCCCCCACATCTTTCCACGGCTCATTCCCTCACATCATCCAGGTCTCTGCTCCATGTCACGTCCTCAGAGGGGCCTCCCTGACCCTCTGGAACGTAGCCTGCCACTCCTGCCCTACATCCCCCCATCCTCTTACTTTGCTTAATTGCGAAACAATGGCACTTGCCTCTTGAGGTTATTGTGAGAATTCAAATGAGTTAATATATAAAGCACTGGTAAGTAATACATGCTATTTAAGTGGTAGTCCTTTTTAAAATTTCATCACAGCGTGTATACAACACAGTATACATTTATCTGTCTTCTTTATGTAGTTTGTATTATCTCTCTCCCTTACTAGACTATTATCTCCATGAGGGCAGGGAAATGATTGGCTTATTCACTGCTGTGTCCTCCAGTGTCTGGAACTGTACCTGGCACATACAAGGCGTTCAGTAAGTATTTGTTGAAATCGGTGAACGAACTGAGGTCTGGAGAGGTGGGAAGTGCTTTGGCTTTCATTCACGCATTCTATAAACATTTACTGAGCACCCACTCAGCGCCAAGCAATAGGCTCTCTCATTTTTGTAATACTAGCCTGTGAATCTGGCAGGGCAAAGATTTAAAAATAAAGTTTTTTAGTGAGGTATTATTTACATAGAGTGAAATGTACAGTTTTAAGGGGACCCCTGATGAATTTTGAGAAATGCGTGTTCCAAGTACCCACAATCCCATAAAGAAATAGAACAATGTTTCAGCCCGGCAGCGCGAGGTTTTGGGCCCCAGGTTACACAAAGGAACAGAGGGCAGGGGTGACTCTTCCGGACCAGCCTCTGGGGCGCCTGCGGGACCGCCCCGGGTGCGGGCAGGCGCTCCCGGGGGCGGGCGGGGGCGGGACTACAAGTCCCAGGCTGCTTTGCGCGCCCGCCAGCCGTGCGGAGAGGCGGGGTTGAAGGGAGGGGGCTGAGCGGCGGCGCCGAGGCGCTGGGGGCCGAGGCGCTGGCGGTTGGAGCGCGGGCTGGCGATGCTGGGCCCCGGGGCCCGGGCGGAGGAGGGTAGCACTGGCGAGGGCGCGGCCCCAGGGGCCGCGGCGGAGCCTGGGGCAGGGCCGGGGCGGGAGCCAGCGCGGCTGTGCGGCTACCTGCAGAAGCTGTCGGGCAAGGGCCCGCTGCGCGGCTACCGCAGCCGCTGGTTCGTGTTCGACGCGCGCCGCTGCTACCTCTACTATTTCAAGAACCCGCAGGACGCGCAGCCCCTCGGCCACCTGGACATCGCGGACGCCTGCTTCAGCTACACGGGCCCCGACGAGGCGGCCGAGCCCGGCGCGGAGCCGCCCGCTCACTTCCAGGTGCACAGCGCGGGAGCCGTCACGGTGCTCAAGGTGGGACAGCGCGCCCCGCAGCCCCGCACCTGCCTCCCGGGAACCCGCCCAGACGCCCTTCCCCTGCTCCCCCTGCCTAGCCTCTGGGGCTGCCCCCGATGCCCAGCTCAGCCTAGCTCCTCTGGCCATCTAACTTTTTGCATACCCTCCTTTCTCTAAAGCCCTTCTGTCTTTCTTTCCCCACTTCTTCCTCAGACTCTGTCCCCGTCCCCACCTCAAGCCCTTTACCTGGGTTTAGGCCAGAGTGGCTGGGGGCTACTCAGCCCCTTGACCCGTTATCTCCCTCTGTGCCTTGCCTCGGGCCCTTCTCTGTCCACCTCCCTTCCCCTCCCCACCCCTGTTCTGTGGATGTCCTGTGTAACCCTCCCAGGCATTCATTACTTACTGTGGGCTTCCTGCCCTTGGGTAAGTTATTACCCTCTTCAGCAGCCTCTTCTGTAAAATGGGGAGAGCAGTAGTATCTACTTCGTGGGGGTGTTGGAATTACAAGAAATATACTCTGACCTCTCCTAAGTGTTACTGCATTCAGGGCTATAGACCGAGAGAGTCAGAGTTGGCAGGGCCCTTAAAAGATAATCCACTGCAGTCTCCTCCACAGTGGGCAGAGACACTCCAGCTAAGGTCACACAGACAGTAAGTAGCAGAGACTGTTTGCTTACTCCGTATTTTGGCTGGGAGAGGAGGGAAACGTTTGCTTCAACCAGTTCTGCCTTGCCCATTTGAGGCTTCCGTAATCTTTTTTCTACACAGTGTGTAGAAGCATGGGACTAGAGTCAGAAGTCCTGATTCTGGTGCTGAGAAGCCTTCCCTGTCCTTGGGGCATCCCATTATCTCCTAGGGGCCCTCCTGCTTCCAGCACCTGGGCATCTGGGCCCTGGCCTGGAGTTGGGTCTCTCTCCCAGCCTCCTTCCCTGCCTGGTTCCTGTGAGCCTCCACCCTCACTCCTCTCTCTCGCTTCTCTTCCGTATTACAAGCTGGGCTTTCTCCAGAGCAGCAGGGCTGGGCTGGGACGTATGAAAACTCTGCAAAGCTCGCCAAGTGGAGAGCAGAGTGGGCTGAGCCTGACGCCCTTGGCCTTGTGAGCACAGGGCTGTTCCAGGATCTCCGAAGCCAGCAACAGTTGGAGCTGCTCCCCAGGTCGTTTTTAGAGCTTTGTCAGCTCAGTTCCTGCTGTTTCAGGCAGAGTCTGATTACTGTGTTCTTTTAGGCTTTACCATCCCTTCTTTAAGTGGGTGCAGACAGCCTTTTTCTCCAAAGGAAGCCAAGCAGAGTTTCAGTTCAACTCGGGCTTACTTAGAAAGTATTGGTGTAAACTTGGGAGTGATCTGAGCAAGTACACAGGGACTTTTGCCAAAGAAAGGTTTGTCCTCACTGTATATATGGACTGTCCCTGTGTACAGCTGAATTTCCTGTGGAATTGTTTGTTAAAACAGAAAGTAGAGCATCCTGTTTCAGATTTTCTCAAATGACTTTGGAGCCCTCCATCAGGTTTTTTCATTAAAATTTTTTGAATGATGGAGGTATCTACCTAAATGGGGCTGCAAGATGCAGTGTCAGGAGTGTGGCTTTAGAGTTGGATTGACTTGAATTTGCGGCCTGAATCTGCCACTCACAGGTGTTGAGCAAACTATACCACCTCTCTGTCCCAGTTTCCTCTTCAGTCTAATGGGAATCTTACCTTCCTCATTGGTTAGTTTTGAGAATTCTGGAAAATAGCTGGCACAGAGTAGGCACTACATGGCAGCCATATGAAACAACAGGTGGTGTCTTTGGCCAATTAGGTAGTGCATTCATATAATGGAATATTATGCAGCCGTGAACATAAAGGAATGAGAGCTCTAGGTGTCAACATGGATGACTCATAAACATAAAATTGAGAAAGAAAAACAAAGTTACAGATTGATTGCATACAGAGGTACCATGTAAAGACTAAGAAGATCATGCAAACACATATGCTGCATGGGGAGCGGGAGAGCTGTGTGGGCGTGATGAGCCCTGGCTTCAGGATGGTGGTTCCCACTTGGGACGAGAGGGGAACGTGAGTGGGAATGGGTGCTCAGGGGGGTTCTAGTGTCTTTGCAGTGTTTTATTCCTAGCACTGGGTGGTGTTTGTTATATTATTCTATCTGTCTCTTTGTATGTTCAGAATATTTCTTTAAAAAAAAAGGAAATTGATTTTCATGTAGGTTACTGACTATGGAATATTTTGGTACGTAAAGTTGAATTAGTCACAGAATAAGACAGCATGCCCGAGACAAAGGGTTTGCTTTATAAAAACAATGGAAATGGAAACACAGGCAAGCCTTTTCAAAGGAAGGGAGCAGTCAAAATGTAAGGTTTCAGAGTAGGGGTGTGTTTTAAGAAGGATTTTTAAAATTTTAATTTAAATCTTTTAATTTCTAAAAAATTTATTTTAGTTTTGGCTGCGTTGTGTCTTCGTTGTTGCGTGGGGGCTTTCTCTAGTTGCGGCGAGCGGGGGATACTCTTTGTTGCGGAGGTCAGGCTTCTCATTGTAGTGGCTTCTCTTGTCGCGGAGCACGGGCTCTAGGTGCGCGGGCTTCAGTAGTTGTGGTGTGTGGGCTCAGTAGTCGTGGCTTGTGGGCTCTAGAGCGCAGGCTCAGTAGTTGTGGCACACAGGCTTAGTTGCTCCGTGGTATGTCGGATCTTCCCAGACCAGGGCTGGAACCCGTGACCCCTGCATTGGCAGGCGGATTCTTAACCACTGCTCCACCAGGGAAGCCCCCAAAAGGATGAATTTTATTGTACAGTAATTCCTTCTGAATTGTGGGCATAAAAATTTTGTGGTGGTAAAAGTGGAAATTAGCAATTTATCTTCCTTTTCACCTTTCAGATCTGAGAACTGACTCCCATAAGCTTTAATGCTTCCCTTTAGGGCTGCTCAGCGGTAGGGCAGAGCCTGATTTCTAAGGGGGATTGTAGGTTAGTGAGGATTAAACCCTGCTCAAGCTTCAGCTAGTTATATATAATTTTATAGATACCATTTCTTTTGACGGGTTAAAAAGAAAAAAAAAATAAGCAATTTGCTTATTGTATTATCATATGGTTCTTATTTTAAAGTGACTTGCTGCCTTCTCTGGAGGAGCTGTGGTTTTGTTGAAGTTTTCCCAAATGTTTTACCACTTGAGTCTTAATGAAAGCTGATATTGGAATTTCTTGGTAGGCTTTTCTATTCATAAACTCAGGGATGTGGACCTTACTTTACAGATGAGGGAATGGAGGCCGGAGAGGGGATGTGATTTGTCTGAGATCTTGAAGATAGACTCAGATGCTCTTGGCTAGTAGAGACTCTGGGAACAGTGAGTGTCCAAAATGCCAAGTATCTAATTCTATTATCAGTTTTGACAAGTCTCCCTTTTTTTTTTTTTTTTTTTTTTTTGCTTTGGATTTCAGTGGTTTGGGATTAGATAAGATGTAGTGGTTTTTTCCTTTACTGCATTTGATTTCTGTCCTTTTCACGCAGAATGAAAGCACCAGGAACATTTTACCTACCGATTCTTTACCAGGATGTATGGTACCTGTTACTAGACGTTTGGAAACTGCTACAACAGACAGAAACTGATGCTTCCTGTGTGTGTGTGTGTGTAGAGGTGCTGGAGGCTTCTCACTGAGCTTTCCTGGGATCTGAGGCACAGGAGACCGTTCTGGAGTGAGCTGGCACTTAGGGAAGAGAGAGCATGTGACTGACTGGGGGTAAAGCGTGAATGACCCTGCTCTGCCAGATCTCCACAGTCCCTGGAGCAAGGAGCATCGTCAGACTGTCAGCAGATGCACTCCGCTCCCTCTCCTCCCTTTCTTGAAGGCATATGGTGCACAAATGGACGTGTATGTTGGTTTCTGAGTCACACGTAACGGAACAATCATGCATCCCTATTCTTAACGCACTTTTGTGGGAAGGATGCACATTCTCTGGTGTTGAAAGTGCTCTCAGCTTAATGACAAACATTTGCTAGCTTGGGTAATCATAGTGTGTGCAGTACAAAATAGATGTGGTGAACCAGCCTTCTTGGCTAAATGGCTCTGCTAAGCTGTTCTTCCCTGGGGCGTCTGCTCAGGGGTCTTGAAATGTTATTTAAATCTTTTATCGAGACCTGACTTTCCATGGATTTTTCATGGCTTCCCAATGAGTAAGTTTCTTAAAGGCAGGTATAGTCTCACAGGTGTGATGTCGCAGTGGCTTTCTGTCTCCCACTGTCTGTCACACAGGCCTCATGGTAGTGTGACCTCCACACTATTTCCTGCTCATGAGGCTCCAAGCACTGCTGTTTGCATCCTTGCCCTCCCAGAACAGCACCTGCACAAAGTAGGTGCCCAGGCAGACGTTTGTTGAACGAATGAGTAGAAGGTCATTACCCAGTAAGCGCTGGTTTTGGTGTGAGCTCCAGCCCTTTGGAAGTGATCAGCCAGAATTCTCAAATGTATTAAATGACATTCTCACCACATGTCATGGAGGTGCCTGCCATTCAAGGAATGCCCAGTAAATATGACAGGCATCAGGGGTTCAAAAGACGGATTACCGTCGGTCCTTAATTTTCAGGTCTCTTGTATTTCATGCCCACAGTCTTGACCCTGAGGACACTGTTGTAGCAGTGGGTGAATGTTTTATGTAAAAGGCCATGTAGTAAATATTTTAGGTCTTCCATCAGTGCCATCTCTGTGACTACTCTGCTCTGCTGTTATAGTACAGAAACAACTGTAGAATGAGTGTAGCTGTGTTCCCATAATTTTTGTTTATGGATTCTGGAATTTGAATTTCATGTAATTTTCACACGTCACAAAATACTGTTCTTTTGGGTTTTTTTTTTCCAGCCATCTGAAAACATAGAGACCTTTCTTGGCTTGTAGCTGTGTAAAAATAGGCAGTAGGCTGGATATGGCCCTCAGGCTGCAGTTCACTGGCTCTGGTGTTTTAGAAAGGCCTGGACACTTCTCACTCATTCTGTCACTTACCCATTCTGTGTGCTTAGGCACTGGGGGTATAGACGGAACAAGGTGAACACAGTTCCTGTCCTTGGGGAGCTTTCTGTGTAGCCCAGAGACAGACATTAATAAAAACAAAACCAACACCAACCAGTGCTGTGAAGTTTAAAAGGAAAGAGATGGGATGCATGTATAATAGGGGATCCTAATTTAGATTGGAAGGAGGAGGGCTAGGGAAGACTTCCTGAGGAAATGACATTTGAGCTGAGGCATGAAGGGCACATTGGTGTTGACTGGAGAAATGGAGAGGGGAGTAGAGTGTTCTAGGGAGAGGAAATGGCAGGAGCAGAGCCCCTTAGGTGTGTAGGGGACTCAAGGAATGCCCGGTGGCAGCTGGGGTGGAGGGGAGGGCCTTGGGGCCCGAGTTGTAGGAATCAGCAAAGAATTTTCGGCAGGGCTTAACAAATAGTTGGTGTTTTTTTTTTCCTCCCAAACTGATGGTTGGGTTATATCCAGTATTTTCATCTAATTATGTTGGAGGATTGTCTTGTCTTATGTTTTAAGAGTTGAAATATTAATATGTTACCCACTGGAAAACAGGTTTTAAAGTTGATAAATGCAGAGTTGAAGATCTCGTGGTCCATTGCCTCTTAAGCACCATTGTTTCTGAGCAGGGGTTGCTGGCTCGGGGGCTGTGTGGCTACAGCCTGCCCCACCCCTCTCAGTGGACTGCCTTTC